AATATCTGACTCTTGCCCCCATCTGGGAGAAAGGAAACATCACATAATAAGAGTTTGAAAAACACCAATAGAAGATTGAACGACACTTCTTGGAGTCAACATTTAGCAATATAGCATTTTTCTGTACTAAAATACGATTTGAGCTCAGGGGTATAGCATCAACTTCTTGGCTCTAGTTACAAATCATCCACATTACATGTTGTCTATTGAAAAATGCATATTAGGAGACTGTGAGAGGCCCCTCCTTACTTTGGGCCAATACCCTTTATGCTCCCAGTTCGACGCCCCTGTTTGAGCTACAGAGGGTTGAATAAATAACTTCTATGATTCATTATAGATATAAACAGAATACTAAAGTGTTCTTCTACTACTACTAAAGTGTTATAGTGTCTTATTCTTTTATGTATTTATTGCAGCTGATATTTTTACCATCGACTGTATAAAAAGTGGACTAAGGGAGTGCGCTTGGCTCCAGTCAAATGAAGCTCACAAGGCAAGCAATTATAAGACATGTTAGGAAAAGGAATTTATTTACGGACAAAATTGTGAAATAAAAACACCAGGATCATGTAGAGTGGTTATCACAGAAATTTTAAGACCAAAATGACTAGACTCACAGCAGCAGTTACAGAGAGAGGGGCAACAATTTTTCAATGTCGATGGAACCGGAAGCGCCCTCATGACCAGTTACTATGTGGAACGCAGTGGCTAGTGGGTTAAATATGTCCATTTATATATACAGTCTTTGGTTTTTCCTGATATTGTATGTTTAGAATAGTTTTTTGGATTTATTTTTAGGGTTATTCTGTCAATGGTAGTATTGGTTAGTTTCAGTATCATCATTATTACCTCATCATCACAGGCATAGAGGGTGGCGATACTATGTGCTTTAAATGATTTGAACTTTAACTTCTTGGGTTCTTTTTAAAGACAATGCAGTAAAGTGTGTTTACCTTGTTGACATGTTTCGGCTGCTAGCTGCAAGCCATCTTCTTGTTTAAATGACTTGGTTGAGGTGCAAGTATCAGACAAAACGTGACTGGACCATAACATTAAATATCTCACATATCACTTTATTCGTTTAGACTTTTTTATGACACTAGGTCAGTGGCAAAGGCTAAATTCAATTTGTCAACTGGGCAAACGTTTCAGTGTAGTTAGCTCCTCCCTGCAGATAAATGGCAGTGTCCACCAGCATTTTGATCAGAACTGAAGAAGCAGCTTGGATGAGCTGCGAAACATTTTCGACCTAAATTAACGTTTGTCCAGTGACAGATTCAATTTCTCCTTTGCCATGGATTCACCCTGGACAACTGAGGGATTCTACACACACACTAGGTCAGTGTTTCTCAGACTGTGGTACACAAGCTTCTTCTAGTGGTGTGCAAGGTCCTCTACAGCTTCCTTTAGTCAATTTAATCCACTCTTAAGTCCTCCATTGGGGTAATTTCTTGTTTAAAATTGTTGTGGCAATGATAAAGTTTAATTTTACACCTAAAAAGTCTGATCTTGTGGTATCAGAAATCCCAAATTATTCTTTGGTAGTAGTTTAGTGTAAAAATGTAAAAACTGCACTGTTCATTCTCATTTTTAATTACCTCTTTCTGCTGTAATTTTGAATACTTTTAATTATAGACAATAAAGTTGATACTGAAATTTTTCAAATCTCCAAAACAACAATTACATTACTATAATGATTTTGCAATGGATCTCCCATCTCTACTTGTGTTGTTGTTGGTAACATTTCAAACTCGAATTCGATTCTGAGAAATTTGCTCAATTATTAATAGAATGGAATCTTCATATACAAATCATCATACAATAAATCATTCTTAAACATTTAAGATGAAATGTTGTCCCGTTATTGCACATTTTTGCAGCATTGATGTTCAAATGAGTATCTAGTTTCGATATTATTTTAGTCTGGATTAGTATCTGAGTGTGGTGAGTCATGACAGACATGAGTGATGGAAGTGAGAAAGCAGGAGAACACGTGCAGTGAGACAGAAATCATTTTCTCTCTAAACTAATCTGTCACATAACACCTTAATATGGGCTGATAATCTGCACAGAAGGAGGTCAGGGCAGCGGAGTACGATTCAAATGGAAAATACTACAACCGTTTTTAAAAGAAATCATTCAGGTATGAAGTTTTGGTTAGTATAATGTTTTATTTTTAATGTGTACTGCTACCTGTCTGATAAATACCAAACTGTCCATCAACTCGTACAGTGTTTGCTGTCCATCTCCCTTTTGTTTTATTTTTGCTGTTTAGTTCACACTTAAGGTTCACACTTAGGTTGGTATTAATATAAGATGGATATTAAAATAAGATAGTCATACATTTATTCATTCATTTAGAAGTTGGCATTTTTTTCCCTATAATTATTGACAATATTGTAAATACAATTTTGAATTCTAGAAGGAGCGGATTAAAAATGGTAAAGGAACAAACTTGTAATCCTTCAAATATGGACATAAAGTGGTATTTTTGTAGTTTTGGGGGTAGGATAAATTTTCTTTTATTCTCACGCTTTTAACACTTCGTGACCTATTCTGCAAAATTGACTTTTCAGAGCTTTTAACCATGTTAAAATGGTTAGTTGTTAGTTGTTTCCCCTCACCACGTACTCACCCATAGTTTGGACTGATTGGTGTATGTTTGAGTAATCATTAATCGCTTATTTTCAAGATGCCATTTTGCAGATAAACTCCCGTTTTCACCGCCATTGGCATACGCCCACTGCTGTGTACTTACTTCGTTCTCCAATTTAATTTTCTTAATCAGTTCTATAGGATTCGGCAGTGGCACATACGGTAATCCACAGCTTGTTAGCGTGATGTGCAGCTTTCCAACAGCTTCACCAATCTTTGTTGTGATGACGTTTACAGTGACGTTAGCTCCAACTGGGCATCACAGTCAGACTTGTTTCTTTTATTAAGTCGTTTTAGATGAATATTGCGATTTAAAATGTGGAAATTACAACATAATGATCCACAAGTGTCATAGATTATAACTATAAAGCAGGCACAAGCACAAATATGACTTCTTTAAAAATAAAACAACTTGATGATTTTGCTTTTATTTGCATTTTGTTTGTAAAATGTTCTATTGTAGATTATTATCGCAATCTGAAAAAAATATTGACAATTTTGGTCAATATTGCCGAACCCCAATAGTATACATTATTATAGTAGCTGAAAACCGCACTTCAAAACGTGTTCTTGTGACAGGTCGAGGTGTACAGAAACATTTCAGAACAGCTGATACATGTCCAGACTAAAAAAATTCCTCCACTTGACTAAACTGTATGTGAGCCTATTATATTTATTACAGGCCCATGCACTCAGCAGCCTCTTGAGCCTATTGTGCCTCTTGAGTCTCTTTAGGACCTTTCGTTGGATCTAGCGACACCCAGGCACAATCACAGTGATAACGGGCAGAGAATAACTTCATTTAACAGAAGGGCATAGGGGTCAGAGCGCACGTTTACAGTCCGCTGTCAACACACCAACACTATCTGGGCTACTGTGGCGCAACATAACGTGCTTCATTGGCGATACAGTACAATAACATTTAAAATATCTCTGTGAAAATAGTGAAATTCAACCACTAAGAAGAGGTATAATTAATGCAGTTTTGTAGTAATAAGTCATCTGGGTGTTTCAGTCACATAATTTGTTCTTGTTATGAGACTATTTTAACTTTTGACTTCCTCCACCAACAAAATATTCTCTTAATCTACATAAAAACAGGTAACTTTTGGATCATTACAACATGTTTGCATTTAAAATAGGAACTTTGAACAAAATTATATTATTACGGTATAAATTCTAATCATAATGCTTGTCAGAAAAATCACATTTAGATATTTTTTCCAAACTGTTCAGTCCTAAATAATACAAAAAAGTAAACTGAACAAGCTATCACCACTGGTACACTACTGCATGTTCCACAGTTCATCTTTGGGACATGGTGTCTGTTTTGAATGTGCTATAAAAAACTCGACCTTGACCTTGACCATATCCATATCATAACCATATCCCAAGCTCTATAACAACACGGCAGCATCTTACATTGTTCAAGATCATAAGGCTTCCTATAATATGGGTTCCTTTTTGTTGCTTATGAAGTTAAGATCTTTGGATTATATTTACAGAAGTCCTAAAGTATTATGTGAAATTTTGATCCATGCATGTTTGAACAATCTTTAATCAACTATTTTCATAATAACACCGTTTTCACCGTCACCAGCATATTGCCACTTCTCTGTACTTACTTCATTCTCTGATTTTATTTTCTTATCAGTGATACACATTGGCAATGTTGTGTAGCCATTTTGGTAGCCTGATTCATCAGCCAGTTTCACTTTGCAGAAACTGTCTGACCTCACTTTTTGTCATGTAACCAATCGCTGCTATTTGGTCGTGACGTATGTAATGCTTTTCCCAAATCCCGTACGAAGAAGGGCAATAACGTCTTTCCCCTTGATGAAATTCACCAAACATTCTCTTTATTCTAACTTTAAATCCTCGATCTCGGGAATCGTTGCCAAAGCAGAATATATGGCTCTTTGCTGATTGGCTGGTGCCCGAACTCGCACTTCCGGGGTTTTTGCGAACAGCCTAATATATTTCGATTCCTGACCTAGTCGCTGGAGAGAAATGAAATTGAGCGGAGGCACTAGGTGGTGCCAGCCTGGCTAACCATTTTGGTACAATTGGAAAAAAATCTGCTACTCACTAGTGTGATCTGCAGCAGTCCACTCAAGATGCAGAGTCTTTGTTGTGATGATGTGTACTGTGATGTTTGCACCATTTTCTAACATGGACGTCAGCAGACCTTTCTTTCCTTTATAAGTTAAGATGAATATTGTAATTCAAAATGTACAATTACAACATGATCCACGGGTGTCCTAGATTACAATAAAATACATGTCGGGCTCAAGTATAATATGTGTTTTTTAATAAATGATCAAATGCTTCTGTGTGTTTTACAGACTCATCAAATAAACATGGAGAAAATGTCCGCATGATTCCCAACACAGGAGGACAGCAGTTTGGTCAGTATAAAAGTCAATTGAATACTGATATTGACAGGCCTCTTTTTCATAAGCTAGGTTATGTGTATGGATGCGTGAATATCTATATGTTGAACAGTTTGTCATGTTAGTGTGAGTGTCACTATTTGAAGATACATAAAATGTCATTTTTTGAAGATTGCTGTTATTGGTTTCGTTAAGTTTTGTTTGCAATACTGAACTATCATCTAAACTAACACCAGATTCACATTAATATTCACATATTTGTTTGCTGGTTGTAGTTTTTACCAACTATGTCCATTCAAATTACATTTTTAATTTTGTTATTGCAGCTGTGTTTCTTATTCTGTGTCTCTTATTCCTGTTTTAGGAAACTGAGTAAATTGTGATTCGCCAAATACATTATATGACGAAGCTTTGTGTGTTAGCTGGACTCAAGTCAAGATGAATCCTTATGTGACCATTCACTTCAGGAGGGACCTTTTTCCACATTTCTACTTGTTGTAGTCGTCCTCCGCCAAGCTGCAGACTCAGGCATCCTGTACTTTTTCATTCTTGGACAATGTTTGTTTCACCTATAGCTGCATTTTTCTGCATTAACTATATTAACAGTTTGTAAATTTTCATTGTAACACTTCTACATCACTTTGCTCCATGTAGTCTGTCTGATTTTAGGGGTGCTGAGAACAAATCTGAGGTGACGACTGATCAGGTGACTTCTTTGCCTGTCACTTTCTCTGCTTTTCTGAATGATAATACCAGAAGAGTTAACAAATGTAGCTGTTATGTTGTTGAGGTAAATAGTTGGGAGAAAAACTGTTCAAGACACGATTGAGCTAAACTGATACTACTGATACTGCTGACTGTCTAGTTTGTAGTTTATTTATAAACTCTTACACACTTAGATATTTTACCTTTAAGTAATGGGTATTTTATCCCTGTGTCCCACTCAACAGGTTGATATCTGGAAAAGGCATTGTAAGAATAGGCATGTTTATTCTTGATTTGCTTGCTGTTAGACCTAAATGACCCTCTGGTCCTTGTGTTAAACCTTGCCCTTCTCGCTTTACTGATGTAGTTGTTCAAATATTTCTCTGTAGCCTATGATGACTCTTTGTTTAATTTTTTTACCTGCATTTTCACACCTCTTGACCTGCATGCTCTATCAATGTTTATATTTAGTTCATTTATCCTTGGGCTTTTTTCACTCCTGTTTTAACCTGACTTTTTAGTCTCCCACATTGTTATTTTCTTAGCTTGTTTTAAAACAGTTTTGTTTTGATGGACAAGCAGAACTCTGAGCAGAAAACTGACCAGTAATCTTGGAAAGAAGTAACTCCATTTGTTATAATGGATTTTCTGGCATCTCAATAGCTCAATGTTTTGAACTTTTGTTGCTGCTACAAAAAAAGAAAGTGCTTTTGAACTGCACAGACTGGCGAGGATGGGAGCCGCTCGTGTTAAGCGGCGCTTCAGTGCTGTGGTGGACGGCCCGGTGGATGAAGAGGAGGTCATGAGGCTGGCACAGAACGCAGCAGACACAGCCCGAGTCGAGGGCAGCCCCACGGACTCCAGGAGCCCCAGCAGCCCCTCTCCCACCTCCCCCACACTCGTATTCAACAGCAAAGCTCTGTCTCTGCAGAGCAACTCCAACAATGCCCGCAGACAGAGCGACTTCATAGACTCAGCTAGAGGAGTAGGAGGAGAGGGCGGAGAGCCAGCACCAGGCAGAGGGGCAGGTGTGGAGGGCACAGAGGATCACTCCTCTCTGTCCTCAGCCTTCACCAACCGCCGCCGAAACAGGCGCTCCAGCCGTCGGCCCCGGCAACGCTTTGTGGGCAAAGATGGACGCTGCAATGTCACCTTTGTCAACATGAGCGAGAGGGGTCAGCGCTACCTCAGCGACCTGTTCACCACCTGCGTGGACATACGCTGGCGCTGGATGCTGGTTGTCTTCACCCTCTCCTTCCTCCTCTCCTGGCTGCTCTTTGGTTTCACCTTCTGGCTCATTGCCTCTGCGCATGGAGACCTCGCCATGGACCTGACCCTCAGCCCCAGCAGCTCCTCTGCAGCAGGAGGCGCTGGGGAAGAAGGGTTTGGGGAAGGCGCTGGGGAAGGAGGGACTGGGGCAGGAGGAGCTGGGGCTGCGGCCAATAGAGAGGCGGTGGAGCCCTGCTTCATGCAGGTGACCAGTTTCATGGCAGCCTTTTTGTTTTCTCTGGAGACACAGACCTCTATTGGTTATGGCTTTCGAAGTGTGACTGAAGAGTGCCCCCTGGCGGTGGTGGCGGTCGTGTTGCAGTGCATTGTGGGCTGCATCATTGACGCCTTCATCATCGGGGCGGTCATGGCAAAGATTGCTAAGCCCAAGAAGCGCAATGAGACTCTGGTGTTCTCTGAAACAGCCGTGGTGGCCATGAGGGACGGAAAACTCTGCATGATGTGGAGAGTGGGAAATCTACGCAAAAGCCACCTGGTGGAGGCCCACGTACGAGCACAGTTTCTTAAGGTGAGCCCCATATTAAGACTCTATATTAAATGTACCACTATACTTTAAATTACTTTAATACTTTGTGTTTAAACACAAAAAATATATTTAGTTTATGTTATTATGTAATATTATGCACCTGCAAAATCAATTGAGTCGCCAGGGATAATTTAATCCAGTCAGAAGAGGTCACACAGCTGCACCTTTAAAGCTGCTCTCAAGCTTTTATAGGCTTTGGGTGGTAGATGCAACTGAGAGGGCATCCGATGTAAAACTGAGCCACATAAATTTTTAAGTCTTTGCACTCTAATAGAAAGATTATTTGCTCTATTTGGCTCTTGGATTTTCAATTGTTTTCAGGGGTTCAATGTTTGTTTCAGGTTGGCATGGATGGTGGATCACTGGGGATAAATCATATTTTATTGGATCTCTCTTAAGTTCTCAAAGGGCAAATCAGATTAAGTTTGTGAGGGTCAAAGAATGAGTTATGGTTTAGGATTATGTGAATATTGTTCTGAGGAAAATCTGAGTGTGAATGTGAAGTGAACCAAGGTTCATAGTTCGTAGTGCACAACATGAACTAAGGCTGGGCAATTCATCCAATTTTAATCAAATCAGGATCTAATCATTTAAAATAGTCACTGATCAGTTTGGGGCTTTGGAGCGGATTTCACACTTTGTAGGAATAAATAAATACATTTTTTGTGCCTTAAATGGCACAGATAATAAATTGGTCTTATGTACATCATTATTAATCTCTGAATAAGAAAAAGTCAGATTAAATCAAAAGTCAGTTTGGCATAACAACAGTTTTTGCTAAAGCATCCAGCTCTACTGGTAAAACTGGGATCCTTTAAAAAGAAACAATTGACCCATTTAAATTCAGTCTATGAAAAAAATACTTGTATAATTTTTGTAGATTTTTTTTTACCTAAATGTGTTATTATCTTCTTGGTTTTGCTGCCTGCTTTATTGTTGTCACATTTACAGTGAATGTGAGTGAATTAAGGGTTTCACTGTTTGGTTTTCATGAATCATATATCAAGAAACATATTCTCTTAAAATCATATTTCTCACACTAAAGTTCAATATTGTGACATTCCTACTTAAAGTAACTTTATTTTCACTATGGAGAAAATGGATTTTATAACTCAGACAAGACAGTAATTACATCAAAATGACATGGGAATCACAAATGTACATTTTTAAGTAATAATCATACAAAACTTTTTTTCTTCTCAGTCCAGAGTGACCACTGAGGGAGAGTTTCTTCCTTTGGACAATGTGGACATAAATGTGGGCTTCGACACTGGCACAGACCGGATCTTCTTGGTGTCCCCCGTCACTATTGTTCATGAGATAAATGATGAGTCTCCTTTTTATGAGATGGACCAGAATGCTCTGGAGAAGGACTCGCAGCTGGAGGTGGTGGTGATTCTGGAGGGCATGGTGGAGGCCACAGCCATGACCACACAGTGCCGCAGCTCCTACCTCTCCTCTGAGATCCTCTGGGGACACCGCTTCGAACCAGTGCTCTTCAAAAGGAAAGATGGCTACCAGGTCAGTCACAAAAAACACCAGCCAACATTGATGATAATGTTAAATGCACAATGATACTAAAGAACTATACAGGACTTACGTTGACCAAGAATTTTGCCCTATAATAAGTTTTTCAAAATCAACACAATTATGGAAATGATTAAAAAGTAACAGTTGTGATATTATTTGCATAACTTTTGCATTTTTTTTTTCTTTTCCTAGGTGGATTACTCCTTTTTTAATCGGACTTATAGAGTTCCCAGCACACCGTCCTGCAGTGCTAAAGAGCTGAATGAACAGACATGTATCCACAGCTCACGCTCCTCTTTCTGTTATGAGAACGAGGTCGCCCTTCAGCTCGCATCCTCCGAACTTGACCAAAAACCAACACAGAGACCATCGTCAGAGCACCTCCACTACAACTGAACCCAGATCAAAAAGTAAAATAAAAACACTAAAGTATTTAAGATGTCAGCAGCAGCTGACTAATCCTCTGCTCTGATTGGTCCTGGCAATCTGCCCAAGTCTTCAGACACGTGTCTCCCATCTGGCCCTTCACCACAGCACTGAGCATAAATCAGCCAAATAATGTACAGCAGCACCATCTAGTGATTGAAACATGTAACTGCACATTAGTTTGATCCTGGGAGATGAAAATCCTGGATTATAACTTCACTTATGGGTTTGCAAAATCTTGTGCACATGTGTAGAATCCCACGTCTGTTTTAGGGACTGTCACAGGAATGTTTCACTTTAAAGGCCTTATATTACACTCTTGTGAACTTTAAGTCATGCAATAATGTTGTTATCTCCTCAAAAACATACCTAGAGTTCTATTTAGTATGCCTTTATTATTAGTCTGTTTATATCTCCAAAGCTAAACATGCTCTGTTCCACCTTGGGATGTCATGAAGCCGACATTTTCAAGTTAATAGCTCCTTTTACCTTTTGGTCAGTAAAGATTGACCATTCCAGGCCTGAAATAATACAAATTATTCTTGTGAAACTGGAGTTTAATAACACAGTGGAGCATTCCCTGTATTGCAACATCACAAGGTGGAACAGAGTGGTTTGTGTTTGAGAGAAGACCTCAGCCTAAATATGCAAGATGTGTGTTAAACATGTGTGAATGAAATTAAACAAAATTCTAGGTATGTTTTTGATGAAGACACATTATAACATAGATCAGAAAAGAATGTTATATGGGCTCTTTAAATGAAAACTTTCCAATGGTAAGTATTATTCTATAAAATGTACTATTATGAGGGTGTGAGGCTTTGACTGGTAGATTTTGACGGAATGGGAACAATGTGTTAATTTTTAATAATATAGGAGGAATGTATTTTTATTCTATGAAATGGTCCAGATATAGTTTTACTGAGGATCAGCACCAATTTCAGGCATTGGGGCAAAGACATGATTATGCTTCAGCAGTTAAAAGCTGAACATACTAGTACATTTCTTTGTATGTCTATATTAACAGAAAGTGTCCAGGGTTGTGCCTTTCAAAGCAATCAACAGAAATTGTTAGTGTGTGTATTTAAACTGCTTGTTTTACTTTTAATTTGTGTCATGCTCATGTTGTGCTTTGTCAAATTGTTGTTCTAAAAGGATTCAAAATATATTGTCTATTCACTAAACAAGATTTCCATGTTTTTAGGAAATTTGAAAATACAAACTGGTTTGTTTTTCATTGGGCCAAGTTAAATGTATTATTAATTTATTTTTGGCAATTTTGCAAATCCTCACTGCACTGTGCCATAGACTGAATAAAGTCTATGTGCTGAGCTCAATTCAGATACAAAACAACAAAATAAACCACTCAAGTGTGTTACTAGCTCTTCTGAGATGTGATAATTACATTTACATTGTAACTTCAAAGTTTATATGATAATTTAATATTCATAAGTAAACCAGCTATTTATAGCGTTCATAAACATGTTTTGTAATGGTTTGCTGTTGAGGCTTCCCCCTGTAGGCTTAGTCAGGCTTTTTTCCACTGGATCACCTATATTAGGGTCCATCCGTACTGGTTTAAGAATTTATTCCATGATTTGCTGCCCTCGCGTGGAGACTCCTCGTATCGCCCTGGGTGGTAAACAAAGAGCGCGCAGATCTCCGCTCCGGCGCGGCTCGGCACCTGCTCCGGGCACATGAGTGGCTGTTTCCGCTGTCAGTCAGCTCTAGGCCCGCCTCCCCCTGTCACTGATTGGTACATGTCGGGCCACACTGAGCTTTGCTTTACGCACTTCGTCATCGCGTCCCTTTAACGCGGATGAAAGGGCGGACAGCTCCGCTCGCTGCTGGAGCTTTCATGAGGCGTGTTTCTGTCTCTGCCGGGTCCTCGGATTGGATTTGCCCCTTTATCAGTGCCCTACAGCCAGCCCATCTCATCTGTCATTGGTAGTTTAACAGGAAGCGTCCCGCCTGGCCTGAAGCCGCCGCCTTGCCCTCACTGCTGTCGGTCTACTTACCGACAAGTGTGTGCGGCTCCTGTGTGAGAGCGGTGCAATGATAAAAGCCGCATATGCGGTAGGCAACACACCTCAGAGAGAAAATAGCCCAGAAACCCGCCCGGCCCGGTCCACAGCGCGCCTCAGCCCGTTTCATCGTCCACAGGGGGTCTGAAGGTAAGCCTGTCTAACGCTTTTACTCGAATACATCTCAGAAATAGCTCAATGATATCCTAAACGTCTCGTATTTCGGTGAGGTTGGCTAACCTCGCTAGGTCAGTCTAATTTCGGTAGCTTACTCTCTAAAACTGAGAGTCAGGGGCCCCTAATTATGTATAGTCTGCCCCAAATTAAAAGGGTCACTCCAGAGGTTGGTCATAATGGCCGATAACAGGATACATTATAATAAAGATAAAATAATAAACCGACCCGCCCTTTGAACATTGATTTAAATGGTTCATTAAGGCAGTGGCCCATGTGATTGTTCATGTCAAGGTGTGGTTTGCTCCGTCAGTTTTTGTTCAGGGCCGATCAAATGCAGGTGAAATCGGCTTTAGGGGGGCTGCATCGCTACTAAGGCTCTGCAGAGGTTTATTACACCAGAGGCTTAATATTGTCACCAATATGTCCACAGTAACAGATCAGCATGTTACCCTGGCTGAATCCTGATCGCGCTGCTTTAAAATCGCCAATTCGCCTCCACGCACGCAGACGCACGCATTACGCACACATCAGGAGGACCCCCCGCAGTGAATGACCTCAGTTCAGACCGGGAGGGCATTGTCTGGGGGTCTTCCTTAATGTTTTTGGGTGTTGCTAGGGGGCCAACAGCTGCGGCAAGAGAGTTTGCCTTTTCTTAAGAATTGGCAGCACTGCACCAACCTGTCCTGTCTATTGTGTTGTAATCATTTTCCTTTTGGGAGCTTACTGGGATTGGTGAGAGCACATCCCGTTTTGATATTGGGTAAATAGACACTTAGAGACAGCTCATACATTGTCTAGTTTGTGGATTAGGATGACATTTAACTACATTGTAATTACAGGTGCCAAAATTTTAAGCAGTCCAATCCCACAGTGGAGCACATATTTTCCACAGTGACTAGTACTGGGTGGTGGCAACTCCTTTGTCAACACACCCATCCAGTCACTTTGTAGTAGTAGCAGGTATGCAGCAGCCTGGGTAGTGTACCCAAAAATAATACTCAAGTACCATCTGACCTACTTTGAAATGATATTACTCAAGTAGAAGTTTTAAAAAGTATTTGCTGAAAACATTACACACCTGGGTAACTGTTTGAACATAACATCTGGTTTAAAAGTTAATGTAATTTGACTGACAAAACTTCAAGCAATTCACCTATTCTAGTATTTCTTACAGCTATGGCCTATTTATGTATTACTCTATCTGAAAGGAGCATGATTATTTAATATTGCCATCATAAAGTTTTATCTCTTAACCAGGAAACCGCAATAAAATTGACTAAGGTAAAAGTGAAAGTATGATCGTATTAACGGTGCGTTTCACACTTTTCCTGATTCAGTTTTGGTTTGAGCTCAGATTTAGTCCTGGTGTAGTCCTGGTTTGGTTCAGTTACAGTCTTGGTTTAGCCCAGGTTCTGAGTTTAGTCGTAGTTTAATCCCAGTTTCGAAATGGTGCCAATGTGAAAGAATCAATAAAAGTACAATTTCTTCAAAAAGTTGTTCAAATAAATGCATCTTAAGTAAATGTATCTGACTATGTTTGGATGCACACCAAAATCTGATTATGATCTGATATCTGATTAATCAGAATAACGAGTCATGCTACAGTTTCACATGACGTAATCTGATTTCTTTTTGTTTACACCTCTGCAGGTTTTGACAAGGAAAATTATGCAAAAATGTGACAAAAACAAAAATTGTTGTTATTTTTAAATACATTCATCTTTGTTATAGAAGACAATGTGTGTAAAAATCAGATTTTACTATTGAGTTATCTAAAGCTTATTCTAGTTATCTGATTTCCTCTGGCCATGTAAATGATAACTATCTCCACATATAATCACAGGGCCCTGAGAGTGCCCTGAACAGACAGAATAGAAAAAACTCAGACTTGGATGCATAGCAGGAATCAAGCCCGATGACATTTCTGACGAGGTTTGGAGACGCCTAATAGTGACTGGTAGCACAAACTGTCTAACTGTCAATGATTATTACATATTTAGAAAGCTGTGTTAGACAGTGGTAAAAAAATACTTAGATTGGTAAGAGGTCACCTGGTTTAGTCAGGTGCTGATTTTGTCCTGGTTTAGTTAAAGTAATCGCCCTGGTTTAGTCATCTTGTTGTTAGAGTAATAGCCCTGATTTAGTCCTGGTTTAGATCCAGTTCTGGTTCAGTTCTGGTTTAGTCCTGTTTAGTAAATAGGCATAATTTTACTATACCTGGTTTAGTCATTTTGTTTTAGGAGGAATAGTCCTAGATTAGTCCTGATTGAGTCCTGGTTTACCCATCTTGTTTTGAGAAAAATAGTCCTGGCTTAGTCAGTTTAGTCATTTGTTAGCCCTGGTTCAGGTTTAGATCTTGTTCTGGTTCAGTCCTTTAGTCCAGTTCAATAAAAATAGTTATGATACTAGGCCTGGATTAGTCATGTTCTTAATTTGATGGATTTGGTCCTGACTCAGACCTGGTGGACGTCCTGGTTTAGTATTGGTTTAGAACAGGTTCTATCTTGTCCTGATTTATTCCCGGATCATGTCTTCATGATGACCTCATTTATTTCTTTAGCTCTGCCTAGTTTGTGCTCTCAAATTGGTTATTAATTATTTACTTCATTATAAACAGTTTGATGCATTAAACATTATTGTTGTTATACCTAATTTCTATTATGAATTAATAATTATTTTTCTCTGAAGTGGAGCTGTGCTATTAATTAAATTTTAATCGTGATCGAGATTCTGCCTTTTGTAATCTTCAGTGATATGTTTCACTCTTTTTAACTGAGAGGTCCACAGCCAGTCCTCTGTCAGTAAAAACATGTGATTAGGGTTAAGTCTGCATTCTCTCAGTTCAGATAACCAGCTCTCCTCTGAATTACATAAGTTTAATCATTTTAATGGCAATAGTTTCTTTGATTTGTTTACTGATCAAAGTTCCACTCTCTCCCTTCTAGTATTTGTTTCTTCTCTTCTTTCACTTTCCTTGTTACTCCTCCTGTCGTGTCAGTTTAGTCATTCAAGTGAGGTCTCCCTCTCTCTCCACACCAGTGCTTTTCTCTCATCTCTGTTTCTACTCGAGTTGTTCTGCCTCTCATTTAGGCCGTTGTTTTCCCCTCATCTGTGGGTGTAGCCTCCTCTCGCTCCTCGTGCACTGTTACTACTCTCTATGTGGGTGACTGAAATGTGGATGTGATGTCTGGACAGATCAGTGTCACTGTGTTATGCTGTCAACCTCCTGGGAGAAGTAGTTCACCAAGTCATCTGAACTAGAGCTGTCACAGAAGTGAAGGGCGGGACCAGACATGCATTCCATGAGAGATTTTGATGAAATATGTAATTGAAATCATATATTTTTCATAATCATGTACTTATTGAAGACTTTTAAATGACAACTTATTTTTCATTATTTATTTTCATGAATCATTGGTTGCATGCCAAATTATTATCTAAATGATCAAAGAAGTTTTGATTTTGATTTTTTTAATTTAGATTCTGTCCCTCTTCACTGAATTTCCAAATCTGACCTAGAAATACTCAATTAGCATTGTAACATTATTTGATTTTATATTGATGTTAGTAGTTTAAGTATCGTCTCCTTATTATCACATCATAAATGTGTTCACTATCTGTGCATGCATTTTCCGTTAGTAGTTATACATTGTTTACAGTCCATTGTACAAAATCTAAATGAGATACTAGTCCTGGTTTAGTCCCTTTTTGGGCCTGGTTTATCTTGATGATTCGATCTTATCTTAGGTAAGAGTAAGGTAGACTTTATTGTCACCACAGGGACATTTGTTCTTGACCCATCTTGATCTGGGCTCGGCCACACACAAAGAGAAACATGCAAACTCAGAATCCTCTTACTGTGTGGCGAGAGTGCTAACCACTCAGCCACTGCACTGATGTGGACCTGGTTTGGTCCTGTTGTACTCCTGGTCATGGCCTAGTCCTGGTTTTGTTCTGGAGTTCAGATTTTGTTGTTGACCACCCTAACTTGAGCCTTGTCCCCTTTTCTGTTTCTCCTGACAGAGCGGAAATCACAATGTCTTGGTCGTCATCGGGGGGCATTGCCAACGATGTCACCCGCTACCTGTCATCAGGGTCGGCACCTACCAACTCCCACTCCAAGTCCAACTCCAACTCCGTCTTCACAGCAGCAAGTCAGGCGGACTGGGCAGCCAAGAGGCTGGTGTGGGTCCCATCGGAAAAGCATGGTTTTGAGGTAAGCTCCTGCTGTACCATATTATAAACTCAATGACCTCTACAAACACCACTTTCACAATGGCACTTCCATTCACACATACAGGATGAAGTGCCTTGCCCAAGGCAAAAGAATACATCTCATTCATGTTTTGACTTTGCCCTAGCTAAAATGTTACTAATCCCTAGATTAGTCATTCTTCACATCCTTAATCTATCCACATTTTGACCTTATTTGGTCTTAGCTTATTGCTAATTAAATCGTAGTTTAGTCATAGTTTAGATTGCATTAAGTCCTGGTTTATTATGGTTTAGTCCTAGTTTAGTCACGGTTTAGTCACAGTTTAGTCTTGGTTTAGACCTGCTTTAGATCTTGTTTAGTCCTAACTTTCTTCTTAGTTTATTCCTATTTTTGCTGTAGTTTATAGTCCTGGTTTATGGCATATTTAACTTTGTTTTAGTTTAGTCCTTGTTTAGTTTTGGTTTAGTTCTAGTTTAATCCCAGTATATTGTAGTCCTGGTTTAATCCTACTTTAGTCCTACTTTAGTCCTGCTGGTTTAATTCTTACACAGTAAACAGGATCTCTGACCTGTGCGTCTTTTGGTCAGTGCTTGTAACATTCCTGTCATAACATCACTGTATTAATGCTCGTGTTAATAATTAGCTCAGGTATGTCTATTATGTCGAGGAGTGTCCGGGGTGGGGCAGTCCATGCAGGGCGTCTACAGCACCTCTTATCTTTTGTTATCATTTTATTTTCACATTAAGAGTATTTTCTCTCATCTGCTTTCACTGGTCTTCACAATGGAGTCTTGTGACGCATTCAGGGCCTGCAGGGATAATGAGAATCACAAGTCGCTTGTCATATTATTGATTTGCTCTGCTCTGCTAGTCTCTGGTGTAAACCTCAGTGTAAGTTTAAGACAACCCGGATGCCACATAAAAATAAATATATTGGCCTGTCTTCCTTTGTGAGCTGGTTTCAATTTCTGTCAATAAAACACTGAGCCTCTTTTGTTCATTCATTTGTAATAAGAGACTTACTAGGTTTCTATCGTCACATTTTAATCAGAATCATATCTTAAAATATAAAAATTATATCTGTTTAAAAATATGTCAGCACTATATTTCCTTTTATATTTAATTTTTTTGCAGTGAAAACAATAACGCCGCCACTGACCTACTTTGCTCATGAAATTCAGTAGTGCGCATCTATACTGCCGCCAACAGGAACTTCCCCTTTATGCTTTTAAGACAAATGCAAACATAGCTAAACATACATATCATTGAAATCCTGCTTGTACAAAACCATTAAAGAACAAGAGGTCAAATCTGTCCTTAGATTAGTTGAATGGCTTGAAGATTGATTCATTTTATGGAGTTGAATTTGTATGTTTTTTTATATACACTGGCAGTAGGGTAAGAATAACGTTACTTTTCCCCACCATTGTTTATTTTGTATTTTAAAAAGGGCTTGGCAATGCAAGCAATGATGAAAAAATAATTGTGATCTGATTCTTGTGACAGTTTGCTATTTAGGTGATATCGCTACAGCATGATTATTTCAGGGCTTGGATTGCATTGGTTAATGCAGCTTTCTGCTCAAAATTATACACTTTTCACACATTTTTCAGGTTAACTACCTTTAGCTTTTTGTACTGTAGAGATTGACAATCCTAGGGCTGGAATTAAATAAAATTTTTTGTATTTTGTTTGAGTGGGGAAAAAAAATAGCCTACTTTATTTTTCAGACTATAAGTGGCTCCGGAGTATAAGTCGCTCCAGCCAGAAAAAATGCATAATGAAGAAAAAAAACATATTTAACTTTTTGGGGATTAGGGGGAAATTTATTTTATAAAATCAGAGACCAGGAACCGACATTTCATTTTGAAAGGCAAGTTATAGTAATAACAGAATAGAGAACAACAAGCTGTTAACGTCACATATGAACAGTTATTGAGATAACTGTAGCATAAACAACGGAACAGAACAAGTTTATCAAACTCTCCATCTCACTTCAAGTCACTAAATCCATTGAATTCTTCATCCTCTGTGTCACTTCTGAGCAACTCCGCGACCTCCAGAGGTAATCGGAGCGTCACTTCCTCTTCTGTGTAGCTGTCGTCAGACTCAGTATCAGTTCCAGTTAGAATTATTCCGGCCTTTCTAAATCCCAACAGGATGGTTTTGTTGTCACTGAAGTCCAGGCTTTGTCGATCCATCCAATGACTTCCAGGAAAGTTACATGGCGCACCCTCCTCGTGTCACAAGTTTCTCCCTCACTCCAAACTTTCTTTCTGCTGCGGGATTACCGTTTTCTGCTGCATATTTCGCTACTTGCAGCTTGTAATCTGCAAAATATGATTTTCTTTTTGGGAGCATCTGTATCTCTTTCTGCAGGAGACATGCACAGTAAAGCCAAGTGACAGTGGTACAGGAATAATAGGAGCAGCAGATACTGGCACACAAGCCTCTCGCGGCTGTCAGTGTGAAAATTTTAATATATAAGTCGCACCGGAGTATAAGTCGCAGGAAACACCCAAACCATGAAAAACAGTGCGAGTTATAGTCCAGAAAATATGGTAAATATGCAGGATTTGTGTGTTAAACATTTATGAATGAAACAAAACAAAACTCTGGGTATGTTTGTGATGAGGTAACAACATTATAACATAGATCAGAAATGAGTGCAATATAGGAACCTTAAATCAAATCTAAAAATAAAACCAATTTCAAATCATTTTAAACAATGCATTAAATATGTTCTTTTTCTCACAGTCGGCCAGTATTAAAGAGGAGCGTGGAGATGAGGTGGAGGTGGAGTTGACGGACACACAGAAGCTGGTGACTCTGTCCAGAGAAGAGGTCCAGCGCATGAACCCTCCACGCTTCAGCAAAGTGGAAGACATGGCCGACCTCACCTGCCTCAACGAAGCTTCAGTCTTACACAACCTGAGGGAGAGATACTACTCCGGTCTCATATACGTAAGTAAAACATTTGAAGAAGCAGTGTGTAACATTTCTGATGTGGGGTCCGCTACCTGCTTGTGTCCATGGAAATGTCTGGGATGTTGTATATTGTAATACATAGACCACAATACGGTACATTTCTCGATACAGTGCACTTTTGATTTGATGCTAAAAGTCTTTGTTAAATCACTTCTTGTGCAAAGTTCACAGGAAACACAAACATTTTAATCCTCAAAACGGTGAAAATGTCAAATGTGTTGCATAAATGAGTTTCCTTCCACTAAACAAGAAACAAAACTGTAGCGTTGTAACAAAATAATTTGGTAAAATACACCAAAAAATAGTCTTGGCGATATATCAATACAGCAGCCCATGATATCAATACTTTATCATCATATTAAACGATGCGATATATCGATATTTCAATATTTTTTCACACCCCTAGTTGTAAGTGTATGGGATTTCAGTTTAAATTACAGGATATTTATTGCTTAAAAACTCATAGAAAAACCTGCAAGTGTGAGCGGGATTGCCTCTCCACAGATCTGACCTGCAACTTGGCCTGATTGTGTCACCTGCTTGTCTTCATAGTGATAAGTTTAAAGCCATACTGTGGTACATTCCAGTCATCCTACTTTAGAAAAGTTACAAGGCTGTGGGAAATATTTTGATCAAATTGCAATCTTAAGTGAATTTCTTACTCTTTGGTTCTAGTTTAGTCCTGGTTTGTGTCTAGATATAGTCCTCATTTAGACCCAGTGACCTTTCTTATTTCTGGTTACAAACTGGTTTAGTCATGGTTTAGTCTTGGTTAAGTCTTGGTGTAGTCCTGGTCTAATCCTGGTTTAGTTCTGGTTTAATCCTGGTTTAGTGATCCCAGTGAACCTCTTAAATCTGGGTTAATTCCTTGTTTACCTAGTCTGATCTGAGTTTATCCTGGTTTATCTTCAGTTCTATTTTATACTGCCAAACTCATACAAGAATCGCTCCTTTCAGAACTTGTTTGCAGACCGAATATTTACTTCTATACAGATAACATAACATTACCTAAATTTAATCTAATCTGCACTATTCAAACTTTAATTGCGTAGAATATTTCACTTCAAATATGGATTCCTGTCTTCACAAATGCTGTTAACTCTTCACGTTGGCGCGGTGGCATCTACTGTGTAACTGATCCAGGTCTTAGTGTCAGTTTACGAGCCGGTCTGTGCGGTGGAAATGGGGGCTGTCTTTGGTTTCTGTTTCTCGAGTGGTCTGAAGAAGGCATTAGAGCCAAGACTAAGGCATCTGAGAAGACCACCATGCAGACGTTATTGTCATGTGAATGCAGTAGATATGTTTTATAGTATCGCTGAAACAAGAATTCAGGTTAAGTGAGTGTGATTAATAGATTTTTAAACTGACAATAAAATAATAAAGTCATTGTTATCTGAACTGTAAGGAGCATTATCAGTTTGTCATGTCTCTGTGCTTTACGTTACAATTAATATACTCAAATTAATAAAGAAATAACTAACTATACTATAAAAATAATGATTTGTTACTGGGGATGTAACGATATCCAAATCTCTCGGTACAATATTATCACGATATGCATCTCACGGTACGATATTTATGCGATATTTTGGAGATAGATAGGACACTTTTTTGCTTTTAAAATACCTTGACAAGCTTTCAGTGTGAATTATTTCCATCACAATCCCAAGAATTCAAGTAAAAAACATATCTCCTCATGTTGTCTGCACTGAAATGAATCATGGGATATATAGTTTCCAATGTTCATAAGCTCTTGAATCATGAATTTAAGCAAAGGAACTTGTAATTCAATATACTGTGACAGCCCATGATACTATTGTGAGACTTTTGACGATACGATCACGATATTTCAGTTATTGTTACATCCCTATTTGTGACTGCACTAATTATTTCTTTATTTAAGATAAAATGGCACCAGAGATAAAACAGTGATGAGCAGTATTGTTGGAATAGTTTGTTTTTTTTAGCTCTTTGCAATGAGAAATAAGATAATGTAATTTGTTATTCATGACTTTCACTGTAGCTGAATAGCAGCTAAATCAAACTCCTTACACTTTTATTTGTACCTACCTATACTTAGACTTGCCACAGTAACACATTTTTAAGTGCCTAATTGCTCGTAAATGTCTTGAAGAAACCTAAAAAAAACCCAGCGAATTCATTTTAATAATTTATAATTTCTGAACGTCCTAATTAAGGCCAGAACAATGCACTTCCAGATTCTTACACAATAAATCTCTTTCTAAGTCCACAGCAGACTTATTTTGACCTCAAGAGCTGGTGACACAATATTTCTGTACTGGGGCAAGACAAATTTGTAAAAAAAAAATCAGGTCCTTTAAGAGTCATGGTAGCCGCGGGGTCTTAAAAGTCTTAAAAAGGTCTTAAATTTCATGTTTCGAAATTAAGGCCTTAAAAAGTCTTAAATTATGTTTTTTTGTTTTTTCACAAAGGTCTTAAATTTGGGGTAGTCAAACCTGGGGATACCCTGAGAATAAATGATAATACTGAAACAAAATTATGCTACTGGCACAATAACCCTAAAGCAAGATTATCCCCAAAATATTCTAAATGTACAATATTGTTTAAAGCATGAGCTCCAATAACCGGAAATAAAAACACACTGTAGTACTTTCTTTTATATTACCATCTGGCCTCATATCTGAGTAATCCCTCAGTCGTCCAGGAAGGTTCCATAATGGTCCATGGGCGTATACGAGTCTATGCCTGTGTCTGTACTTGTTCTGATACAGCTCAAGATCATCAGGAAGTGTTCATTTCCGTTCTTTTTAGTAGCAATACCTGCTCAAAGGAGTATCTAGTGTCTCGTTTTAGTCTTTATTAGCATCTGATTTCTGATAATTATGACAACCCCACGATGTAGTACTTATTGTGACACCCATACTTATACTTATATGTAAGACTGGACTGGCAGCTTTTACATTATCTAATACTGTTCCTCATGGTTGTACAGCTGACGTGAAACCAGGTTGAAGTTCATTTAAGGAGAAAAGCTGACGTGTTAATACTAAAACTATATGAAAAAGAAAAACATTGTTAACCTTCCAGTCTTGACGTATTCTGAATGTAAACTTACTCCTGTGCTTATCAGACGTGGGCAAGGCTGCTTCACCTGTTGACTCTGCTCTGTAATCTCACCTGATATTAACATGGACATCAATCAAATGAGCTGCAGGAATATCACAACTGAACCAAAAATTGCCATTTGAATGTTTAAAATGAGAAAACAGACTGACATTATTTGAGTAACATAATGTAATGTCGACATACAACAAATGATCTAGTCCCCAGGGGTCTTGTATGTACTATTCACCTCCCACCCCTGTAGTTTACACCTCTACATGATTTTTGTATTAGTTTAGAAGTTCATATTTCTGTCTTCTCTCAATGTTAATGCTCCTTTTGATGGTCTTATGTGAAATGTGCAGTGTGAGTTTAACTATATTGAGTTTTAATAATAATTCACAAAACTAACTACAGTACCAGTCACACAAATCACATTTCTTGTATCATAATCAGCCCTGCTCTCTACATCCTGCAGTCATGAATAAATAGAAGTAGAACTAGGGTTGTCAAAACTATTCATACCCACAAAAACTGGACCTTACTCAGTAGTTTAAGTAAGAATGATCTGTATCAGAACTACTATAAGCCCACATCATAATAGCAAAGAGGGCACTAGTATTTTGTGTAGAAAATGTCAGGCTAGACTCTGTTGTCTAATGAAAGAGTAGTATTATGTTATTGTCTATTTTCTTTGTACCAAAATCAACAGGGTAGAACTGGAACTTGTGGGAAAGTTTTAGAAAGATCACGTCATATGATCAAATACTATTGCTTTGTGTTATTGTTGTGTTCATTTACAGCTGATTGTATTTATTAAATCAGTATGGTATTAAAACAGGTATTGAGTACTGTGTATCTCTAAACATAGTGCTTAATAAAATATAGACCTATAAACTTGTTTTCTTTTGTGAAGATATTACATGCTCAAACTGATTTTGCATGTTTTTTAATCCTTATTTTAGAAATCCATTGTAAAAAGCAAGCTTTACAGCAATATTTCTTTATAGTAGTTCTTTAAAATAAGCAAAAATTAGAAAAAAATATTGGTTAATGGCCCAAGCTTTTCACAGATTATCAATATTGGCCTAAAGTTTCCATATTGATGCATCCCTGGTATAATATCTTTTCTGTAGTATGAAAAATCTAATGAAAAGTGCAACAAAAGTTCATAAACACTGAAGTAATTCATGTTTCTTTCTTGTATTTTTGTATTTTCAGACATATTCGGGCCTCTTCTGTGTGGTAATAAACCCGTACAAGAACCTGCCCATCTACACAGAGTCCATAGTGGAGATGTACAGAGGGAAAAAACGCCACGAGATGCCTCCACACATTTATGCCATATCAGAGGCGGCCTATCGGAGCATGCTGCAAGGTAACAGCCCTATCTCAAACCAATGACCTGCAATCATATAAAGCTCAAACTCTCCTGCTATCACAATTTATCCTGTGATCTTTGGTCCCTCTTTGAGGGCGTGTTTTCAGCAGAATAAAAAAAAAAAAACTTGAAGTGTAGATATATTTAGCAAAATAAACTATTTTAAACATGGGATTATTAAAGGTATACCTAGAGGTATGGTTGATTTCATTCGTACATTAACCATTAAAAAAGTATATTTATAGTAGGTGATGTTCATAGAGCTTGTTGTACCAGACTAGTTCACTCAAAAAAATTTAAACTGATCATCTCAAAAAAGTTATTTGCTTTACATAAACATAAAACAAAATAATAATAATAAAATAACAAAAATAATAAAACCTAATTTATGAATATTAGTAATTATTAAACTAATGTTAGTTTTAGTGTTGTAGTGTAGTTATTTGCTTTACTAAACATAAAATAATAAAATAATCAAAAGCATATAACCTAATTTATGAGGCTATTAGAACACTAATGTTAGTTTTAGTGTTGTAGTGTTTAGTTGTTATCTGTTGTTGTCATGTCATTGCTCAAATTACCACCAGTTTACAATTTAGCATTTTTAGTAGTCATTGTTTTGACTACTTAACTACTAACTTCTCAGTTATTCAAATGCCTAAAGATTTAGGCCTTGTTCCCTCTGTTGGCATTTTGTACCCATGGGTTTCAGAGTGATCAAAAATTGGGAGCTTTGCAAAAGCGATTAACAATTTCAATTTAAATATACAATATAAAATGGGGAAAAACTTCTCAAAATGTTGCACATAATAGGAAGACTCATGAATAGTCAAATTTCATGCCAGCTAAGGCTTTGAAGAATTTCCAAGAGACTTAATTTCAAGATATACAGGAAATCCCAAGGTTAAAGTAGGAAGAAATATGAATAGATTTATTGTCATGTTTTTGTAATGCTTTAGTGATTCATGCTTTAAAATCCACTGTGGATTAGACATGTGGCTTTGCTCCAGGTTTTATGTGGCAGAACAAAATAGCTTTTGTCAGTTACACATTTTTGGTAATAGATTATTTGTCGAAAAATGTAATTAAAAATTGATAAATTGAATCAGTTGTAGGTTTAAGTATGTGATTTAGTTTAGAAATCCCCAAATGTAAAGCATTCTATAGGAGGGGGCCTTCAAAAATAATAAAACCTATGTGTGTGGGAGAATTCCAGGTGTGGCTGCACTTTGTTCACGTTCTGTAAATCTGATGATATCATTCCATCTGTTGATTTTGATAATCCTATTAGTCACCACAAATATATTACAGGAATTTTTGCTGTCTCTAACCGTCATTTGGCATATAAAAAGTAAATAATTCAATTTGAAACTTGTTAAAGAAGACAATGTGCTTTTGTCTACTTTATAGTTCTTACATTATAGTGATCTGGTAATCTATGGCACCTGTCGACCTTTATGTAATATTTATTTATTTATATGCAGCCATGGCAACAGAGTGATTGGCTGCTTACTTGACTGGCACACTAGGCATTTTTTTAGCTCAGTTTTTAACATATCATGGGATTTTTTTTTTTTTTTACCATTTTTGAAGTGCAGCATACAAAGTTCAAAGGACAGAACTAAAGGTTGGATTGTGTGAAATTAGCTATTTGTTTTTCTCATATGCATGGAGAAGATAAGGAGCTAGCTATTTTTTACATTTATTTTTTACACTAAATGTGGCAGATGACATTCTTAAGGAAACGCTTCGAGGGAATGTCCCATCTTATCACCAACCAAAACTACTGAGCAGAGTGAGAGTGAGGCTTAAAGTGGGCTTTCCTGTTGTGTCCAGAGTTCTGCCCCCTCTGTGGTTGCAGCATCACTGCAGGGCATTGAGGAGAGACACTTATGTCCTGAGGACTGTTATTGACCCTGATCCCTATGGATCAGGTAGGGTCAATAGATCAATAGATAGTAATTTTTTTTAATCTCATTTGTTACAAAATCTGCAGCCCTCCCAATCCTATCCTATTTGTCACAGATTAAGAAAATAAAATTGTAATTGTAAGTAATTACAAAACACTGGGAGTGTATTGTGGTGGTGTTAATGGAGGTTGTAATAAACATTACTCAAACATGCATGAATAAACATTACACAAATATGCATGAATCATTCTGAATACTACAAGCTTCAAAACATCAAGAGGGTAAATTAGAAGCTAAACAATTAGAACTTGGTTCTAAAAAGTTGTTTTTGCACAATATGTTCCCTTTAAGACTGAATTGAGCAATGTATGTGGTTGTCAATGATAACACTATGACTATGCAACAACACAGGACTGTATTCTGTATTCTCCGCCCCTGGCCGCCTGCTCTGAGCGGTTGTAGGTGTGACAGCACTGATTTAACCTGTAGAACCAGTGTGAATTCTTCTACTGTGAATGTGTGGGAATCAAAGCTACTTCAAACATGGTTCAAAACAATGGGACAGTCCTGGAGAGAGGAGCCCGGAGTGACCAGTTCAGTCAGTGGCCTGTGCTTTTCTTTGGTGCTTCTCTAATTGGAAAGAAGCACATGTGTCTGCAGTCTGAGGCAAAGGAGGCATCAGCAGCTGTGTGGTGGGCTGGGGGTTGTTCCATATGTAAAATGCCCTTTCACTGTTGTCATAGGGTTTTCAGTATTTACAATATTAAAAGTTAAAAGGCACCGCAGAGGCTAAGCCATTTCTTTGGGTCCTCAGACACCTTGTGAACTGGCCCTACTACTGCCTACACAGCTATAGTTAGTACTTTTGTTAGATTCATAAGATTAAATACCATTATTTCTTCATGAAAAAACAACCATTTTGCTGGGAGAATGCCTCATTCAGAAGGCTTTTATTTTGTAGCGCACAATTCATACTCAAAGTATGTTATGTACAGAGCAAGAAGGGTGTGTTACAATCACATACTGTACACGCAAGTCAATAAAAACAATTAATAGTAATTAATTAACTATAAATTTATTTTAAAAGACGAGTGATGGTATAATTTGTCAAATGTACAGCACATTGTCACACCTGGCCTGTCTCACACTTCAGAAAGCTGTTTTTAGCTGTTATTTTAATAGATCCATGCATAAAACTGACTCCTCATGTTTAGTCCTGACTCTGGGCACCAGCAGGAGGTCGGCCCCTGAGATCCTCAGAGTGCGAGATGGTTCAAATGGCACTAACATGTCACAGTGCTAATTATCATGGTCTATAATTAAACATTTTGATAAATGATTCCTAAAGTAATTCCCTCCACTTTATTGTCTCTATAGTTTTGGCTGGGCATTTCATCAAATTTGACTTTTGGTTCAGTCACTGATCATCTTGGGTCTTACCAGTAGCCCTAATCAAACTTATATTGCATTTAGAAAAAGTCTGTAGAAAAAATAATTGAGAATTTTATTACTTCCAAAACCAGATGTCCCTTCCTCCTTATTTGGCTCCAACTTAACCAGGATCTCCATCAGTCTGTGAATATATTATTGCTTGAGAAAACCTGAACCTTCTGCGGCCCTGTCTGAAGTGGTACATGTTTTTTTACACTGGTCTGTGGGAGCGGAGACACCGTGAAACATGACCCCGGAGACAGAGGCTCCTGCGTGCCCTTACACTGTTTCAGAGGTCACATGTCTCAATATGGAACATGTACATTCATGTCAAATCACAAACATTTTACTGGAAAAAAATTTAATCATAAATGACATAATATGTAAATAAGTGCTTGATTTAAGTAGATTAGGTTTGATCTTAAAACAAGATTTACCAATTGATACTTTGCAGCAGATGTTATCAACATTCTCTGGGGATATGATGCTAAATGGATACCCTGCTGTGTCTGAAGCTCTGTTACTCAATTTAGACATTAATCTGTTATTTATTTTAACACAATCTGACCATAAAGAACTGACTGAACTATAACAGAATGATCTGATTTTGTGCCTAAACAGGACCATGAATGCTTATGAACACAGGATCCTTAAAATGAGTTGTTTAAATTAATTTTGTATTTTTTCTTTTTCTTAAAACCTTTTCAGCAACGTTTGCTAATGGTTGCATTCTGTTCCTGTAGAAACTGCTGAAAATTAAACCATAGACAGTCATGTAGAACACCCCCAGCATGATGTCACTGCAAATTGAGAAAATGCATGTCCTTTTCTTATTTCAAGGAAAATTACTTCCCTTGTTGGTTTGCTTGTTTTATTGGCAAACCTTATTTTAAGATTTAAAACTGAAGTCAAAATGTTGACAAATGGAAATAAATATTACTTGATTCAAACAACTTATTATCTTAGGATTGTATTTTTTTTGCTATTTACAAAGCCTTGAAAACTCACCTGTTCAAAATTACCTTAAAGAAATAACTGTATCTTCTTTTTTACCTGTACTTCCTCTTCCTGTTTTAGACCTAGTTGTGTTTTTGTCTTAAACTGTGAAGCATCTTTAAGTGTCATGAAAAGTGCTCTACAAGTGTGTTTTGCTAATGTAATCTTTGTTTTCTATTTACAGACAGAGAAGATCAGTCAATCCTTTGCACGTGAGTAATCAATCATATTTCTTACATATACATAAATAATATAATGTTGAATCTACAGTTTAGACATGTCAAAAATGAACCAAAACCGGTTATTCTTTCAAACATGTATCAATTAGAGCTGGAGGCCATACCATGAGTTGTTTAGCTGATTAATCGGTCAATGCTGTTTTAGTCATTTGTATTTGTCACGTAATGATTTTGTTTAGACTACAGGGATCTATATTAGACAGCAGCAGAAGGAAGAAGGCATGCAGTGAGCAATCTGAAGATATGGGAGTGGCTCTTAGGTTTAATTTGCCTTTTTACATGTTGTTTCTTGAATTGTAGCTCAGGTAATGGTTAATCTGGGTTAGATAAAAAGAAAAGGATTGCTCGGTTACTAGGGTTTCCAAAGTATCCAAAATCAAAAACTAACTTATACTAAAATTACCGGTAGTATTGAATTTAGATACACATTTAAGTATCGTTTAACTGGTTTAATTTGACTTTACTGAGCTGTTTCATTTTGAGTTTTTACTGAACTACTGTAAGACCACATGGTATAACAAACAAATACTGTTATTTTGAGTTGAACATTACAATATTGTCCCATTTTTGTATTGTGACAACACTTTGAGATACTGATATCATAAACCATTCTCCGAACCTTCCATTTGAATAATACCAGTAATCGTAGCGACAGGTTGGTTTTCCTGTCTTCCATTTTCCTGTCAGACCTTCCTGTCTTTGTGGAGGATCCTCTGTGTCTGACTGAATTTGGGACAAAGACGTTGCTTCTGTCACAGCTGCTATTTTTGCTCCAGTCTCCTCCATTCTTTCCCACAAGCAACAAATGTTACGCAGCCTGTTTCCTCTGCACTGTCTGTGCTTTAGTCTTTCTTTAGTCACTTTAAAGGGGCACTGTGTAACTTTTCAGGTGGAGGTTTTGCTCTCTCCTTGTCTCCTTGATGTTATTATTTTGAATGGAATGTTCCACACACTATGTCATTGGGCATAAATACATGTGTTTGTTTTGCTTGTCTCCTTGGAGATGGAGAATAATGTGAAACCTGCCAGCAAGTTACATAGGCCCTTTCAATTATATCTGCAGTTGCAGAAAGTGTAGTAGTTAGTTTATCTCTATGCCAAATTCTTTCAAGTTACTATTCTTTCGAAGAGAAATTGTGTTATTTTAAGAGTGGCATACTTGATTTGACTTCTAGATTACCTTGGTTACAAAAAAATACAGTCGCTTTCCTTTGTTTTGAACTAATCCACAATCATATCAACAATAGGTTACAGTTACTCCTGACATCCGTAGTACTTTTATATACAGATACTTTTTCCTAAGCCTAAGCTAAAAGTGTATTCAATAACGTTTGCTTTATTGTATATTTATTTTATACTTTTCTTGTATGTGCATGTTACAGTGGAGAGTCTGGAGCAGGGAAAACAGAGAACACAAAAAAGGTGATCCAGTATTTGGCTCACGTCGCCTCCTCTCATAAAGGCGGGACCCCAGGACGCCCCAAAGAAGCAATACAGGTCTGACGCACTATCACACCTGGCTGGAAAAATGTTTTTAGATAAATGGGTGGATGATAAGACATAAAGGTTATATGACAGTTACAATTTTATTAGGGTCTAGGTCTTGATCCAGATTTTACCACACTGTACACCAGCATCTTCTGTGTGTCCACACTCCCCTGTGATTGGTTAATTCCACCTGTCACTCATTTAGAGCAAAACTGAGGCCAATAGGAGCGGTGGGAGTCATCTGTCTTTTTTTTTTCAGTACATATCTGCTTTAAAAAGAATACACTGAATCATGTCATGTGTTTACAATGGCTCATCATGGGTTCCAGTTTTCTGTTTACAGTTGGCATTTTGCTGACTTTTTCATTTATGATAATTTGGGTAACACTTTAATAACTCTTTAAATACACTTTAATTAGCCTTAACAGAGCATGACCAAGCTCAAACCTCAAACCGAACCGTTTGGTTAAGTAGTTACAAAGCCTGAATCATTTCTAATAAACTATTTGCTTGTTATGATGTAAGCCATTGTTAATGTTGTATTAAGGTTAATTAAGGTGCAGCTATAGTAAAGCTATAATAGCTATTTTGTTTTGAATTTTTAATTGCTATGGCAACAGTCCTCAGTTTTCTCCGAAACCACAAACAAAATATAGTTTTTATCATCCACCCTTATATATAAAGATGAGTTCATTTAGTTTGCATTTAATTTACATTGATTATACTTTTGAAGTTATTAATAATCTTACCTCTTCATCTTATCCTGGTTTGGGTTTCTTTAATCTGTTTTCTCCCTGGCTCCTCTTCCTCCTACTCCTCTTCGTCCTCTCCTTTTCTCCTGCACTGGCCCCCTGCTCCTCTGTTTCGTGCATGTTCAGATGGATGGTTCTAGGTCCTTAACCAGAGGCAGTTCTATGGTAAATCGGGTAAGTTCCTGTCCCTGCCCTTTGCTTTTCAACCTGTCATTTTAATACTTCACTCTTCACTAATTCACTAACATGTTTAACCAATGTTCAAACTACTGTATTTAATGTGAAGTGTTTGTCTGTTTTCATTTATTTTTGTGTCTTGTGTGTTTTATTTCTTCATCTTTACCCACTTACCCTCATTAATTGACCAATTCATCAGAGTATGCAATATGTGAGTATACCACGTTGTTAAATCACACAATGTATTTTGATTAAGCACAAACCCCTTTGCTGCCTAATGCTTTGCTGTAATACTGCACACTGCAAAAAATACTTGAATTCATAATATTAAAGCCACTTCCACCTGATTGTTGTTGCTTTCCCTGGAATGTTCCATCTTTTAGCATTAAACACATATGTAATTTATTCAATTACAAGTGTTTCCAGAGCTTTCTGGCGCTGTACCTTGAAAAAGTCAAACGCCTCCCCACAGATCTGATCTGTAACTGCCTTGTAGCGTCACCTGTTTCTATGGAGATAAATAATGCCATACTGTGGAACATATGAGTAGTTCTTAATTTTTTGTGTCACTTGTAGTTTATTTGGCTGTACACTTAATGAAACTAAATGTTTAATCATTTCTAACCTTGTTGTTTTTTTCTAACCTTGCTTAGTCAAATGAAATGAATTCAAGTAATTTCCACCCATTGCGTGTTTGCGGTGTAATCTCTAGGCAGGCTTTGCTTCACTGTCGTGGCTTCTGCAGGGTTGTTTTTGTTTAGCTTTTTTGGCCTGGTGAAATGAGAAAGCCTGAGGTGCTTTTAAGCGTGATCATACAGGTGTATCAGAGGGCGTGGCTTTGTTTTTGTAGCTGTCACTTAAATGTGCCTCATTTGCACTTGGTCTGGGTACAGGCCTGTCACAATCATTACTACACTGATTTATGGTTCAGTTAAGGAAAGAGTTACAGCTTTTTGTGCCCAAAATGTATTGTTTGTACATTTTATTTGCACTGGTAGAAAAGACCTATTTTGATAAAGAACATAATTAACATTTCTTTGAGTCATTATAGATACAAACTACTGCTGTGTAGTGCTTGGTTATGTAAGTATTTTTTAAGAGCTGTCAAAAGTTAATCTATTGAGGAAGAATAGACTTAAACTAATATTTATTTTCTAGTAATGCTTAGTGATTCAAGCATCACATAGATGAGAACAGTGGATTAGCTCCAGGTTTTAAGGGGCAGAAAAAGCACCCAAATTATCCAGAGCAAATTTATGCCTCACAGCAAAAGTAGTCCCTGTTTACCCAGGACCCCGTGCAGGCATCTTTCACAAAGACTTATTGTGCATTTTTCATAGGTAGAATATTGTATTTGTTCATTTATTTGGTTTATTTCAATAGGAACAGCTACAAAAACAGACAAAAACATGAACTGAAGCACATCAGTCCAATTACCTGGGCCTACTTCGCAGCACTTGTCCTTAGATAGTATCTCTAGGACCCAGGGCTCTGAATATTCTGCGACACCTCTGGCCTCAGTTGGCCCAGTTTCACCTAATACATGCTCAAACATATTAAAGACAAATTAAGGACAATTATACAGAACATGGAGAGTCATTGCTTTGGTTAGAAAATTCTAAGTAAGGCATTAAATGAACAATAGGATCTGAAATTGATTTTTAAAATATGAATCATTTAAACTACTTGAAAGTGCATTATTGTGACGGGCCTATAGCTGGAGTCCTGCTTGGCGTTGCATGTGTAGTTTTGTCCATCTCCCCTCAGACCCTCACTGCAGCATCCCTAGCCTCTGCACTGACACTGCGGCTCCTGCCACGACTGCAGCTAACACAGCAACCAATGCACTTGAGTGTTAATGCTACTAACAAGCCGCAGATTTTTGCTTTTGTGTTCAAGAGCAGTGGTTCTCAATTCACTCAAACTTAGTACTATTTTAGTGTTTAATCATTTAAGACTTGCTGTTGTCAGTGTTGGGAAGATTACTCCAATCCAGTTCGCTTTATTTGTTTAGCACATTTCAAAAACAAAGTGCTAAACAGAGACAAGTAAAAACATTATTACTTTGAAACTGTTAACAGAATATTGACTACCTGCCAAAAATCTTATCTGTAATGTTGTGTAATAAGGGTAGTGTATTCCCAGAGAGTTTAGTGTAAAATAGGGTTGTCAAAAGTAGCAAAAATTACATACCAACCTATTTTAAAACTTATCAAAACAAAAAGCAAAATTGATACTGAGAAAAATCACATAAACAGAACAAAACTGGACCTTTCCTGGACAGTTTTAGAATGATCTTTAGCTTTGTCAGCTCTAGTATAAGATCACATAGCAGCATAAAGAAAGTACTATTATTTAATGTTGAAAATTACATTCTGTTGTCTAAAAAAATTATTAGTTATTTTATTCTCAGTGTGATATTGAAATCAATATAGAGTATAGAATCCTTAGTATCAAAATAGAGTATGGAATTTTATTATGAACACTAGTGCCCTAGTATAAAAACAAAGGATTAAAGCAGCTTTATGTTTATTGCACAGTTTGTTATGCATATACACTACCGGTCAAAAGTTTTATAACACCCTAATTTTTCCAGTTATTTATTGCAATTCAAGTCGTGCAAGTCCAATGAATAACTTGAAATGGTACAAAGGTAAAAGTATTGAACCGCCAGAGTTTTAAAAATAGATAAAAGAACAAAAGGCAAGTCCAAGCTCTGCCAAAACTACCTCAGGAAAAAAGAACAAGATGGTGAGCTTGAAAACATGGAGTGTCCAGCACTGTCTCAAGACTTAAACCCCATCAAGCTGATTTTGGGATGAACTGGATGAACGAGTGAAAGCCAAGAAACCTACAAGTGCCACACATTTATGGGAACTTCTGCGACAGACTTGGGAAGAACTTTCTGAAGAATATTTGATTTCTATTATAAAAAGAATGAGCCACAAGTGTGTTCAGCTGTTTTATCTGCCAAAGGTGGACACTTTGATGAATCAAAAGTTTAGAATACGTCTTGGTCAACAGTAAACAATAAAAAACTAGAAAAAGTGTGGCATTCTAAAACTTTTGACCAGTAGTGTCTCTAATTATAAAAGAAAAGATCACACACTCGCCCAAGAGTGATGTTTTCTGTATTTCTCAGCCTATACTACATTGTATATTATGTAACTTGAGTAACTTAATCAGATTACTCAAAATTTGTATTCTGGTCTCATGTGTGCATTTAGTTCCTTCCCAACACTGCTCATTATAGTCACAGTGCAATGACTGAAACAGGATTGATGCCTTTCTATTGATTGCATAACTAATGAACTGTGAGAACTGTGCTGACTGAAAGAGAGAGAGAGCTTCTGCTGGTGGCCATTCCAATAATTTATGGGTTTGCTTTTACAAACTAAGAATTTATGTTTAAATAGTGGCTTGATTTATTATTTATTAACAAAGCAATGCAAGACAATACAATGGGAGTGCCTTGTTTGTTTTTTGCGGTCAGATTCACATTTTTATTTTGTTTTCAGGGCGAGTTGGAGAGACAGCTCCTGCAGGCCAACCCAATACTAGAAGCCTTCGGGAATGCAAAGACTGTGAAAAATGACAACTCGTCTAGATTTGTAAGATAATTAAAATAATACATGTGTTTTTTGTAAATAAACTTATGATAGATTTTGTGTGAAAAGTAAAACTATTTTCTGTTTCAGGGCAAGTTCATCCGCATTAACTTTGACATGGCCGGATACATTGTTGGTGCCAATATTGAGACCTGTATCTTTTTATGAACTGTTGTAATGTGTAAGAATCATTATGCTGTTTGTTGTTGTATATAACATCATAATTAAGTACAAAAATACTTTAACCAATCACACAGACCTCTTAGAAAAGTCCAGAGCCACACGTCAGGCCAAGGATGAACGGACTTTCCATATCTTCTACCAGATGCTTAGTGGTGCTTCAGATGAAACAAGAGGTGAGCTTTAATCAAATCTATACACACTGTCTCCCATTAATTGAGATGTTTAATTTGTGGGGACTCTGGGAATTTGTAACTCCTTTCTTGGAAAATACAGCTCACAACAGTTCGTTGGCTTTGATTGACATGGAACGCTAAGCCTCACCCTCGGACGAAATGCAGAGAATTTAGGGAGTCCCTTAATTTTTGCCCGCATAATCTGAAAACAAGCTGAACAAAAAAACTGGTAATTATATAAATATGCATTACTTGTGCCAATATAGTCTCAGTATAAATCTGAGTAACTCTGATACCTTTATTTATCAAGAAACAACCAGAGAGACTGAGCCAAGGCACTCAACAGAATCAAAACAGTACAGAAATAACAAGTGACTCTAATGATTTAAAATTTTTAACAGTATCAAAGGGCCTATATTATGCACAGTTGACTTTTTTTTTTGTTTTTACCCGGGTTACAATTCATAAAAAATATACCTGTTGTTTTTTTCTTTCATTGGTGCAGTCAGTAAAATGCCTTCCTGTAATTGTGACCGTGTTGAGTTATAATTTTTAAATCTTTATCAAATGTTTTCTTGTAATTGCACTCAAATGATCTCATTCTGTCACTCAGCCAGTTTACTCTTAATAGATTTTGTTGTAGCTTGTTTAACATCTGGTTTCTATTGTGTCAGAGATGTAATTCTATTATTTTCATTCTCGCAACGACAAGCTAAGGCTTAATATGCAAATTCGTAATACTACAGGAAAAACTAATCCATTACATCTCGTGTATTTTCAGTACAGGCATTTAATTACTTCCCAACACGGTTCGTTTATAGTCACAGAGCAGTGTAAAACAAGATAATACAGGAAATGCTCCACTGTGTTTTTAAACTTCATACACTCACTAGAATCATTTGAACAATTTCAGCTTTGCAACTGGTAAAGAAAAAAGTAACAACATTCTAACATGTCTTAAAACTCACAAGAGTCAATTTTGTGTGATATAGGCCCTTTAACTAATGAGCCATGAGAACTACTGTAGGTTTTCTGAAAGATTGAGCTTCCGTTGGTGGCCTGAAATATAACCCCTTTCACTATAACTATGACTGGCTAATGTTTTGTATGCAAATTAGTAACACTATAGGAAAAAACAAATCTATGGTTGCCAAAGTAGTAATAAAGATTACTACAGGACCTGTAATATAATACACAGAATCTTATAGTTTTGAATATCACATAATCTCTCTCTTTTAGCCGACCTGCTCTTGGGGACTGCAGACGAGTACCGCTTCCTCAGTGGAGGGTCGGTCCCAGTTCCAGGTCAAAGTGACTCAGAAAACTTCACTCAGACCATGGACTCGATGGCCATCATGGGCTTCACACCAGAGGAGTCAGTGTGTAAGTTAAACACAGTTATATACAACAGTTAAAAAGGTACACTATGTAACTTTTTGTATTTTTAGTATCGAGACTATACCTTAGTAAATCCTAGTACTAAATTTTATTGTATCGCTTTATAATATAGAAGTGTAACATATCTCTATTTTGTCTCTCCTCAGCCATGTTAAAGGTCATCTCTGCTGTGCTCCAGTTTGGGAATATTTCTTTCACAAAAGAGAAAAACCACGACCAGGCCTCGATGCCCGACAACACGGCTGCCCAGAAACTCTGCCACCTGCTGGGCATCAACGTCCTGGAGTTCACCCGCGCCATCCTCACCCCCAGAATCAAAGTGGGACGGGAGTACGTGCAGAAGGCCCAGACCAAAGAACAGGTGACATTCTGTTATATTCTACATAGACACACGACAATGTGGAACATCTGCATGATTTATTATTATCCGTCATATGTGTTTGGACTTTTCAGTGTCATTCTGATTGAGTTCAATATTTTTATTAAAATATTAAAGGTGTTTGATCTACAGTTTCAGGTGAAGGGTTCATCACCTGCTTTTCTTCTTGGAGTTTTTATTGCTTTCCCTTGAATGTTCCACAGTATGGCATTAAACATGCCTATTTTCCAGGCTTTGTATTGTTTGAAACATGCTTAGAAAAATATTCCTTCTTACTTTGAACATGCTCGCCTATCCTAGATCTCATGTGGAACTTGGCCTGGGGTCGTCACCTGCTTGTCTCTATGGAGATAAATAAGTTAAAATGCCTTACTATGGAACATTCCAGGCAAAGCTGCGAACTCTCCAATAGAGAGACAAAGAAAGTTTCATAGTGCACCTTCAAATACAGAATATATATACCTCCTAACTAAATAAATATAATATTCTAACAAAAAATATATAACCCAGATAAATATTCTGAATTCAGTTCATATGAGTGATCATGTTGTTGTGTCCAGGCTGACTTCGCAGTGGAGGCTCTGGCTAAGGCCACATACGAGCGTCTGTTCCGGTGGCTCGTTCACAGGATCAACAGAGCTCTGGACAGAAGGCAGAGACAAGGAGCCTCCTTCATCGGGATCCTTGATATCGCTGGATTTGAAATTTTCCAGGTTTGGACGTTTTCATGTCACAAACAGATCATAGATCAATATCAGTTTTTATTTGTCATCTATATTGTATTAACACAAGGTTAAAACATTGTTGTGAAATACAAATAAAACATCAGGATTGACCAACTTGCCAGCTCTGTAACTGTATAGCATAACAATTAGTAAAAGTGCACATTTATGCATTTGTAGTGCAGTTTTCAGTAGAGTCATCCATAAAAGAAAACTAAAGTGCTGTTGCACCATCCATTGTGTAACATATATTCATGGGTTTCAGGCATCAGGATTCCTGATTTGAAGATTTTGGCCGGGCAATGCAGCTCAGGAACATAATTCAAAACAAAATATTATATCTTTTGAACAGGGAATGGTCCTTACAAAATCCTTCAAATCTGGAAGAAATCATTTGCCTGAAGTTCATGAATACACAGATGAACATAACATGTCCTCTAACCTCTTTCTAATTGATTTTTCCTGTAGCTGAACTCGTTTGAGCAGCTGTGCATAAACTACACCAATGAGAAGCTGCAGCAGCTGTTCAACCACACCATGTTCATCCTGGAGCAGGAGGAGTACCAGCGCGAGGGCATCGAGTGGAACTTCATTGACTTTGGCCTGGACCTGCAGCCATGCATAGACCTCATAGAGAGACATGTATGTACAGCAGGGCCTGTCACAATCAATACTATATCCACTTATACTGCAATAAATAAAAGCTTGATGTTCAATGCTTATCATGTATATATTTTTTGCACAAGTGGGATTTTTTACGATAAGATAAGAGGGTAAATAAGTAACTTATTTTTCTCTGACGTGTTATAGAAACTAGGAATTCTTGTTTGAGATTTTAAACATTTGAGATTTAAAAACTTACTACTATTTCTTCAATTGCTGACAATAATATACACTACACATATGATATAACTGCATGAAATCCAGTGTTTTGTCAAACTAAATTTAAATTTCCTTGGCTAATCAAATATTTTAATGATTCTTATTGTTTTGGAATGATTTTGCAGATCAGATTTTACCCAGTTTTAATATACATAAGTTGATAAAAAGATGTTTTTTTCCTGGTCAGAATAACCCTCCTGGTGTCCTGGCTCTCCTGGATGAAGAGTGCTGGTTTCCGCGGGCAACAGATCGTTCATTCGTGGACAAACTCACGGGAGAGCAGGGCAGTCATCCCAAATTCTTCAAATCAAAACAGCCACGCGGAGAGGCCGACTTCTCCATCATCCACTACGCTGGGAAGGTAGGCTCACCGTCTCCGCTGTGCCTGCAGAAACGTTTTACCTCCACCAAATGTTTGCAGTGAATGAATAAATAAAAGACAAAGGCATTTTTATCTTCAAAGGTGCACTATGTTTTTCTAGTTTTCACTTCTGGTATTCTTGAATCCATGGGGATGTTATTGCCCTGTCTGGACTATTCCACAGTATGCTATTAAATTTAGACAAGCACGTGAAGCCACCTGTCCAAGTTGCAGGTGACATCTATAGTAGTTTAGCTGTTTAATTATATACCCTGAAACATTCCAGAAAAGTTACATAATGCACCTTTAGTTTTTGCTCTATTACTAATTATAATGATTTTGATAATGATTTTATTACAAATGTCAAGAGTCTTTTGCTCCCTGGTGTAGGTGGACTATAAAGCAAACGAATGGTTAATAAAGAACATGGATCCTTTGAACGACAACGTAGCGTCTCTCCTCCATCAGTCGTCTGATCATTTTGTGTCTGAGCTCTGGAAGGAAGGTAAGTCTAATGTCATATTTACACAGAACACCTAAATGTAGAACAATTAATGTAGTTTTATAACTACCATGTTTTTTTACGCTTAATAATGCTGAGTGAATTGTTTATTTACTTCTTGAATTCTAATCTGTGGGTTTCAGGGTGATGAGTGTCTAACACCGCTGCTATAACAATTAACAATTTAAAACAAACCATTATAGCTTTTGAATATGCAAAAGTCCTTAAACTGTCACGCATAAAACTTAGTTCTAAGTTTTCAATTAAAAAAGCTTTGTTTTAGTATGTTTGTTTGGCTAAAAAGTACTGTGGCATCAGCCAAAACCCATAAAAAGCAATACAATTATTATAATTTATTATAAATCAAACACGACCCATCCTATTCAAAGTGAAGAATGTCACTATAAATGTATTAAGCTAACTTGTTATGTATTTCTGTCTCTTTCTGCTATGCCACTCTCCTCCTCCTCTCCCCCTGTGCTTTCCTTTGCTTGCTTTTTCTTTATTTTTCTGTCTTCCTCACCCTCCTCTCCTCTGCGTCAGACATTCAAACTCTTCCTCGTGTCTACTTCTTTGATTCCTATGCAACAATCCAGGCCAATGGCAACGACAGTAGGTTCTCCTCCTCCTCTCTGTGGATCTGTCACTCCATCTGCCCCACTGCTAAAAATTATTTCTACATGAGTTTAACCAACTTGGATTCAGAATATTTATTTCATTTTGAGAACTTATCTAGCTAAGTATGTGAAGGGTTTTTTTAGTTGTTGAAAAATATTTTACAAGTTTCAGATTCTTTTCAATTCAAGATTCAATATTTTATTGTTCTTGTCATAGAAAACAACTAAATTACATTTAGAGCATCAAACACTGCAAAACCCCATTCAATAACCCCAATATAAACAATAACAAAATAGCATTCAGTGGAGCAGTCAAACATTTTATCTTTGTCTTAATTTCAGTCAAAATTGCCATTGCCAATTCTTTTACTTATAATTTCCCTACTCCACTGTCAAAAAACTGGCAAAAAATAAGAAAAATATATTAATTCATCTAGACCTACTAATGAAGTAAACCCCAAGTATTCAAAACTGCTAAAACTGCAAAATATTTTGAATTCAAATCATTTTTTAACTTGTGTAGACACTCCTTTGTTCCATGCTTTTGTGTGATGTTAATTTACATGCCTGTGTGTTGTGTAACCTTAAAGTTGCATGTTGTTTGGTAGTATGTATTTACTGTGTGAGTAGTTTGTCATTATCTTTTAGAATTTTGCTTTGTCGGCTTAACTACGTCTTTGAAGATAGTATTTTAATAGTTTAGTTGAATTCTTCTAATATTTTCAGTTTAGATGAACTTTTAGTCAAAATTTGTGGTGGAGGGCTGGACATAATGCTAGATGTCGGTATTATGCAAATTAGATTATGAAATGATCATGAATTAATTACTCACAGTTTAGGGTTTTACCTCTGTAATTACTAGGCCCATGCACATGTGGAAGTCCATACTTTTTTAATCAGTACATATGAATAAATGGAATTGTTTTTTCACTCTTCATTCTTTCTCACTGAAGCAATTATTTGAAGTTAAGTTATTATCCAGTAGATTAGAAGACTTTGTGAATGCACTTACTAAATGATCAGGTTCAACATTTGCTGATTTTCTATTTAGAGATTTTTTATATTGCTTTGGCCAAAGTCCCTGCCCTCCATCTAAACTTTTGACATAATAAAATTCTACATTGTGAACCCAACCTAAATCATAAAACACTTTCATAATTCCACTTTGATGGTAAACACATTTCTCTATCTTCTTGCAGTGGACAGGATCATAGGTCTAGACCAGGTGTCCACAGGTGAGAGCAGTGGCCCGGTGCCCTTCGGAGCAGCCGGATTAAAGACCAAAAAGGGAATGTTCAGGACCGTGGGACAGCTGTACAAAGAGTCCCTTACCAAACTCATGGCCACTCTGAGGAACACCAACCCCAACTTCCTCCGCTGCATCATCCCCAACCACGAGAAGAGGGTATGGTTTTTATTAGGGGTGTAACAATAACCAAAATATCTTGATATTGTATCATCAAAGGTCTCTCAATAATATCGTGAGCCATCACAATATATCGAATCACAAGTTTCTTTGCTTAAATTCACTGTTATGGTGCAGCAAAAGCTAAAAAAACAGAGGGAACTACATCGACCATGATCCTTTGCTCCGTTTTGGTGCAAACTACATGAAGAAATAGCAGTTTTAAGCACTTTTAAAGAAGAATAAGTAGTATATTCACAATTCTATTAGCCTCCCCAAAATATCACAATAAATACCGTACCATGAGATGTCTATCGTGAAAATATCGTACTGTGAGATTTGGATATCGTTACATCCCTAGTTTTTATGTTTATTCAGTAAGTAAGAGTGTTAATGGTGCAATATGTATATTTTGGGTAGAGTTTACACTGCCTGCTTGTCTCCAAGGAGGTGTTATTGTTATGCCTGGAATGTTTCTCCGTATTATGTTATAATGTAGCGAAGCATTTATGTTTTCACTGTATTTTGAAGCAATGAAAACCTGTGATTTAATACATGCACGGTAGATAAGTTTAATACCGTACAGTGGAACATTCCAGCCAAAACCATGTTGTCTCAAGTAGGCAAGCGGGTGGTAGATTCCCCACTAGAAAAGTTGCACCATAGTGTACATTTAATTGACACACAGCCACACAAGCTATGTTCATATTGCAGTCCCATTATAACGTTCATGGTAATTCAGCAGCTACTGTTAATGAGTCTATTATAGGTGTTAAATATTTTTTTGTGTCTGGACTAATCATGTAATAATTTGTCATAATGCATAGGCTGCTGTAGAAGTTGTACAGTGTATTCGCAAAGATCTGTTTTGCACACACAACTAGGCTTATATGAGGAAAATAGTATAATATAAGAGATAAAAATCAGATGACAAATTAAGGAAAGGCCAGTTTCACATACAGTATGATTTGATAAGGTTAAAACTAACAGTCTTTTTCTGGTTGCTTAGGCAGGAAAGCTTGCTCCACACCTGGTTTTGGATCAGCTTCGGTGCAATGGTGTCCTGGAAGGTATTCGGATCTGCAGACAAGGATTCCCAAATCGCATCCCATTCCAAGAGTTCAGACAGAGGTACCATCAGATACAGATACTAATGTTCAATATTTTTCTTGCTGTTGCTATGAACGGTTTAATGACAGACAGGACAGCTTAGAAAAATGCCTAGTTTAACATTTCAGACTGGGGCCCATCACAACCATCTGTCCCCTCCCCCTGTCTCTGCACCTCTTACCGCACGCTCAGATTCAGCACCTGTTAATGATTGCTTTTACACGTCCCTGGTTTTGTCTCTTGATAAATCACATTCATTTCACACCTTTTAAATTACAGATATGAGATCCTAACACCTAACGCTATTCCTCGCACCTTCATGGACGGGAAACAAGCGTCAGAACTTATGGTGAGTCATAATAATATTATTATTTAAACAATCAATGCACATAATATTTGAGATTAGGGCTGCACGATTTTGGAAAGAAAATCTAATTGTGATTTTGAAGTATTGCAGTTGCTGTTAGATTTGCAATATATGTTTAAAAAGTAGGATTCTGTTCAGAGTGCACATTGTAAACTCCAAGAGCATAAATATTTGTGATTGTTTTGTTTTTAATAATAGATTCTTAATTGATTTTGTTTGTCAGATAAGGGCTTTAGAGCTGGACTCAAACCTGTTCAGAGTGGGGCAGAGTAAAGTCTTCTTCAGAGCTGGAGTTTTGGCTCATCTTGAAGAAGAGCGAGACCTAAAGATCACAGACACCATCATCCGTTTCCAGAGCGCTGCCAGGGGATACCTCGCACGCAAGTAAGAGATATGACTCTTTCATCATATAAGCTTATACAACTATTTTATCAGAACGTATTTATAATAAGACTTATCTTATTATAATTAATTAATTAATTGTATCATCATATTTTTTGTTGGGATTATACACATAGTAAGATTGCTGTTATATATATTATACATACAAATATGTTCATACTTTTGTCATCCTTTGGCTTAATCTTGATATATCAAACCATGTTTAGACCTATTTTAGGCCTTATATAGTCCTGGTTTAGATCTGGTGGTACTCTGAAAGCCTATCCTATGTGGAATAAGACTTTAAGAGCCACTGCCATATAGTTTGCAACAACAACAACAACAACAAAGAAACATTTTATTGGTTTCCAGAGCTTTCGCGAGGAAGCAGCAGCAGCTGAGCGCCTTACGGGTGATGCAGAGGAACTGCGCCGCATATCTCAAACTCAGGAACTGGCAGTGGTGGCGCCTGTTCACAAAGGTAAAACACCACAGTAACACTGCAGCGTACACAGGACATTCAGATGTTATGTGTTAAAATGTGGAAGGATCTACTGGGAAAGAGGACAATAAATGAGCAATACTGCTTGTGAAAATGTTGAAGATGCTACGTGTAAACGAAGCAGTGATCAGTGTATTTTACTTTTATATGTCTGCAGCTGTCTGAATGTAGAAGTGTTTTTGTGTTCAGTTTGTTAATATTATGCCTCATTGTTTTTGTAGTTTTGTTTTGTTCTCTTTTTGATTTTGTATATATTAAAAATCATAAATATTTGAATTATAATAAAAAATGACTGTGGCTGATATGACTGTGGCTCTTGCTCTTGTGCAGGTGAAGCCGCTGCTGCAGGTGTCGCGACGGGACGAGGAGATCCAGGTCCGACAGGCGGAGCTTCTAAAAGCCCAAGACAAACTGACCCGAGTGGAGCAGGACTACACCGAGCTGGACCAGAAACATGCACAGGTAAAGACAACACTGTTTGTGAATATGTGCCATCCCTCTGTCATCCAGGCTAGTTAATGAGCAAATCATGTAAAAACAGTTTAAAACACGGCGCAGATGGCAACTTTATGAAAATGTTTGCTGCAAAAACACAACAATATTGTGCTTCATATTTTAATTTTTTGGTCTGTGTGACACAAACAGCGGTGCACTTTTGAGGAAGTTCTGTTTTTGGAGTGAACCCACTATTGTACTTTATTCTCACCAAACAAGCAGACTCTAGTCCACTTGAAATTGGAGGAGATTGGATTGAATAAAAATAACATAAAAACAACAAAATGTGAAACAAGAGCAGAGCAGAGCAGATGAGAGAAAACACACACAATTGTTTACAGAATTTCAAAGTAAAGTTAAACCATACTGGCGCATTTTTAACAATCTGAATCACTTGGTCGTTAAAAATTATGGACAGTTGGGGGAAATTTCAGATGGTAACTGGTGACAAAAGTGTATATAAGGCATACAAAGTGCTTTATATCAAGGAACCACTCAGGGTGCTTTCATACCTCACCATAAACCACATCAAAGTGTGAACATGAAGGCATCCTCATTCACACGTTCATTTACACAGACACTGGAAGAAAGGGAGAATAAGTGAGTTGCCCAAGGACACATTGGCAGTATTCATTCAGTAATCTCTATCATAAATTTGAGCATTGTGATCCATGACAGGTCCATTCCTATTCATCTCTCACACATCCTCTTAACTAGGATTGCCAAAAGATTGTCAGATAGTAATCGATACAAAAAAACTCACTTTCACAGGAGAGAAATGAGCCTTTCCTGAATTGCTTTAGAATGATCTTGAGCTGTATCAGAATAAGTATAATGCCATAGACTAGTATACGCCCATGGATAACTATGCAGCTCTACAAAGGCAGAAGGCAGTAACATCATGTTTGGTCAACAATTTGTTAATATAATTCTGGGGGTATTTGAGACCTCCTTTATCATGTGAATATAGGAGTCATGCAAAGGCAAAAGGCAGTAATAGTGTCAGTTAATGCCTTTTGCCTTTGCACAACTCTTTATTTTTGACACATGATACAAAGGCAGAGTACAGTAACTGCCAAATAAGGATCAAAGGTCAATTTTGAGCTCAATATTTTTCACATACAAATATTTCTTCATTATAGTAACTAGTTGTCAAATTTTGGGAGCCCTACTTATTATACTACAGAAATTTTAAATAATTTTTCTCAGTTTCACACTCTGGTGAGCTAAGGTCTTTTGCCTTTGTAGGGCAGTATGGAACCTATTACATACCTGGATGACAGGTAGCGCAACATGGTAATTTGAAAGAAAGTACTACAATTGAATTGTCTAAAGAAAGACTCTATATTGAGTATTGGATCTATTCTTTTGTATCGAAATCAAGTTTCAAATTCCGTATCATGACATTACTCCTTGTCATTCTGCAGCTGTTGGAGGAAAAGGCCTTGTTGGCAGACCAGCTCCAGGCCGAGGCGGAGCTGTTTGCGGAGGCGGAGGAGATGAGGGCTCGGTTAGCGAGCAGGAAACAGGAGCTGGAAGAGGTGATGAGTGAACTGGAGACTCGACTGGTGGAGGAGGAGGAGAGAGGGGTGCAGCTGAACAACGAGAAGAAGAAGCTGCAGCAGAACATACAGGTGAGAGCAAGATCTACACAACAACAATAAGAGGTGGATGAGCCAGAAGGGGGTTGGGCAAATTTAATGCAAACAAGGTACATTTGCAACTGTGTGGTCAAAAACGTTCAAAACTGAGTGTGTGCTGCCGCCGGTAGCCACAGCAATTTCAAGTACTATGTGACATCCCCCAAGACTGCCCTGATTACAGCCAGAGGTTTCTGATTACAAACACCTGCCTGCAGGGGCAGAGTCTAAAGTGTAGATACCTGTGAGACCAACCACACTGTTCTTCGTATGTCCAGACTCTGCCCTTCCTCCCCCTTCACTCTTATCTTTAGTCCTCCAGGTGCTGCCCAAATTAGCATCTCTATTAGAATTTAGGTCATGGGTTTAGGTGCGTAGTCCCACTTTAACATTAGCCAATAAGATAAATACCAGTAGATTTCTATTTTGGCTTGTAACACATATTCACACCAACCACTTTGTTTGGTTGTTTTTATATATGCAATTATCTTATCTTAGTTCATATTTGAAGTTGTCATTTGTTGATCCTGATAACAATTTAAATTAGTCTATTCTTCATATTATTTATTGGTTCTCTTGTGTCTTGTCATTAACATCATACATTGAACTGTTCTGGTGCTTTTTGTGGTGTCTGTAGGACCTGGAGGAGCAGTTAGAGGAGGAGGAAACTGCCCGCCAGCGCCTTCTGCTGGAGAAGGTCACACTTGAGACCAAAGTCAAAAGCCTGGAGACCGACCTGATGGGTGCAGTGGAACAGAGAGATCGATTTAGCAAGGTCATTACCACATTTTAACAGGACTTACAGCTCCCACCCAATTAACCTTACAGCAGGGGCACTCCAAGTGAGTGAGTGACTTTGTGAACTCACAAATATCACGAGAATCCATCTTGCTGTGCAAGTTTAGTGTGTGATCCTCATGTAACAGATATGCATAGATGTTGAGGCACTATATCTGTATTCATGGGTTACATTTTAATGTTTAATGTTAATATTTAATGTACAGTATACATTTTGAGTACTTTTAACCATTTTGCAGCTAATTATAGCAAGAATCTTACTTGTCCTCCATCTCTACACTATAAACCCTTAAAATATTGACAGAAAGTAAATGGAACCTTTTATTTTTGCATTTGAATTTTGTTTTTCATAATCTATTTTGTTTTTCATGGAGTAGGAAAAGAAACAGTTGGAGGATCGTCTGAACGAAGTGACCGACCAGTTAACAGAAGAGGAAGAGAAAACCAAAAGCCTGAACAAACTTAAGAACAAACAAGAGGCCGTCATCGCTGATCTGGAGGGTAATTTACATATGTTAACTTATGCATTGTATTTGAACCTTTTAAAAGAAATGATGCCCCTAGAAAAGGCCACGTATCCCACATGTTTCCCTTATTGATCATAGTATGTTTAAGAAATTATTATTATTAATTAAAATTATTATTATTATTATTATCATATTAGTCAACTAATAAAATGAGGTATGTGATTCTGTCATCAAATATCAGCATTCAGTCAATGCATTAATGTTGTTTACTTCCTCATGTATCTTGTATTGACATTGATATTAACAAAAAAATTGCATCAAGCCAAAATATGTTTATTTTCAAAGTAGATTTTAACAAAAAGTTTGACATCAAGTAGTAGTTCATTCCGTTCAATAAGAAATTATTCAATAGTGCCATAAGATTTTAAGATCACATTTTTTTTTTTTTTTTTTCTTAGCTTTTAACCACATTATATTGTTGTGCCCTCATCAAAAACAGTTGTATTTTGATGAATTCAAACTTTATTAATCCAAAAACATCTTCTCTGAGCCCTCAAAATGATCTGTTCACATTTTCCCCAAATTGTTGCAACACAGGTAAAAAAATCTAGACTTCCCCTGTTCCGTTTTTAAACCCATAAACACAAATTCTGCAATCAAGCCACACAAATGTATAACATGTGTCTTATAATCTTGAATGGGGTTTGTAATCAGTAATTTACTTGATGTGAACTTAACTTATGTATTTGCATGTTATTCTTCTATTTGCAGAGCGTCTAAAGCGTGAGGAGCAGGGACGTCAGGAGCAGGAGAAATGGAGGAGGAGGATGGAGACTGAGTCGATGGAGGCCCAGGAGCAGCTGTCGGACCTGGGCATGGTCACGTCCGAGCTCAAGGGCAGTCTGACTCAGAAAGAGAAGGACATCGCCACACTACAGGGACGGTGAGACTAGACTTCTGCTTTTATCAGAGGCATCCGGGATTGATTCCTGTATTCCAAAATTATGATTATGATTGAAGATATCACATATATTTTTAAACAATTTGGGGCTAAAGAAAAAGTTGCAGGTTCGCTCATTTGCCATATCTCTCTCCATGTTCTGTCAAGCCACAAAAAAGTTTAAACACATAATATTGATTGATATTATAATAAATGAAGGATGTCACATTTTTTTCCACCTTAAAAAATTGTCCATTCTTAGCACTTGCTTCACCTGTCCCTGTCATATCATAGAGTGCAAATTTTTTAAACTTATACACAACAGTACCATCACTAAATGTGTTATCATTACAGCCTGTAGCATTACTCACCTGTCCCTGTGTTTCTATGTCAGTCTGGAGGAGGAGGGGGCACGCCGGGCTGAAGCACAGAAGGCTCTGAGGGAGGCCATGTCCCAGGTGTCGGAGCTGAAGGAGGAGGTGGAGAATGAACGAGGGATGAGAGAACGAGCGGAGAAACAGAGACGAGACCTGGGGGAGGAGCTGGAGGCTCTGAGGACAGAACTGGAGGATACACTGGACACTACTGCAGCACAGCAAGAGCTCAGGTCTGGGGTTAATGAATTTAACTATTTGACTGACCATTGTCATCATTTAAATGAGCTCTCAGTGTTCTGAGCATGATATGTGTCCTGTGTCACTTGAACACAATCTGTTTTGTTATTAGCTAAATGTCTCTCCCCACTCTTTATCCACCTTGTTAGGTCTCGGCGAGAGGCAGAACTCAATGATCTCCAGCGCTGTGTGGAAGAAGAAACTCGGCGTCATGAGGCTCAGCTCTCAGAGATAAGGGTCAAACACAGCTCCGCCATTGACAGTCTGCAGGAGCAACTGGACAACACTAAGAGGGTAAGACCACCAGCAATACACTTATACTGGCATCCTGTGTAACTTATATACTGTATGTGCATTTACTTTTTTTTTTTTTAGTTAGTTATTTTGTCAGAAAAATATACAAATATTGAAGAATTCTTAGCACAACACAAATGGAAATCATAAAAATAATAATAGTAAATAATAAAAATTAACACAAAAAAAAAGAATATTTGTGTAACTTAATATGTCGTTCCCCTAACAGGCTCGACAGTCTCTGGAAAAGGCCAAGTCAGTTTTGGAGGAAGAACGGCAGAGTTTGACAGAGGAAATCAAAGGTCTCCAGGCTAGTCGAATGGAGAGTGAGAGAGGACGGAAACGAGCAGAGAACCAGCTTCAGGAGCTCACAGCGCGTCTGAGTCAAGCCGACAGAGAGAGAGAAGAGCGGGAGGAGCGCATGCACAAACTACAGGTGACAGATTAATATAAGGATAACATATGCACAATATATAGCACTTATTGTTTGTGCAAGAAAATAAATAAATGGCAGTATTTTATGTAACACTAAATTTTTTTGAGAAATTACAATTTTTTTAAATATATTTTAAAATAAACAAATAAGGTCTAGACATAGAAAAAAAAACAATAAAATATTCAGTTAAATTAGTCATAAAACTAATTTACATTTTTCATTTCATGGAGTTGTGAAAAAATGTCTTGAATTATCACTTTAAGTTCTTTACCACAATATTTCACATCACAAATGCATTTGCATATTGGACAGCTGTAATTATCAGTAAGTATTTTATATTTTAAATGCACATCTGTCAGAGGCATGACTTGAACATGTCAGGATTTAGAAATAGGTTTGTTGTAAAACGTTTTCTCAAGCTGCCTGTTACATAGGCCCTCACAAACCTAGAAACATAATGAATAAATTGTAAAGGCAATAATTTTACAAGAAATGTATTAATTTTTTTTCCTGTACTTTCAGTGTGAAATCGAGTCTCTATCAGGAAACCTTTCCTCTTCTGATACAAAATCTCTCCGTCTCACTAAAGAAGTCACCAGCTTGGAAAACCAGCTACACGACATACAGGTAAAAAGTTTTTATTAGAATTTTTATTAACTAGAAACTGGAAATTATTCCCATCACATTGATTAATTTTATTCAAAGATCAGTGAAAATAATGATGTGGTTTGTCGCAGGAACTGCTTGGGGAGGAGACTCGACAGAAGTTGGCTTTGGGGACGAGGGTCCGTGCTCTGGAGGATGAGAAGAATGTACTGATGGAGAGAGTGGAAGACGAGGAGGAGAAATCCAAAGAACTGAGCAAACAGATACAGACACTCACTCAACAGGTGAAAAGAGCATTTAAATACTCCAGCACAGAGACATGGGTGGGATTTATACCAATGTGATACTGATACCATCCTTTTATAGTCTTGATTGCAATACAAATAATTCATTAGGTTTAGACTTTAGACAGATAATTGAGAAGAAGTCTTTAATTTCTCCACGACAAGAATTCATATCTACTGGACCTGGTTTTGCTAGTTTTATCATATCTGATCCAGTTAATTTATTGTTTCTAAATCATAGACTATAGTACATATTTGTATTGTATTTGAAAGTAGCTAATAACTTCTAATAATTGTCATTTAGTGTTTATGTATTAATCTACTTCTGACATTTTTATTAATCTGCTCAAACCTTTTGCAGTTGACAGACTTACGTAAACAGACAGAAGAGGTGAACACAGTAGTGGAATCAGGAGAGGAAGCACGCAGGAAACTTCAGCGTGAACTGGACAGCGCCCTCCAGAGGGAGAAGCAGAAAGAGGAGGAAAAAGAACGAGTGGAGCGGCAGAGGGAGAGACTGAGAGAGGAGATAGAGGACATGACCCTGGCCTTACAGAAAGAGAGACAAAACTGCACCGCGCTGGAGAAGAGGCAGAAGAAATTTGATCAGGTGATAATGTGTTTATTTTTTTCTATGTTGAGTTGAATTGTGAGTTTTAGGAGATTTAACTTTTTACTGTTAATTTTATTAAATTTTTTTCAGTATAGAAGATGCATGTCTAGTTTTGTAATATGGAAATGTACACATTTGTCAGAAATGTGCTTTGTTTTCAATAAATACTAGTATATGACAAATTTAAAGACATGTTTTGTTTAAGTAAGTAACTATTTTTCCTTTCCTCATCAGTGTTTGGCAGAGGAGAAAGCCGTGAGTGCTCGTTTGGCCGAGGAGCGAGACAGAGCAGAAGCCGACAACCGTGAAAAAGATACTAAATATTTATCACTTTCAAGAGCTCTGCAGGTAACAAAACCATTCTACATATTTTATTCACAGTTATCTGTACTTGCATGATAATATGGTAATACTTGTGTTTGCTGAGTGCAGGAGGCCCAGGACCAGAGGGAGGAACTGGAGCGGATCAACAAACAGCTCCGAATGGAAATGGAGCAACTGGTGAACCAACAGGATGACGTTGGCAAAAATGTGAGTCCTAGGTTCATTCAGACAATTCTACTTCTAATACTAAGGTCCTTTTTAAAAAGAGAATAACTATATAATGCATTTCCATTTTTGTAAAATTGTTTGTTAACCAGCTAAAAAAAAGAGTTAAGACATTGTTCCATTACATCTCCCCTCTTATCTGACTGCCTGTGAATGAATTTATTGTTGTTTCCCAGGTCCATGAGCTGGAGCGTGCACGTAGGTCTCTGGAGACAGAGGCCCAGAGCCTGAGGGTTCAAACTCAGGAACTGGAAGAGGAGCTGACGGAGGCGGAGAACTCTCGGCTCAGACTGGAGGTCACTCTGCAGGCCCTCAAAGCTCAGTTTGAAAGAGAGCTCAGCACCAGCGAAGAGAAGGGAGAAGAGAAGAGGAGGGCGCTCAGCAAACAGGTGAAGACACTTTTGTTATAATACCATGTAATCAAAATCACATTACAGTTTGCTGTATTCTTAATTTGTGCTTCGGATACACTCTCAAATGATAAGCTACTTCTATAGTCACACCTTCCATCTCTGCCTACTCGGGTACTTTCACTAACTTCAGGTATACTCACTAAAGCATATGCACTGGTCAGACCTCTGATCAAACCACCAGCCGTTGAGTTTGAGCTGCAGCCCCTTAATACTACTCCTATTCCTAATTTCCTGCTTTAACTGACAGGGTTTGAGTTAAGCCTGAGGGATTTATGTTGTTCAGGTGCGTGAGTTGGAGATCCAGTTAGAAGAGGAGCGGAGTCAGCGCTCTCAGGCCGTCAGCACCAAGAAACACCTGGATGCAGAGCTGCAGGATCTGGAATCTCAGGTGGAAACATCAAACAGAGGCAAAGAGGAGGCCATGAAACAGCTGCGCAGGCTGCAGGTACCACTGACTATTATATATGTGTTCAGTATATGCATAAATAAATGGATAAGTAACAGTGACTGGGACTGAGAAGCCCCTTCAACAGTCCCTGAGAAGTCTTTCAACAAATGATGCAAAAATAAAGGCTTTCAATCTTTGTGACCAACATTGGTATATTGTGTTTTAGGATTGATTTAGATAGTTTTACTTCTATGGGATTCAAAATGACTCATGAATATATCTAAATTACAACAAATGGGTCAACTGTGTTACAAAAACAAGAATACAGGATTGACTTGGGAGTTGCTACTTGCAAACCATTAATTTGCTGAAACCTTTACCTCAGGCTCAACTAAAGGAGGTTTACCGAGAGCTGGATGAGGCCAAAATAACAAGAGAAGAAGTGATGTCCCTGTCCAAAGAGAGTGAGAAGAAGGTCCAGGCTCTGGAGGCAGAAGTCCTGCAACTCACAGAGGTATTATTTTAAAACATATTTGAACAATAATAGTGCTAAGGAATATAACTAGTCTAATATTAATATTCAAAACTAATGGTGTTAAAATTATAAGACAAATATCACCTTTGTGATCCTATAGGAGCTGGCTGTATCAGAGAGACAGAAGAGACAGGCTCAGCAGGAGAGAGATGAGCTGGCAGATGAAATGATCAACAACACCACTGGAAAGTAAGTTCAGTCATCATTCACACATTTTAGTAATAAAAGTATTAGTTAGAATATTAGTTTGTATTTATACATTTTAAATGAATATTTTTACAGTTAAGATTTTGCATATTTAAGGTGGGTTTTAACAAGTAGTAGGTAGTGGAGATGATAAGGTCTGAGACACTTACATAGGCTGGTCCATGTGTCTATAAAGGACTTTTAATCGTTTACACAAGAGTGCCTCAAATCCACTTCCATTCACATTTTTACGTTGGTATGTGCCAAGTTAGTTCTCTGTTCCTCCATGATAAGTGGCCTCATATTTAAAGAGCACCTGTGTCCGACATCCTTCTGTCTGACTCTCTGGAGTCCCACTGAAGCACTCACTTTATCTCCTGTTTTTATCAAATAATTCATGTTAATTAAACACAGGTAATTAAATTTTGGGTCTGGACCAAAGCCACTGAAATAATCTACAGTGGCTTGAACCATAAATCAAAAAACAGCCTTAACCAGTATCTTGTGAGATTGCAGCAGAAAAAGTATTGCTGTCAAATATCTGCTATGTTTTCAATATTGAACTGATACAATATCTGGGAAAAAACCTTAGATATCACCGATATACGCTTAATCCTAAATCTGACCTCTGCTTGTCCAGATCGGCCTTGGGTGAGGAGAAGCGTCGTCTGGAGGCGCGGGTGACTCAGCTGGAGGAGGAGCTGGAGGAGGAGCAGACGAACTCAGAGCTGATCTCGGAGCGTCACAGGAAGCTGGCTCTGCAGGTGGAGACTCTGACAGTTCAGCTTCAGGGAGAGCGCACATTGGCCCAGAAAGCGGAGGCAGCCCGGGAGCAGCTCGAGAGGCAAAACAAAGAGCTCAAGACCAGACTGGGAGAGATGGAGGGGGCCGTGAGGGGCAAACACAGGCTCAACGTCGCCGCTCTAGAGGCCAAGGTGGAGTCACTGGAGGAGCAGCTTGAACAAGAGCAACAGTGAGTGACACAGAGATTGGAAACTATAATTGTTTCAACCTTATTTTAATGCACCGTATAACAACTTGTAATAACATGTAATAATGATAACGATGCAGTAGTCTTATATATCACTTTTCTAGATGAGTTGCTTTACAATTTTGTGCATTATTCATTATTCATTCACTCCATACTTGATAGCAGTAAGAAACTATTGTAGCCACACCTACCCTGAGGCAGACTGATGGAAATGAAGCTGCCATACTGCACCATCGAACCCTTAGAACACCACCAACACTGACACACACACACACTGCATTCATACTAAGCAATGTGGATGAAGTATTTTGCTGAAAAATTGAACTTTTGTTATATCCAGTTGAGAGGAAAGCGCAGACATCTCCCCTGTCCACAAATGCACAAATGCATAAAGCACTCACCGTCTACACATTTTTCTTAAACAAAATAGTCTGTATTTTTGCTGATATAGACTGAAACGTCAGTTGGTCTCACCTCATGTTTTTTTGGTTTGCGTGGCCTTTAGCTTCAGCACAAACCTCAATGCTACTCTGTAACTGGTCAGCCAACCAGCCGGCAGGCTCTTTCACACCAGTGGGAGCATGCCCAGATGGATTCTCGAGAGTCTGTGAAATCACAAATATCGTGAGAATCCATCTTGAGTGAAAGATTATACTAACCAGGTTCAGCCTTGGTTATCTTCTGAGATCTGATGGTATCAGGCTTTATGAGTCCATGTAAAATGTGTTTTACATAAATGTAAATGATAATATTGTATATTTTGTATGTTTTTTGTTTTCCAGGGAACGTGCCATTGCAAACAAATTAGTGAGGAAGACAGAAAAGAAACTAAAGGAGGTCATGATGCAGGCTGAAGACGAGAGGAGACATGCAGACCAGTACAGAGAACAGGTATGTCAAGACTTTAAAGTTGTAATTAATGTAAATGGAAGCACAAAACATGAAATAAAGAACAAATTATTTTACTCAGTTAAGAATAATAAGTATGTTGTCTGAAAACCACTCTAGCAATTTCATTAAATGTTTTCCTACTGGGTGGGAAAAAATTGAAATTGAAGTCACTGTAATACATTTTGTTGAAGATTTGAAAACTGGACACTTTACCAATGGCAAAAATAGTACAACTGATTTTTACAGACTAATCCTAATCCGTCTGTGTGTGTTCATCCAAAACGTTCAACAGTAACACAGTTGTTTTTGGTATCTATAATCTCATAGCTCCATTTGTCCTTCACTTTCTTTTAATCTCTCGTCTGTGTTTCTTGTGTAGCTGGACAAGTCGATGGTGCGTTTGAAACAGCTGAAGAGGCAGTTGGAGGAGGTGGAGGAGGAGAACTCGCGCTCAAATGCTCAGAAGAGGAAACTGCAGCGAGAACTGGAGGAGCTCAACGACTGCAGCCAGACCATGAACCGCGAGATCTCGTCCCTCCGCACCCAGCTCAGGTACAACCCCCGCCCTCCGCCAAGACCACCTCTCCGTGTCTCATAACCATCTGTTTGTCACTGTAAATGAAGGAGCATCTAGATTAGTTCAAATGACTTGATTTCAGAATATTTAAGGCAATGTCAGATCTCAAAGCAGAGACACTCTTTCTTCAGCTCCCTCACCCTTCACTCGAGAATAAGACCTCAAGATACTTAAACTTGAGGCATTTTGAAGTCATTTGAACCTTCTCTAGATTTGCCTTTTTACAGCATGTCATCCTTTTTTTTAACCCATTAACTTTTTGTTTACTCTTTTTTGTTTTGCTCTTTTGTTGCATCCATCTGTGTCCATCTCACACTGTCCTTGTCGCATGACCCCACACAGCGGCCCTGGTACTGAATGGTAAGCCCACGAGGAGGACACTTTGTTTTCCATTTTTGTTTTACGTGTTTAGCTCATGTTTGCTCCTTAAGACTCACATCCATTTGTCCTGTTCATTTGTCACTGTTGGGTTTTTATGCAAACACCGTCATGACTTCTTATAGTCTGTATTAAAACCAACTAACTAAAGTATAGCTATAAAGTCCAGTGAGGTTCATTCGGTCTTCCGATAATTTATGTTAGTAGGCTCTTTTTTCAGACCAAGAGCTTGTTTTCGTACCTGACAGTTTCGACTGCTCACTAGCGCTGTTCCTCAGAGTGGTCATGTGATGTTGCTGTGATGTGTCCGGTCAGATGATTTATACAGGTTTTGCGCTGTCTTCCTATTGGTGGAGGCAACAGCAACAGCACCATCTGCAGTCCGACTTCCTCAGGACAGTATCAGTAGTTTATAGTCCCGTGGACACATTTCTCCCTCTTTTACCTCTGAGCACTGTAAAAGACAGAACCACATTACATAATTGGGACAGAGGATAACAAACCCCATCGCTGGATTAAAGAGGCAATCAAAATATGGAAACGTGCCCACGGGACTATAAACCGGGACGGGGGGCTTTTTTACTCTCACACACCTGGGATTCCTGTCCTGAGGAAGTCGGACTGCAGATGGCGCTGTCATCCTGCCTCCACTGGTACGAAGACAGTGCCAAAACCTGTTTAAATCAGCTGACCAGACACATCACAGCAACATCACATGACCACTCTGAGACTCTGAGGAAGAGCGCTAGTGAGCAGTCTGTCAGGTATGAAAACAAACTCTTGGTCTGAAAAAAGAACCTAATAACATAAAGTATACCTATATATTTTATTTCATTTTTTACTGTACTTGCTTACGAAACAATTTCCCTTGTGGATAAACAGTTACATTTATGTAATATCAAAATAATAATCACATTACAGGGCTTCAGAAAAGTAGCTAAGTAAAGTTCGTCTATGTTTAGTATTTATAGAGTTAAGTTGATTGTATAGTTAATAATTAAACATTATTTTTCTTGTCTCAATGTGTTTGTAAGAATAAGAAAAATCATTAATTTGTCCAGAACGTTCCAAAGCATAGCATTAAATTTATCTGTCTTCATGGGGGCAAGAAGGTGAGTTCTGATGAAAGGCAACCCCACTCATAGTAGGAATGTTAATCAAGGTATTTATCAAAGTATAGGAGGGTATTATTAGGTTTAAAAAACATGTGTCGTTGGAAAAATGCAAAATAGAAAAGTTTAATGTTATACTGGCTTCATGGAGACAAAGAGGAAGCGGATCCTCCACTAGAAAAGTTTAAAAAGCTTTAAAAAAAAACAAAAAAACCTCTAAAATCTAAAAATGACTTAAAAAATACAATATAAAATAAAAACAAAATGAAACATAACGTAATTCCTGTTCTTCCGTGTTGTAGGCGTGCACCTTTACCTCTGTCTGTGCGCGGGCGGAGAGCTTTGGTGGATTCACTGGAAAACTCTGATAACGAGGAGCCCCCCGCCTCGCCCTCGTCTGGACTCCCAGGGACCCCCACGCCCTCCTCAGACAACAGCCTGGACCCCCCTGCCTCCTACAGCATCAACAGCTCAGAGTGACGCCCCTTAATGCCAAACACAGGAACAGCAACGCATGACCTGGCCTCTCGCCTCCAGTACTCAGGGGTCAACGAGCTACATGCACACTGCAAAAAAACTCATGTCTAGAATCAGATAAAATGACTTGAATTCAGAATATTGATTTTTATTTTTGCTTTGACCAGTTTTAATTTCAATGTTAATTTAATTTCAGTTCATATTACTTGGATAATAAAATTTTACCATTGCATTTGTAATTGTAACTTTCTCAATACAGTTTAACTTCAAATATCCGAATAATGTGCATATTTGTAAGTAAAAATGACTTACTTTATCAATGGGTTTCAGTATTATTATACAAAAAAAAATCTGGACTGCTGCCATAGCGATTAACCAAAGCAAAATAGTATATCTCTTGAGTGGTGAAAAGTCCTCAAAATGTGGCCTATACTCAACAGGAAGCTGAAACCCTGAATGGGCCTGAAATAAGAAGTCAAACAAATATATAACAAATATATCTTAACATGTCCAAACTTATTAAATAAAAATGAAACCAATGAATTCAAGTCATTTTAACTTTGTATTTTTTTGCAGTGCGGTCAGATACGCACATCAGACGCTGCAATATACATAACCTCATCCAGCAATGCTCTTTAGGATTTTAGACAAATGCAGAATTGCGGATTTTTCAAAAAAGCTAAATTAATTTGTATTTTGTAACTGACACAAGGCAAACTAACGACATTTCTACAGAGTACTGCTTATAAACCTTTCTTAGAGCTGCATTTCTCAGTAACGTGTGGGAAATTTAACCACTTTGCCATTTTAGCTGTACAGTTTACATTCGGGGGTATTTTAAAAAACAAGCCATGTGTGAGCAAATTATGCAGAAAAAAAGTGGTTTAAGTAACACGGGGCTGCTGGAGAGGGAACGCATCTAAAAGGTCATAAGACAATCTCTTCTCGGTAGATTTACAGTGGATAAAATGTTTAATTATTAAGACACGCCTTTGCTCTGGTTGAAATTTAGATTAAAAAAGCAAATTTAAATGCGCAAGATAACATTGTTTCATAGTTTAAAGTCACGATTTAAAGCCCACTGTGTAACATTTCTGATTGGGGGTCTGTCTGTCACCTGCTTGTCTCTTTAAAGATGTAATTACTAGGGCTGGGTATCGGTAAGAAGTTGCAGATACGATACATACCTCGATACATTGGCCATGATACGATACATATCTTCACACAGTGTGCTTTCAATACAGTATATTTCAAATTGATTCGATACTGTTCAATAAAAAATAAAGGCTAAATAATGGCTAAATGTGACACTAAAATCTTTGTTAAACCATGTCTAGTGCAACGTGAATATGAAAAACGCCAATTTTACTCATCAAAACAGTGAAAATGTCAAATGTGTTGCCAAAATTAGTTTCTTTCCTCTAAACAAGCAACAAATTTATAGCGCTTTAACAAAATAATTAAGTAAAATACACAAAAAATACTGTTGGCGATATATCGATACAGCAGACCACAATATCGATACTCTATCATCACGTTAAATCATACGATATGTTGATATTTTGATATTTTGACATTTTTGCACATCCCTAGCAGTTAGTTTACCTGGAATGTTCCACTTTATGGCATTAAAATTAGCAGGTTACACTACCAGACCCAGTTCCAGGTCAGGTCTGTGGAGAGGCGAGCCCACTCACAGTAAGAATACATGTTTTTCGAGGTAGTTTTTTTAGCTGAATTTTTTTAAATTGAAAAGATGCAGTTTGAAACATTTTGGGCAAAGTTATGACTGGCAGATCCCCTCCACCACAAAAGTTACACAGTGCAGCTTTAATAGATTATTTATTAAACCATACAATTCCACATAAATGCTTTAGCAGTGTACAACATATCAAATATTTTCCCCAATTTTCAGGCATAAACTCATTTTCTGCTACAATTTTTTAAGGTGGTTTGATGAGTTGAAGCTATTCACCTGCTTAACTAAGACAACACTGTTGCCCGTACCCCCTTTATCCTTTATTGCCACGTGACATTTTTGTAATTTTCCTATTTACTTGTAATTTATCATCCGAAAATAACCTTTGTTGAACCAAGTGGTGGGCGTATGGATGAGAAAAAGGGACTTAGCGTATTAGTAAACGTAGGTTAGCGTAGAGTAGCAAATTCCTTTAGTAGAATCTGGAAAGGTGCACTTCCCGACGACCTTTCTGGATCAAAACTAGCATGACATTTTTACATGACATTAGAGTTAGATAAAAAGACACAGAAGGCATCCAGAAATGAATTTTGTAAAAAGAAAAAGTGCGTGTTTTTTATGTGAATTTAAAGAATTGCGTCACATAAACTGATTTACCCTGCCTTCTTATATTTATTATTCAAATTGTTTTTATTTTTGTGTTATTTCATGAAATAATTTTGACATAAATATCGAGAACTGTCTTATGAGGATGTGGTTTCGCATCGGTAAGAATGTCATTTTAAAAGTTCATTCCACCAATTTAAAGTGGAACCAAACACTAAATCCACTTTTTTCGCTACTTAACTGCGTATGTGGAGTTTTAACAGCGTTATCTATTGCTCCAGGTAATTTTTGGGCAACTTTAGTGCAAAATATATAGGTACATTTGCAGCTTTTTGGCCTTATCTAAGTGTGTGCTGCCTCGAGTGACTTTTGCCACTTCCAGTAGTTGGTGACATTACTCAGCACTGCTCTGAGTACAGTCAAAAATTACCAATTCCATGCATGGATAAATGAAAACTCAACCCGAAATGCACAGTTTAAAAATTGGTGAAATGTTCTTTTAGCTTAATTCTTGGAACTAAATGATTAAATCAGATGAGAGAATGTTATAACGAATGCTTTATTTTTAAGTTTACACACAATTTGTTCGTGGGACAACAATTAGATTTTAGTGATTTTTAGTGTTTTAAGAATTTTTTAATGCTTCCTCTTGTGCTTTACTTTCATTTTCATATCTCCAATGCTGCTGCAGTGATGCAAAGCTAAAACCACATCAAACTGCTAGTACTACATGCTTTCATTGTATGGGTCTATATATAATGTACATTTTATTTGATAAGCCAGGTTTATCCTAATGATTCACAGGAACGCGGTAAGCAGTCGGGTCAAGAGTAGCTACTGACGACATATATTTAATGCCCAATTACGGGTTTTTGATTTGTTGTTTTTTTCTGTTTGTATGATTTTTTTAAGAATGCAAAATGATTTTATTTGAAGTTGTGTATTTTTTCTAAGATTTTCTGCACTTTACACTAGAGTGGGAGCTTCAACTTTATCTCAAATGGGCTGACGAAGCGCTAAAGCCAAATGACAAGACAAAACTCTGTCTTTTAATAATTGTTAAGTCTATTGATGGCAATGCTGAAACCTTACAAGGCCTTTATGTAAAAATCCATTGTTTAAACTTAGGGGTGGGTGATATGGCAAAAAAAATCTACATTTTCTGAGACCCTAGATCATGATTTCAATTTAATTATATGTCTTTGCAGCTTTATTTAGGCTTTGTAAGGTTAGACACTTAAAATCTGTATTAAAAATAAACACGTTGTCATTTATTTTCATGAGTTTGGTCTTACCTATTGTGTAAGTTAGGCACGTCTTGGACCTTGTTTACGTAATGGTTGCTAGGTAAGTTATGGAAATCAACACATAGCTGCTTCCAGTGTCCAACCACAATGTAATATTATAAAAACAGGCAAGATTTTTTTGTAAATTCTTAATGCTGGCTATGTTTTGGTGAAATGAGTAGTCTAACCTGTCATATGCACTTTAAGTCAGTCACTCAGAGCATGACAAAGGTTGACCAATTGGAGAAGTGGATGAGCTAAAGTGGCTGTATTTGTATTTACACGGAAAAGCACTGAATCACTATAGCTGTTCCAAATTTTCATATCATTTAAGGCTTAGATCATATTTAGATTTTATCTCGTCATATCGCCCACTTCTTGTTGAACTGCTGAACAAAAACTACTATGTATTTGTAGCAAAGAGAAGTGCCCGGTTCTTCTCAAAGGTGTTAAGTTTCTTTCTATTTTTGTTAATGGCTACTGTGGAGATTGAAGCTTTTTAGAACAAATGTTTTATTGTTTTGCTTTGAATGATGCTGTAACTATAACATGTGTGAAAGGGGGTAACTTTAATATATGTCGTTGGTTTTGAAATCTGTCTCCGTGTGTTTCTTAATAATCAATCAATTACGTATTTTTTAATAAATATTTAGTACATTGTGCATCAGTATGGGCTTTCAGGGCTGCACCTAATCAATAATTTCACTTTATTAGTTAGATATTATATAAATGAAAAAATGAATTTATAAAAATGTCATCATAGTCGTTAAAGATGCGGTGTTACTTTCCTTGGAGGATCGACGTGTTTTTGTCTCCGTGGAGAGTTAAGTTAATTACAGCACACATAGTTTAATTTAATTCCTTTATTTAGACTTAGATTTTAATTTGCATGCACACATTTTAGTTAATATAGGTCTGAATTATTTACTTTTCTTTTTTAGTTAGTAAGTTTGTTTTTCTAGTTTGTTTAAGGTCACTTTATTATCACTTATTATTTTCTGTATTATACTTATTTGGGTCCTTGTTACTTTGATTAAGATAGTAGTAGTTTTAGTTAATTATTTAGTGTAATTCTCCCCTCTTGTGTTCAGTTTTAGTTGGCCCTCATGTATTTAAACACCCCTGTTCATTGTCTGGTTGGGTTAGTTTTGTTCTTTCCAGTTTGATTTAAGTTACAGTTTGGCCCGGCTTTTTTTGTTAATCATTGGTCTTATTTAAGCCTTCATTAAATTAAGTTTGTTTGACTTTATTAAATGTAAACTTATTTATATACCTTTGCCTTTGCCTGCCTTTCTGTTTGGTCCACTACACACAATTTGGCATTTATCTCCATGGAGACAAGCAGGTGATGATCCTACCACAAGAAAAGTTACATAGTGCACCTTTAGATGGAATATAACTCGTATATAACAGTAAATATAAAAAAAATAAACATCAGCAGTAAATAGATAAGAGGGCTTAATACACACTTTATAGCCCAAGAGTTTGTTTTCATATCTGACAGTTTCGACTGCTCACTAGCGGTCTTCTTCAGAGTGGTCACGTGATGTTGCTGTGACGTGTCTAATCATGTGTTCACATGCCCACGGGATTATAAAAAGGGACGAGGGGGCTTTTATACTCTCACACACCTGGGATACTGTTCTGAGGAATTCGGACTGCAGATGGCGCTGTCATCCTGCCTCCACCGGTAGGAAGACAGCACCAAAACCTGTTTAAATCAGCTGACCGGACACATAACAGCAACATCACGTGATCACTCTGAGGAAGACCGCAGGGAGCGATCAAAACTGTCAGGTACGAAAACAAACTCTTGGTCGGAAAAAAGCACCTAAAACATAACATATCGGAAGACCAAATGAACCTCGTTGGACTACACTTTACAGAATTACAGTCAACTTGATAAATAAATAATAAAATATCAAATGCATTAAAATCTAACTAAATAAATAAAATATGATAAATACATTTTAATTAAAAAATAAAATACTTTGCAGGAAGAAATTTCCAAATACTCCGCACATAAGTCAACAGGTCTATAATATTTAACGTTATCAATTACAGAATGTGGTGTTATCTGTGAGGATGTCTGTGAAGAGCCAGTCACCCTCGTACGGAGGCGTTGGGATTGAAAACCTCGGGATGTCTTGAGAGGGGATGGCAAAAGACTGGGCGATTCCTTCAAACGGGATTGGGTTTAACTCCAATTGTCCTGCACATTGACTTTGAATTGTTTGGAGCGGATCCTGGTATGACTGACAGCTGACCGGAAACTGATTTTGGATAATGTCACTGCTACTTTGCTGATTCATACCAACTTGACTTTCACTGCTTGTACAAAGGGAGTTGATGTGCTCCAAATTGTTCATAGCCAAAACCTGATTGTTATTGTATTTACCTTGCCATCTCTCATTGAAAAAATCTTCAACATCTTCACTACATTGTGCGTCAGAAAAACTATCCAAATACGCTTCGATGCCACCGCTCCCTCTCAAATCTTTACCCCCATTACTAAACAGATCAAATACATCAGTCCATTGAGTTTCCAAAATTTCTACTGAGTTATTTTGACTCGAACATGAAATATCTGAGAGCATTTGAAGTGAAAAATCACAAGAATCTACGGACAGAGGAGAGAGCTCAGGAGAGAAGGAAGGAGACGAGTCCATGCATTGCTCAAACGGTAGAAAATTGGATTCGTTTAGACCTATTTGTCCATCCATTGTAAAAAGCGTGTCCGTTGGATAATCATTTCCATACATTGTCTCGGTGTACGCAGAGTCTGTTAAAGCAAACATATTTTGGTCAGTCTTTTTCAATTTGCTCTTTCTAGATTTAGATTTTGACGTTGGATCTGGGTGTGCTTTCCTTCCTATTGGTGAATTACATGAATCAGTGAGGCAGTCTTTGGATTTTAACAATATTTCTGCATCTGTTGTACTTTTTTCCACAGCTGGGTTCATATCTAAAGGGTGGGGGGCTGCGTCAGGGGTGTCCGACTTCTTCTCGTCAACTTTGAAATACAGGGCAGAGGCCAGGCGATGGTTGGCAGCTTCTATATCAGCAAACTTCCTATAAAAAGAGGGAGAACAATTATTTTTATTTTTATCTCAACAGAAAGTCCATAAATGTTGAACCTGATCATCTTTTGAAATTGATTCGCTTCACAAACTTAAACGTATGGCTCCAATCAAATGAAATGTATTAGACAATGTTGTTGAAAAACTGCGTCATTTTTGCCATTACAGTAAAAAGACAAATTGCGAGTTCATTTGATGAGAAGATGCTGAACTTTGCGCAAGTGTTTGTGTCATGTGCATAGGCCAGTAGTAACTGGTTGTACTTAGATTCATAGGAAATATCGAAATGAAAATCCACTATACGTTTCCTTACCCAGCTATAATATTTATCCATAAATCCAAAAACTTTCATATTATCTTTTCATATTCACAAATGCCGAAAATAAGAGAAATCTATTTTATTGTCTTTAAAAAGAAGAAGTTTGAGGATTTATTCATAAAAAATAATTACTAGAAAATCTGTAATCAATGAACTGGCCCATAAACACTACAGGATGTTGTGAGTACATCTGAATCCCAGTAATTCATTCCATAATAACCATAAACTCTGATTTACAAATTGTAAGTAAGATATTAATCAATACTAAACTAGTGTCAATATTAGATACTCTTTTGAGCAGGTATAGATACAAAGAAAATGTATAAAAACAGGCCAAATTTGACCTTTTTTGAGTAGTTTTAGAAAGGTTTTCAGCTTTATTAGAGCTAGTATATAACCTCATAGTAGTATAAAGAAAATACGTTTATTTGAAAATGATGTTTAAAAAGCAGTATTTCTTTTATAATAGTCCAGCTTATTCCTTAGTTTCAGAATAGAGTTTGAAATGTTTGTATTGTGATAACATTCATTCAGAACCACCTCTGGATCATGTTGTGCAGAAAGCGCCGGTGGTTGACTTGGCGTTTGGACGGACGGTTCTTTCGCGGTTTTTGGAGGGTCCTCATCATGTGACCTGCCGCGGAGGTCACAAAAGTGTAAAGGTCACGACCCCCGGGAACCCCACACTCCAAACCTGCATCCAAACTGAGAGAGATGGACGGATGCATGGCTCCCACTGCAAGAAAAAATTTAAATAAAAGTGGATTTACAGAGCATAAAACTGCCATAGGGCTGAACAACAATAAACAGAACAACAAAAGACAAAAGCAGCATTCACAATACTATAAAACATATCAAAGCAAAAAAAATAAACCAGTTCCTACATATGTACAGGCTTATGTGTTTACAAAAATAGGTCTATAGAACATTTCAGAAGATTTTTCTTAAAGAGTGTAATTAAATGGTGACCTATGTCAAGCCATACAGGAATGTTCAAAACATTGTACATTTTTCATATGAATAAATATTATTTTTTTTAAGTTATTTATTTTATTTAATAAGCCTACAATTCCAAAACATGAAAACTGGCCTAAATGCAGAGTAGTACAATAGTTATCCATGTATTACGTCCAAATTAAATAGGCTTAAACTTAGACTTAGACAGATTTTATTGATCCACATCCAAATTACTTAAAAGTATTATTTCATGTTGTGGAAGGATAATCAAAATGTTGAGTTTTTTTTCCACTTGATGCATGGGTGTTGATATTCCAACATTCCCAACCTGATAGGAATGTTTAAAATATCGTCGTTTTCCTCCCAGTTTTCCTCCCAGAAAGAGATTTATTCTCGTGTTTTTTTTTAATATGGATAAGCAAAAATGTCTTCACTTGCATGCTTATCGATGTTATTGGCTCAGTGACAAAAAAAATAGGCCTTGTGATTGATGTTAATTAGATCTAGGTCAATTTTGGGCTATTTAAAATAAAATTACCCTGTTAACTGACTAAATTTAAGTTGTAATCGTACATTAAAATAATAATCAGTGAATTGTGCATTAAAGTGGACTCACAGAATGAAATTATAAATGTTTTAATAATGCCTGAGCAGAACAGTGTCAGGTTTACGTCCATTATTACTGTTTTGTGAGTTTTTCGTCTGTTTTTAAATGTTCTGTAAGGACCCATTCGAGCCTGAAATAAAGACAGACTGATTGATTAAAAAGTGCTTACCTGTCTTGTTGCTTAGCCGGTTTTTTCGTGCGTCCTCTTCGCCTGCTGCGCGTTGACTGTCGCTGTGCCACCACTTGTTGCGTCCGTGCGTAAAAACGTCAAAGAGTCAAGTGACAGTCACTCGTTGAAAATGCGCGCACTTCCTCTCCTCCTCTGTGTTCTGTGTTTAGACTTTAACTCAACAAACCCAAAGTGGAAAAGGAAGCGACGAGATGAGACGAATTGAAAAGAAAAAGTCTATTAAGTGACAGGGCAATTGTGTGGCGGCGCGTAGAGGACAAAAGTGGACGCTTAACGAGCCCTTAATTGATTTGCTTAAACGGTGTTCCTCATTAGGACATTCTCAAAGGGAAGAGCGGGGCCAGTTGCTAGTGTCTTTAATTGACCTTTACAATTCAATGGCACACGCGCCTTCCAAGAGCTGAGTTTTACATATCTATGGCAGCAGGTGGGCGAAGAGGATTTTTACCAGGCTACCAACTAATCAGAAAAGAACAGGCCTATTTTTATACTAGACACAGACAGCAAGATTCAAAAATTTCTTATTATTTATTGTAGTATTATTAGTTGTAGTACACAGCAAATTCAAGAGTGTTAATTCAACTCGTATATTGTTAATTTTAACACGTTTACCATGTCATATGGGGTCCACAATAAAATGAGTTAAAACTTTCCAAAGTGTAGAAGGCTCAACACTGGTAAAGTGATGTAACTACACTCCTCATAGTTGAATTTGACACTGATTAAGATTAGATTTTTTTTACACTAGTGTATAGTGAAAAACTAATAACACTATACACACTATAAGTAGAAATAGTGTAGAGTGTTCTTCATGTTACACTATTCAATAGTATCTCTTTCTTCGCCAAATACAGTGTAAATGCTGTGGTCATTCTAATTCATAATCCCTTTTACAAATGTAAAACAATGAAAACCACCACGAAATTCCATTTCAACTTAACTTGTATTAAAACAATGCACATCATAAAATCAACACAATTTAAGCAAGTCATACGACACAACACTAGTTTTGCAAAATCCAACTGAGAGCAGGAATTCTCTGTGCCCTCAACAGTTGGTCACAATGATTGTCATTTATTTTTTTAAAGTTGATTTTTCAATGCAAGCAGTTGATGGATGAATCAAGATCTTGTTTTGAATGGAATTCAGACATGCTCATCTCCAAAAATGAGAGGAGTATGTCTGACTGTTTGAAACAAGATCTTCTCTCCATTATATAAACATAACAATGTTCACAATAAAGGCAGTCCTGCTAATTATGAAACTTTAACATTGCAGAAACTCTTTAGCTCAAGAGTCAGTCTTTCACTCGGGGTTTCTTTTGACACATTCATCGTCCATGTTGTAGACAGTTCTTTAAATACAGGTGTAAAGTTTGTGAGAGTCTGAGGACCAAGTGCCTTGGTCACAGGTAGAAAAGTCGTCCAGGCTCAACCAGCAAGAAATTTGTCCCTACCGATCTGAAAAATAAAATATAGAATAGAATAAATATAACATATTCCAGTAACCAAATTGCAAAACGGGCTATACAATATTTAATGAGCCATGAATAAAAATTTAAAAGTATATATATAGCAAATATATTATGGTGCATATATCATTATTTGTTTGTTCCTATTAAGAAGGTTATTCTGTTGCATGAGCTGTATTTTTTTGTATACAGGAACCACTCAAATAAATAACTTGAAGGGTAATTTGAAAAAATTTAGCCCCTTAGAAAAGATTATTTTTACATGCGAGACCCACAAGAAACAAAACACCTAAATGCCACTGATCATGAAAATAGAATGAGATTAAGGCAAAAACTACTTAGCACATATATAAAATGTAATTAGTCAATTATGAAATTATTGATGAGGTTACATTTTAGTTCTACATTTAACCATTTCATGACATACCTGCAAATCTCTGACAAGATGGTTAATGGCTTGAGCTTTCAATCTTTCCACTGTAGCCTTTAGGAGCTGGGGATGCATGTGAACTAGCAGCAAGACACTCACCCTGAAGAAAATACGAAAAAAAAGAATGTATCATTGCTCTTCTTGTCTAAAGGTCAATGTTAAGCATGTTAAGACATTTTATTGGGTAAGACGTCATACTTTAAGATATTTTATTTTTACAGAATACTACTAACCTTTTGATTCAAATAATTTTAATAAGCAACAGTAAAAGCAGTAGTATAGCAGTAGTAGTAATAGTTGTTGTGGTTGTAGTAGTTCTCTCGTAGTAGTAGTTTTATAGCTGTAGTAGTAGAAGCAGTTGTAGTAGCCTAGCAGTTCTAATAGCAGTGCAGTAGTAGTCATACTCAGTTGTCTATAGATTTCACACACCATCATTTTACTTTTTAGAGGTGAGCAAAACAAAACAAGCATACCTTATTTTGCATCCTAACTATTAATGTTGTATACATTTTAAAATAAATAAATGTTAGTGCTTTGGAGGAATTAGTATTTTTGTTAAACATGCTTTGCACATGTCATGTATTGTATTTATTCAGTCTATTTTGTCTTGGAGGGGAGTGACCAGTGATCTCCTGCAGCTATTTATAGAGACACCATGTGCTCCAGAGCAGAGTGTGCACAGCTGTGGTCAGTGGTAAGTTCAGTCTAAATGTGTTATATGTAAAAAACATGTTACTTACTTGAGTTTGTTCACATGCAACATTTATGGAGATATGCATTAAGGCTCCACACACATACTTGTCCTGGTTTGGTCCTGTTTTGATCTTAGTTTAGTTCTGATGTTCTTCTAGTCCTGATTTATTCCTGGTTGTGTCCAATTCCAGGTTTAATCCAAGTTCACTCCCAATTTTGATGTATCTGTGTGAGTGATTTTGACTATGCGAACACAGCCTGTAAAATGCAACAAACTCCTTTTCAGTTTGGCTCATTTATGTTTACATGTGATTTTTTTCAACACATATAGAATGAACTTGTGTTGTGTTTTAAATAGTCTAGGTTTTAGTTTTTTTTTTGTTTTTTTCAATTCATTCCTTGGACTTTTCTTCTTTCAGACCGGTCACACAGAGCTGATAAAACTCTTGACGACTGAACTTTGGTCCGATCAAACTCCTGTCAGCTGCCCCACTCCCTCAGTCCTGGAAAACGCATCAGAAGGTTTGTGACATGAGACACAGTTGTAGGTTTGTTATTTGAGTTTATGCCCTAACAGTACTACAAAAAAGATCATCAATTATTTGTCAGTGAAGTAGGAAAACTGCTCTGAAAAGATCAAATCTATCTAACTTATTGACTATATAAATTAAATCTATTCTGCATTTCCAATTATTTTAACTTGATTTTCTTTTCTGAACTGTTATAAGACGTGTGTACTTTTCCTTGTTTTATTTGTTCAGATCATGCGGCGACTGTGGGCTGTGTTCAAAGCCCATCCATACATTGGGAATGTTCTGGGATACACTGCACTGTTCGCCTCCGCAGATCTCATTCAGCAGAGTGTGCTGAGCGACAGACCGGTGTCTACCTCCACAACCGAGACCAGGGCTGGGGCTGAAGGGGCTGTAAGTGAAACAATTCATTCACTTAACTACAGTGGGTGGTAAACTATTGAAGCCATAGCTGTCGTGGGGCGGACCGGGGCTGCCAATCTGCGCCATCGGTTCCTCCAATCGCGTCCAACACTCACCCACACACCTCCCACCGTCTCCCATCCAAATACTAACCCAGCCCATCACTGCTTAGCTTCTGACATCAGACAAGATTAGACTTTAGATTCATTTGTTAATCAATCATTAATAAACTTCTATCATTAATTCGTCTTCTTCTGTTTAATCTGAGGCCTGGTCACAGATTCAGCAGTAAATGTTTATATGAATGTATCCATGTCCCTTTATTTCTCAGCTGTTGAAGACCCCTGGCATAGACTGGCACCAGACGGCACGAGTAGCGACTGTGGGTTTTTGTTTTCATGCAAACTTCAACTATCACTGGCTCAGAGCGCTGGAGAAGATGCTGCCCGGGGGAGGAGCCAAAATGGTGACCGCAAAAGTTGTATTGGACCAGCTCATCGCCGCCCCCCTCACCATTAGTGCTTTTTACATCGGTGTGTGAACAAAATACAGTGTCATAATTTGACTCTACAACAAAAATAAGTGGGATTCAGAATATTTATCTTTTTAAGTTTTTATTTATATGGCTAGATTTAACAGGTGCAGTAAGTCCAGGTACTGCTGGAGTGTCAGAATGTTCCACTGTATGGTATTAAACTTATTCAACAACATGAAGACAAGCAGCAACAGGCCAAGTTACAGACAGATCTATGCAGTGATGAGCTCACTTAGAGTAAGAATTCGTGTCTTTCAAGGTATTTTTGAGCAATATAAACTGCTGGAACAGTTGCAAGATTTGTTTAACGCCATGGTACAGTGGAAGAAATAAATAAATTCTTAACGGAGACATTAGAAAAAATACATACGTTGTGCAACTTTAAGATAACTTTACTATTGTAGTTTGTTTTATTTCTAAATCTGAGCCATTTCTGACACTTTTTGCTTAAGCACAAGTATATATTTCCAGGGATATTTCCAAACTCTTGATAATAGCATACATTGAAACGATTAAGAAATACCACAAAACATTATAAATAAATATTATTCAGAATTCAAATAACTGCAATGTTTCAGAATAAGCTTTTTAAACATTTGTACTTTTTAGGTTTGAGTTTTCTAGAAAACAAAGAAGATCTGCTTGAAGACTGGAGACAAAAATTCTTGACCTCATACAAGGTTGGCTTCACGTTAAAACATATCAAAATGTTATCTCTTATTTTGTAATGTTTATATTTTAATTTATTTTTCAGGCTGGTGTTGTGTACTGGTCTACAATGCAGGTGAGAAGTGATGACATGTACAAGCTGAGAATCAATATGACCTAATAATTCACATCATAGCAACTCTTTCAAAGGCATTGGCAGAGCAAATGTTTTTTACTTTATTCAATTCAATTAATCCGTATAAGCAGTAAAGTTGTGATTCTTCTCTATGAAAAATGCTGCTTGATGGTTAAATTGTCAGTGTTATGATGCTAGGGGTGTTCTACCTGTGCGCCTATGGTGGAATTATTTTTAAAAAGTAATGTAATGTTATTTGAAAGGGTCTTGACAACAGCACAGATAATCTGACCTGTTGTAGTTTGAGCTAAATCAGTTCTTTATAATTGATTGTGTCAAAATATACCTTAGACGACATCAGCTGCAAAGGACAGGACAAATACAATTTACTTAACCTACTACTTCACTTACTTATTAATATATACTGTAGGTCTATACTATATCTGTTCTCAATTTTGCCCACTGTGTCACTTGTGCCCTTTTTGTGTGTTACTGACATCTCTTCATATTTGTGAAGTGACTGTGTTTTTTAAATGTTTCAGGCAATTAACTTCTCGCTGGTTCCTCCTGTGGCTCGGACCGTGTTTATAGGAGGAATTGCTCTGACTTTCACCATCTTCTTGTGTCATATGAAACGTCAAGGGAAGCTAAACCAATGAATTATCGACATTATTCATAGTTTATCTGGCTTTTTTGTTTTGTTCTGTTTTTATTTGTTTATATGAAGCACCACTTCTGTCATTGTTACACTGATGTAAGTTGTTTTACTATTTTTATAATGTCTGTTTCAATAAATTAGCCAAATGTAGTCTGTAAAGCTATAGTTCTTAATATCAATGAATGAATGAAAATGGCTGGCAACTGACCTTTTTTTTTTTATTATTTACATCTCTATTCATGGCTGCATTTACACTGGGATGACAATAGCTCAGGGGTTTAATGTAGGTCTATACTCCAAATAAAATCACCTTAAATTGGGCCTATACTGTTGTATCTTAGACTGTTTGTTTAAAAGAATGAGCTGGTCTGTACATGATTCCAGTCGGCTACATGACAGACATTTAAGCCTGTAGAATAAAAGAAGTCCAGTCTGGATCCCAAGCGAACTGAGTCATGCCACAGCGGTGTTTTGTGCATATTCTCTGTTGTTCAGCCCCAAAGCAACCATGGCCTCAGTAATAGGCTAATAGCACATCACAAATTTATTTGAGAAGTGAATAAATACTAAATATTGTAAGCTTAAACATCGTATTCGATAAAAAGTGGACTGTAGTGCGGTTTTACCCATCTTAGAACAAAAACATTGCATTTTTTCATTCACACATATTTAAGTAACGCTGCATTATGAGGCTGTTATAAATGTAAATGTACAAGTAAAAATAAAATAGAAAAATAAGTAATAAAGTATAAAATCTTAGCTATATACAAGAAGTCATAGGAAGATAGTGCAACAATGATATGATTATTGACAGGACATAGGGTTATCTGTTACATACATTTGCCAAAGTAAAGGAACAGGACTGCTCACCCACTGCACCAGACTATAGAGGGACAGATAATACTCCCTACAACTGCACAACAACTCACCCACTGCACCAAAGCAGCTCATTCTCCAGCAGGCTCCTACAGCTCCATTCAAACAGTAAGAGATACAGGACTACATTCAGACCATACTCCATACAACTGTACAACAACTCACCCGTATGTGACAGATAATACTCCCTACAACTGTACAGCAACTCAACCTTATGTAACAGATAATCCTCTGTCAATTATCATCTCACTGTTGTACTGTCTTCCTATCTTGTATAAAGGTGTGATATTGTATTACTTATCTTTTTATTTATTTTGACTTGTACATTTACATTTATATAATTATTTCACACCTGTATCTAGCTATCTTTTTTGCTACCTTTTTAGAATGTATTATTATAACCATTTATATTTTTGCTCTTTGTTATTTTATTATATTGTGATGTGTCCAAATAATTTTCATTGTGGATCAATTAAGTTTGTCCAAGTCTTATTCTTTTCTTTATCAGAGTAATCATGCATTTGCAGCAGTCAACCAGAAGAGGCGCTGTCCCAAAGACGCACAGAAAGCCTCGCGCGCACTGTCCAATCAGAGCCGCGAGATTTCAGGCCAGTGTTTATCGCGAGATCTCGGCTCTTCCTTTTCCCTTTTCGCTCTGAGTCCAAGATGGTAGGTGTCGCTGCTGGGATTTATCTTCAGACTTTTGAGACTATCCACGATCATCCTCTATAATCACACGTCTTATGTCACAAATAACTTTACGTACTAAACCCACACGCTGTTTATGTCTCAGTAAAGTGATGATTTGTGGTCTTAAAGCGCTAATATTCTTGTTAGCTTGACCTATCTGCTGTCGACCTGAGGGTGAAATGTTGATGTGGCCGCTTCACATGTTTCAGTAAACTCTAAACTCGAAATGATTATGTTTCCAGCACGCACTTTATTTGACCGGATCACAATGTCTATTCATAAAACAATAATATAGTGGAATAAACCTGCACATTGTCAATATTTCAGTATAGCTGTCAGGAGAGTATCAGCGTGTGTACCGGCCTCTGCTACTTCGTTAGCTGTTAGCGGTGCCTGTTGCTGAAAACGATGGCAAAGAGACACATTGGGTTTCATCTATAAACTACAGTCTTGTTAATCTTGATATGGCTGCTACTGTTTAGATTTCATTGTGTTGATTTGATCCTCATGTTTGTTCTGTCTGTAGGGAGTCGACATCAGACACAACAAGGACCGTAAGGTGCACAGGAAGGAGCCCAAGAGCCAGGATATTTATCTGCGGCTCCTGGTTAAGGTAAAGACTCACATCTCAACCAACTCACTCCACACATTTTGCGCTTTTTATTTTATCTCGATTAACAGACTTGTGTGTTTGTAGTTGTACAGGTTCCTGGCCCGCCGCTCAAATGCTCCCTTCAACAAGGTTGTCCTGAAGAGGCTCTTCATGAGCAGGACAAACAGGCCACCCATCTCCATCTCCCGCCTGGTAAGCATCTTCTCACCAACTGTTTACTCCACCTCATACTGACTTATATCACCTTATTGTAAAAGTTTAGCAGCTGGACTATTCATGCATTAAATATTGTAACCGTTCTTGTCGTTTTCCTCAACCTTTTTGCTGGAATTATGAAATGTTGAGCTGTGTCACTGGGTTACAACATGCTACAGGCCAGTAATATGTCATACTGATGGGAGGTAGTTAATATTAGTAATTCAGAGTGCTTGGGTGTAGTGAGTGATGGAAATTATGAGATGCGTTTACCTTTTAGGATATATCATGGAAAGAAATGTCTTTTGCCTCCCATCTATGAGTATGACTGCTTCACATTCTAAAATCTGAAAAAAAGGCTAATTAGTGCTTGTTGAAATTCACTTTTAATACTACATTACCGTTATCCGTATTGCATTTATCCTCTGAAATGTTTTTGCCTTGTTCTTTGTGCAGATCCGCAAGATGAAGCTGGATGGGCGTGAAAACAGAATTGCTGTTGTTGTGGGAACAGTAACTGATGATGTCAGGATTCAGGACATCCCCAAACTTAAGGTATGTTTTTACTTTATTTCTTTAGTTCCACTATTTAAACCAACTCGTTCAGAAACAATGCAGGCCTAAATTTGCATTCATGCTATAACCTGGCACCAGCATCTTTCCTATGACTGTTTTGGTTAATGTTGTGCACTGTCTGTTCAAATTAAAGAATGCCATACAAAAACAATATCTTGTTTGTTGCCCGTGTATTAAACAATTTTATGTTTTCAGATCTGCGCTCTAAGAGTAACTGACGGAGCTCGCCGCAGGATCCTGAAGGCCGGTGGTCAGATCATGACATTCGACCAGCTCGCTCTGGCTTCTCCCAAAGGACAGGGCACCGTGCTGCTGTCAGGTAATACAAATTTATTTTTTATTTTGACTGGTCTCTTGAATTGGTTCAATCTTTAGTGTTATGGGTCTTTATGTGCCTTGTAGTTTGGTTTAGAAAAGCAAAACAGGAATGAGCGTATTTACATAATTGAAATCCATTCATGGCCCATCTAAGCCATGCATTAGTGTTTCTAGAAGAGTTGAAGCATTCAAAGCCAAATTTGCTGTACATCTGCAATATTTTTAAATATTTAAATTTTAGTGTAAAAATTCTCTCAGAAATTCATCTTTAGACTTTGTGGAAATATAGAAGTTTTGAGCTACCACTGATAAGCTACTGTTTTAAATTCATGAATAATAAACATTTCTGGCAGTAATGCTTTTAAAACATGCTGCTATGTCAATTTAGTTTAATTTAGTGTATATTTTACTTAAGTTTCTAACAAAAGTGGAATGTTTTTTAATCAGTAAATTCATGGTTGATCTTGTGTTTTAGGACCCCGCAAAGGCAGGGAGGTGTACAGGCACTTCGGCAAAGCCCCTGGAACTCCTCACAGCCACACAAAGTAAGTGGATATTTCCTGTTTGCATCCAATAGAAAAACTGTTAGGACACGCGCTACAGTTGGGTACTGACACACATTTAAGATACCAGGTTTAAGAATGGATAACAGAAAATGCAAGAAAAGCAACAGAATGTATTTAATCACATCAAAGATTTGTGATTTTTATTTAAGTATTAGTGTTAAAGTGTTAATGGAGTCAGTTGTAATACGTCTCCATATGGTTTGCCCTTACACACTGATATTTGGCTTTGACATACATAATGTTGCCCTGCTGATGTGAACTTTGCTAGTATATGTAAAAAGAGGAAATGCATTAATCATGCTTGTGGTTTTACTCAAATGTCAAGACTGCTAAAAGATTTTTTTCTCCTCAGGCCCTATGTGCTCTCCAAGGGCAGGAAGTTCGAGAGGGCTCGTGGTCGCAGAGCCAGCCGTGCTTACAAGAACTAGTCTCGTCTTTGTTTTTCATGCAATCCCAAATAAAAGATTGGCTGGCTGTACAATGCGTGTTTGTCTCTTTAATGTGAGCTTTCATTCCTGTGAGTTGAGTAAAAGGAACAGAGAAAGGCCAGAGCAGTATTTGAGCATTTTATGCAGACTTTGTGATCACCTGTTCCTCTTTTGATTATTGTGAGAAAACCACAGCTTTGCTTTAATTTAAAGCAGAGTATGAGTAGGTCAGATCTACCAGTTACAAGGGGCTCCTAATTTTTTTCTAAATTTGTGCATTAAAAAGACTTAGGTAAGTTATTTTCTTGAGTTATACAATTTATGTTGCTAGACTAAACTATATTGTAACCTGTTATGTAACTCCCAAGTATGGTTAGATTTTAATTTGTGCTTTTCTGGAGGATGAAACTACATTTAAATGCTAATTATATGTATTAAATATATAATCTAATATATGTCAAGTAAACAGAAGCAAAAAGGAAACGATATGAAAGTGTCTAATTTATTCAACAAGTAGTCCCAAAGGCCTTTTTAAAGCCATTCTGCGATCATCCCGGAGATTGGCGTCAACTGTAAACGCGACATCAGGAATTTGTTGTTGACCATTATTGATATGAGTTGTCCTGGAAAAAATTGACTCAGAGCGGAAGTTGTGGCTGGTCAGCGATTGGAGAATGTCGGTGGGTGTTGCAGTATTTTCCTTATCGCCATTGGATTTCCTCTGCGCCGCTCAAAGCCGCCGCTGCGCCTCTCCAAACCAGACCCTTTCCTGCGCCGTGCCATAGCCTCCAGAGCAAAAGACAGTCGAGAGAGGGGGTCAAGATGAGGTAAAACATGCATTATTCCACTTATAAACCACTCTTATTCTGTAGATTTTTTACAATGTACTGAAGATTTAATAGATCTCCAATTTGGCACTGCGTAAAAGTCTGTTTTGACAGGTTAGCTAGTGTTGTCACGGAATTTAGCCTTATCGTTTCTACTTTGGACCCTTTTTGTGGATAAAGATAAACATTATGATTCGGCCATATCAGGATAGCACTCTTTGGTAGGGTCTTTGTAAATAAATGTGCGTTATTACGGCTTAATTAAACAAAACAATGGCCAAGTAGCTAGTTGTGGCTAACTGGCTGGACATATGAGGTTACAGTAGCTAGCTATTGAGTCAAAACATTTTACATTTGCTTTGTAAGTTTTTCCTTGGAAATGGTTGAAAATCCTTCACTTCCTTTTTAACATAATAATCGTATCCAAATACAAGTCACCATTACACATTCAGATTACGCATTTAAGTCTATGTCCTAATAAGTAGTGTAACAAGTTTATTACTACAGTTTAGTCATGTTACACGTAAATCTAAGTATTTGGATTATAGTTATGTGATTTAAACCTTACTATAGATAGCATGGACTATTAAACCTAATAAGAATACATTGGTGCCACTACTTTCTAGAATTTGCCCCAAACTATCCCTGAGCCTGTCCATTGTGTGAGAGACAAATTTAGCATCTGACATTATTTTGTTGGGAGTCTCCGCCCTGGTTTTCAAGGACGTAAGGTGCAACAATGGCATCAGAATGGTTCTTTTTGTTTTCGCTATCAGGCCAGGACATCAGCCAACTAACTGCTCTTTATATTGTCTATACTCAGCCGGCGTAATGCCTCCATGAAAGTTTAAAGACGTGGGCAGTTTATTAATAGGGGCATTTACTACAAGACTACACGTGATTAAATGCAGCAAGGAGAGAAAAATAAAACCCATAGGACTTGTTACTGCACTAAATGTCAGTATATGCAATGTGTATGGGCAATACCGACAAAATTAATCTCTTTTTATTATTATTTTTAGTTATTATGGTAGTTCATCAGAAATGTTCCAAAGTTGCACAGCAAGTGAATGGACTAAGATGAACCAACAAGTGCAAAAACGTAATTGTAAACCTTACCGTTTAGACCGCAAATTGACAACATGTTTTTGAAGCCTTTTTAATTCAGATATAATAGGCTATAGAGAATATAGTGGATATTCTAATTTTGCAAATCTTCAAAACAACAACCATGATATAACTTAAAACTTAAATATACACCTCCTTCCATTGTAAATCTGCAATATTGTTTCTATTAGATTCACAAATTGATTATTATGTTTATTACTATGTTGATTACTAAGTTCAAACCATAAATGTATTCTTCAAGCCCAACATTGCACATTTTGTACAAATTTATTTGCTTAGTAATTTTAGAAACATTCAGCAGCAATGGAGCAATGGACTGAATTTTGAACTAACCAAAAATACTTGCTGGTCAGCGATTTTGTGGAGGATGTGTGACTTTTGGTGATTAATGCCTACATGAACCTAGATGAAACTATAGGTCAAGGAACATTGTCTTGTATTTGCTGTGTCCTATCTAATCTCTTCCTCTTATCATAACAACTCTATCCTGTACTTTTATCGCTGCTATTGAGAAATTCATGATTATAACCACCTTTGGCCTTTCAAATTAACTTTAAAAGGATTTGTTATCTGTCATTAGCGGGCAATCATTTCTATGTTGAAGTCTATTGAGTGTTTAAGCATCTCTAATTAGTTCTTTTGTGTTAAAACAGGAACAGGGAACTAAAGGCGGGCACGTGAAGCTACAACTGCAACTTCGTCATGACATGAACTAAGTCCCACCACGAACTGCCTCATTGTCTGTCCTTTGTTTTCTGTTTTTTTATGTCTTAATTTTTATTTTATTTTATTATTCACCCTCCTTTTGTGGAGAGAAGTAAGGAGTATCCATCTACTAAACATCAATCACACTACTGTCTACCAGGCTGGCCCGGTAACTTTGGGTAGCCTCCTTTACATCACTAAGATCAAAGATAGCAATAATGGTATCAAAGGTCTTGTCAGTACCTGCACTTATCATATCTTGTGGCATTTGATTACATTTAAGCCAGCACTTTTATTTAAACTATTTACACAAGTCGCTGCATTAATTTAATTTTCCTATAGCTGCCTTTTTCTGAGCAATCTTTGTTAATTATTGTCTTAGTTATGTTTATTGAGGTTTTTTTAAGGCAACTTGCTGTTCTAAATAATTATTTAAAAGTGGAATTTTAATTTGTAGCTGCTTAGCAGCTTATTTTGATTTATTTTTTACTTATTCATCACTGTTCAGATTTTATAGTTTGGTTTGTGAATAGATGTTCAGAAGGCAGTGAACTTTAAAATTATAATTGTTTTTAAACGAAGACAAAATGGTTAGTCTAAGCTTAAATACTTTAAGAAGAAGATCTTTCAAACCGGAAGTTACATTTAATGAAGATGCTCGAGATGACGGGAAAACGCCAAATGACATTTTCAGCCATTAAGCACTGAATATATATTGCTCTATGTATATTCCACATTACTGGAGCGACGGACCTGCTGAAGTTGTATCTAAAGTACAGAGCTGATGAGGATGCGCTCCCCAGACCCGTCTTCACTTTCCCCGTCGGAGGCACTGCTTCATGGGCAGTTTGCCAGCTGGGGTTCTGGGAGTAACAGCAACAACAACAGCTGCCCCAACAGTCCTGGGGGTCCAGGCGGGATCTCCCCCGCTGCCTCCCCCACCCCCCCTTCGGCCTCTAACTACGCCTTGACCCTGACTTACTCCCACATACACATCCAGAGACTGTCCCCTCGGCCCGGGAAGGAGGCCCGGCTGCTCCTGCCTTTGTCTGAGCTGGTGGGGTGCAGCTGTCCCCGTGCTCCTGCGCCTCCCCTGCTGGTACTTTACTGGTATCCACCGGGCAAAAAGCGCAAAGGGGTGTCCCGGCGAAGGCAGGTGCGGGCGTACCTGTCCGAAAGCCGCACTGAAGCTGAGAGATGGTCCGCTGCAGTGCAGTGTCTGCTCCGAGGGGTCCCTGTAACCGCGGATACAGGTGAGTGTCACACCTTATGTATTTCTTTACACATATAGAGTGATTGTTACGAAATGTCGTTTAAATGTTTACTTTGTACTTTGCACTTGTAGTTTTTCAGTCATAGTGAACATTCTGCTTGCGTTCTTTTATTGTGGAACATTTCCCTTAACAGGCTGTTTATCTATGTTTTGTGTGGCTCTAAAAATATGTTAGGATTTATTTATACTTTTGGCCTCTTCTGTCTTAGCTCTTATCTGTTCTGCACAGACAGACCGAGGGTGGGTCGCTGTTTTCACTGCGTTAATCCTCAGCTGATAACTAGACCTTTTAAAGCTTACTTTCACAGGATAAACTTTCAATGATGCATATGTCAGAGTTATTGCATCACAGCAGATTGTGTGATCAAGCCTATGCAACCTATAACATGTTTTACTTCGTATTAACTTCAATCTTTTGCTCTGATATCAGTGTGGTTGTGTGATGTGTCTAGTTTGGATCATGGTGTACTTTTAGTGTGTTGTATTTGCACTGCGTTAGTGTGATGAATGTTGGCATTCTAAAGAGTTCACATCTAATACTTATATCTATTTTTAAGTTCTGCCCTGGTTTGAGAGCTGAGAGCCAACTGGTATAGGGCAACACAAAAATGTTTGCTGTTTTTTTTTATTGTCTTTTTTATTTTATTTTATTTTTTCAATAGAGTTTTCAAGAAGTCTGCTACCTCGTCCCAGGCGGCTACTGTTATTGGTCAATCCTTTCAGTGGGAGGGGCCAAGCAATGCAGTGGTGTCAGACCCACATCCTGCCAATGATCAGAGAAGCCAACATCAGCTACAATCTTATCCAAACAGGTATGATCACTGGAGCCTGTGAAACATCAAAGTATAAATCTAACTTTAACTTAAATTTAACTTTGTGAACTTCTTCAGAGCGCCAGAATCATGCCAGAGAGCTCATACGAGAGATCTCTCTACCAGAATGGGATGGAATCATCATTGTGTCTGGAGATGGCCTCCTACATGAAGTATGTCCTCAGTAAATGTTATGATAAACATGTTGCAATATACAGTTCAAGATTCTAGTTTATTTATATTAATTTTAATGTATGTTTGTAGGTAATTAATGGTTTGATGGAGCGTCCTGACTGGGACCAAGCAATAAAAACCCCTGTGGGCATTTTGCCCTGTGGCTCTGGAAATGCACTGGCCGGCTCCGTGAACCACCACGCAGGGTAAGTATTTAGCTTTCTAATAAAGTTGTTATCGTTATTCTAATAGCTAACATAGCTGTGTTATTGTCCACAGATATGACATGTGCCTCCGGGAGCCCCTCCTCTTAAACTGCTGCTTCCTTCTTTGTCGTGGAGGAGTCCAACCTATGGACCTGGTGTCTGTGACCACCAGCCCCTCCCCCAACAGCCACTCCAGCGCCCCCCGAAGACTGTTCTCCTTTCTGTCCGTCGCCTGGGGCTTTGTGTCAGATGTTGACATTGAGAGTGAGAGGTACAATATTTTTCTGTATGTAATCTTATTATTTCTGCTCTCCAGAACCTAATGTTGCCTCATTATCTTGTTTTTGCAGATACAGAGGCTTAGGCTCAGCTCGTTTCACTTTAGGCACCCTTGTGCGCATAGCTTCTCTCAGATCTTACAAAGGGCGACTCTCCTATTTACCTCCTTCTATCACCACCACGTCTCTAGACACTACGCCTCCTCCTCCACGTCGCCCCCTGTCCCGCAGTATCACCGAGGGACTGGAGGGTTTCTGCAAAACACCCATTCACCGCACTTGCTCGGACATGGGCATCAGCGAGCAGAGGAGCCTCCGACGGGGTGAAGGAGAGCGGGAGAAGGAGGAGAGGCAGCGGGAGAGAGAGAGGAGGAGGCAGAGGGCCAGAGGAGGAGGAACGGGAGTGGTGCGGGCCAGTAGTTTGGCAGAGGACAGGGAGAGAGAGCTGGAGATGGAGGCTGAGGAGGAGTTATGTTCTGAGAGATCTGGGACCAGTTCAGAATCTAATGAAAGGGAAGATTGTAACATGAGAAAGAATGAACGGTTGGTTGGCATAAAGGATGAAAGGGAAGAGGAGGGCACAGTAGAGCAGGACTCTAGTGAGATGGATGACGATGACCGGAGCAAAGACGGTGATGAGGACGAAAGCGAGGGGGTGTTACCGGCAAAAGAAATGGGAGAGAACTATGGGATAGATTCAGGACAAGGAGGCAGACGAAGAGACTAGAACTGGATATATAGAAGACAGTCCCCAGGAGAGCAGACAGGCTGTTAGAAAGAACTCAGCTCCTTCCAGTCAAATCGTCAGTGCGCTGTTGAGCCAACCAGAGCCTGACACTGCTCCTTACACCGTGGAGGACATGGATCTAAATGGAACATACTACCAGCATGACGCATACCCATTGGACCCTCGTGAACGCGCACTGACCATCTCCTCTCCTTTTCGGCACTCCCCCTTCTCCTACAAACCCAAAGCACTTGACCAGAACCAGAATGCTTCTCGCCCACGACCTCTCTCCCTCCTTCAGCACTCACAGTCCAACTCCCTCCCTCCAAAACTCTCCTCTCTGTCCCTGTCCCTCTCTCCCACTCCTCCCTCATCACCCTCCTGCGCCTCCCCTCACGCCTCTGCATACCTGGCCCCGCGCATTAACACCCCAAACTCTACCTCACCTTCGCCCTTACGCACACCGTCCTCTTCTTTTAACTTTGACATTGCCGAGCCAGCAGGACCATTTAAAAACCGTCCACTACCTTCAAATCTCCCTAAAGATGACTTGTTACCCCCTCTGGACCAGCCTCTTCCTACCAGAGACTGGGTTACCATTGAAGGTGATTTTGTCCTGGTTTTGGCCCTGTATCAGTCCCATCTTGGGGCGGATCTGCATGCTGCACCACAAGCCAGGTTTGACGATGGCTTAATTCACTTAACGTTTGTGCGGGCGGGCATCTCTAGAGCCACTCTGCTGAGGCTGTTCTTTGCGATGGAGAGAGGGACCCATCACTCCGTCAGTTCGCCGTATGTGAGTCATGTGACCTGTCGAGCCTTTCGCCTGCAGCCCCTGTCTTCACGCGGGACCCTGACGGTGGATGGAGAGCTTGTTCCCTATGGGCCTCTTCAAGCACAGGTCAGAGCACTAACTTTGTTTGTGAGTTATGTTTTATATTTATGTATAAGGCTGCATAATACATTAATATCTAAATTTTCCCTGTTTTTTCAGGGGAAAAAAGATTAAGCCTGAAATGTTTGAAATATAGTTCTGAAATAGAGATAGACCTGGCTGGCTAATATTTTCAATATTTAGCATATCAGCTATCAGCAGATCTTATCGGCTGTTGATTGATCTGGATTCTAAACAGTCTTGACATCGGCCATGAAAAAAACGTGATCTCTATTCTGAAATATATGGGATTCTTAATTCATACATTCATTAATACAGCAGTTCATATTTGAGTCATGTTTCAATGTTTAACCTGAAATCAAATTGATCCCAATTAGATTTTTTCCAAAATTGTGCAGCCCTATTGTTTGACTCAAGATGAGTCATGCTGTTTGTCTTTATTTAATTCTCCTACCTACTGTGATGAATAAATGGGCCATGTGACACAAGATTCATATCCCTATCTTGCTTTTATAATATTTCATGTACACTTCTGCATCTTCAGAGTCACAAGTCAAAGCAATGTAAACTGCACTTGGAGAAGATATGCCACTTCTCCACTTTTTTGGGAATGTTCCACAATATGACATTAAACTCATATGTTGCATTTATTCAATGACAAGTGATTTTATTGCTAAGAATTACCTTGAAAAACATACATTCTCACGTCTTCACAAGTCTGACCTGTAACTTGGCCTAGTGGTATCACCACCTTGTCTACGAGAAGATTTATAAGCCCCATTGTGGAACATTCTGTTCCAGATCTATAAGGAGTCAAGCAGGTGGCAGACCCTCTGCCTGAAAAGTTTCTTTTAACTTGAATTTAATTACTTTAATTACTTTATTATCTGAGTTACAAAATGTGTTACAGCATTGACTAATATAGACTGTCTGGTTTTCTGTTGTAGGTTCATCCTTCCTTGTCTCGTCTTATTGTCGGCGACTCTGGAGTGAAGATCACACGATTCTAGGGACTCAGGGATTGGTTGAGCTGCGTTCAGCATTGTGTCTACTGAATTATGTAATCTCTGTTGCAATGTCCACTCTGCTATGAGGAAACTGAGGAAGAAGGGTAAATCAAATGAGACTCTTAAATATCCCGGGCTGCTGAAACTGCTTTTTTAATGAAAAGGGATAACCCACCGAGCCACATGTTTTTGAGCGCAGGGATTAATGTCTTTGAAAAATGGGAATTGAAAAAGTTGCACAGTTGTAGGATTACACATGGCATCCTCTGAGAAGCATGAAACTGCACAGCTTGGAACAATAAGAGGGAAAACAATCAAATGTGTGATTGGTGCAGATAGTGCATGTATCCGATGTATACATTAGTCGTATGCATGCAGAAAAGCACTACCTGTTTTTGCCTTACCATGATATTGAACGGAATCCAAATAATAGTAGAATTGTATTAAATCACACTTTAAATCACAGTGAACGTCTCTGGGGTATGCACCAGAATAAATGATCCATTGGCCTTTCATATCTAACTAAGTTTTATTGAAAAATCTCCCTTCTGGAATGCCTTATTTGCCGCTGGACAATGTTGTTGCGGTGCCCTGATTTTTTTTTTTACTTAAAAAGGAAAATTAGATACTTCTTAAATCCTTAATTAATCTTCATAACAATAAATAAATATCACATGAAGACCGGCTAGGCTTATATGTTTAGACAAACTGATAGAGCTGTATTGTAAAGTGTATTTCCAACAATTTGCTGCATCATTGCAGAACTTTGACTTTCATGCAATCGAATCATTGTGCAAGATTTGACTACCTTTAATAGGTTACATTGATGTGTTAACATTCAAACTGCCCATGGATGGATACTGAGGTGAAGGACAGGTCAGTTTCTTTGGCAAAATTTGCCTTTTAGTTGTCAAAATACTGTGGTTTTACCTGGTTTATTAGATTCTTTTGTACTGTCCTTATGAAACAAAGAAAATGCAAGTTTAAGTTGTACAAATTAACTGCAGAGAATTTTTCCCATAATAGTTTCAACAAGTATTGGCATTACTTAGAGGCAAATTAGTTGTCTACTGAAACTGGTTGGTTTGTCCCAATCCTTTACATGAATTGTTCAACATTTATGGATTTTTTTATTCTTAAATTTTTTTTTAACGGGCCTGAGAGTTATTCAGGCCCCTGCCCTATATCTGAAACCATAACAAAACATTCTTAGTTTTGTGAACACAGCCTATCCATGGGTTTGGAAAAATTTTGAATGGTCCTCCATGCTCAAAATGTCACTATATAACAGAAAGCTGACACCCATGAATAGGGAATTTCTGCTGTTAAACTGTCTCCAATACATTTTGCTAGCCTGTCTTATGAACTGATACACGATTCTTGATGTCAGCAAACGTAATCGGCTTAAGTGAACTTGAGCATGTCTGAACTCACAAGCCTTTATCAGTAGCTTTAGACTGTTTTGACGTTTAGTTAAATCATACAATTAATGTCATGTCATTTATTTGTTTTTATTTTGCACATTTACATAAGAGTCAATCACACTAGAGTAGAGTGGGTAAACCGGTGCTTTTCTATGAACAGCTCCTAAAGTGATCATTTCAAAGCAATGGTATATGTAAAGATGTTTCAGAAATAAATAGGCCTACTGTTAATATTTTTCTATATGAAATTTGACACTCAAAATACATTCAAAAAGGCATTGATTCATAAGTATTACACATTTTACACACACCAGTAACATGGAGAAATTTGCCCGTAATTATCAGAAATTACCTCAAATTCTATTTCCGTTCAAAATTTCTGTAATAAAAACAACCTTGATCTAAAGTAATTTACACAAAAGATTTTGTAATCACCTCAAATTTGTCGCTTTCTCTGTAAACTCAAATATCTTAAAAACAGCCTTGATCTTGCCATTTAGAAATTATATCTGCCTATCTACTTCTATACAATGTTTTTTTTATTTTGTTGTTTTTTGTTTTTCTTTTTTGTAATTGCTCATCATTACCATACTGTAATTGTATTTCATGCCTCATCAAAGCCTTTGTCCTGAAACTTCCTGTGACTGGACCATTTTGAGAGCAGAAAGATGGATGACATATTTTTGCTTCGGGCCTTTATTCTTTTGTTTCACCGCACACAAAGCAGCTAGTACACAAATATTTTACACTGTGCTTTCTCAGCTACAGAATGTGATTTTTTATCAGTATAGACTTGTACACATTTCCAAATAGAAGCATTGATTAATAAAGACTTTGAAGTAATTGCCATATTGTTTACTCTTGATGTAAAGAGAAAATAGTTTACTTTGTTGAACATGTGTTAGGTGCAGTGTTAGGGACTGATACCTAAAAAAGCTGTTTGTTTGTCATGGACTGCCTGTAAGGATGTTGTAATTATTACTAAACAACTATGAAAGATGTACAGTTAATAGTAATATGATTTTGAATAAATGTAACTTCATACATTTGCTTTGAGTCAACTGTAATCCTTTCTATTATTATGTATCAGTAGATTGCATGGAAATAAACAAATAATTATTAAATCATATAAATATAAATAAATAAATAAATAACCTCAAGTACAGTTAGTTTATAGTTTATATTTATTTTTGTTGCCTTCAAAATAAAGTCCTGATTGATTCTGATTGTTGATCAAAAGCGCTGACCGGAAGTGCCCTTCTCGACAGTCGGACTCTGCTTCCGCTGTCGCCGCCTTCTTTGTCTCCGGCCCAAGATTTCGACAATTAAGCATCATTACTTTACTCTAATTGTGCGGATATATTTACACATATATCCACATTTTAAAATATTGAATGACTGTCGAATCTGAGCTATTTATGCCTAAAAGTAAAGCGCCAAAAATGGACGACCTGGACTACAGTAAGTAACATAGCATCGGTGGATTAGCAGGTGGCTAGTCGTGCAGCTAATATTGGGCACCCTGTTGGCATCTTAGCTCGGTTTATTTGCTTTTACTCTGACTGATTTGTTAACTTTAAACATTGGACTTGTCTTCGTAAAAATATCGAACATGTTGCAGGGAAGTAATGCAAAATAGACACCGAGTACGTGACGATTCTGGATAAAAAAAACCTGCTAAAACTGGTGCAAATCAAAAAGATGTCAACTTACTGTGTGATCTTTCAAGCAATTCAGTATTAAGTTCATATTTGTGCACTTTTTTGTTTATTCTTTATTATTAGTTGTGTTTTTGTGCAACATACTAACCTACACAGCGGTATTGCGTGCATGTTTTATTTAGCGCAGTTCTGGTGGATAAAAAGTCGTCTAATCAAGAAATCATTATTGATATTTTTGTCATTATAGCCCTTCCCTATTATTAAACATGCACGTAAAATATAATTGCATTGCATTTAGAAATTGCAGCATTTGATTTGACATTATATTGTAAACAGCGGCGAGTTATTGTTGTAAATAAGTTGTTGTGATTGTATTTACACTTGCAGCCTAAATTACTTTTTATCATAATTTATATCTTGCAATGTATATGAACTGTATTTTTATTTCTGTCTGTTTTATACTGGCTTTCTCTGGTGAAAGTAACATCTAATCCAGACAGTGGGTGTGGCTAACAGTGTTGTGGCATATGTTCTCCTGGCAAAGGAAGCGTGCTTGTTTTGACTGGGTTGTATCTCTCTCTGGGAAGCTTTTGTGTTATTTAGTGTTTATAAAGATTACATTTTTAAACGAGCAAAAAAGATAAATAGAAAAAAATATAGTTCATTTAAAAAAAAATTATATTAATTATAAGGGTGTGCAAAAATATTGAAATATTGGTATATCGTATTGCTTAATGTGATACGATATCGATATCGTGGGCTGCTGTATTGATATATCGCCAAGAGTATTTTTTGGTATATTTTACCAAATTGTTTTCTTACAGCGCTACAGTTTTGTTGCTTGTTCAGAGGAAGGAAACTCATTCAAGCGACACATTTGACATTTTCACTGTTTTGATGATTTAAATGTTTGTGTTTCATATGAACTTTGCACAAGAAGTGGTTTAACAAAGACTTTTAGTATCACAGCCATGATTTGGCCTTTAGTTTTCATTGAACCATATTGAATTATTTGAAATATATTGTATCAAACCAAAAGAGCACTGTATCATTATATGTATTTGTTAGAGAATTCTATGATATAATTGTATTTCTTTGATTAAAGTCTCATTAAAGTGTTACTCATTTATATATGTAATTCTTTCACTAAAGTATTAATCATTTAAAGGGTGAATCATTTAAATATTAATCATGGTGTAATCAACATTGCTTTGGGTCTGTTTTGGTTCAGGAAGTACAGGACATGATACCAGCAGCAGATATTATTATTACTCTCCTTGCGCAAGTATACATTTTAACCGTCTCTTTCTGGTGTGTCTTTATTTAATGTAATTTGATGTCTTAGGGTAAATTCCCTGACAGTATTGTATCGGCAACTTTTTAATTACACTCAGCCCTAATTAAGTACAAGTTGATTTTATTCCTAAATTATTCATTTATACATGCCTTTTATTATTATTTTTTGTTAATATATATTAATTCTAATTTCATTAGAGATGTTCAGTGTATATTTAGTTATATACTTATATAATGACACAACCCTTCTAGCATTTAGATTCAGATTTTGCAGTATATTTTTATTTGACAATATTTTACTATTTTTTACTATGAATTATTAATCATTGTTTCATATTGCACCATATCACAAACACACTTTTTTAAAAATCTGATTATTCACAAAGGGTGAAACAATGTGCTCAATAAAAATGCAAAAATACCATTTGAAAGGTTTCATCACAGTATAACCACACAGCAATTTTTGTAATATTAATAAATAATATAATTGCTAAAACTATGGCAGAGTGTAGGCATGAATCCTGTGCTTTAAAGCTGAAAGCATTCAGAAATGTTGTGCACTGCACGTGGGTCTAATGTCTACTTTTATATTGTATAGTTATTTTAAATCTGTTCTAGTGTCAGTGTTTCTTGTGTAATAAATGCACAAAACTGCTACTTCGCTGTCTTGTTATAGTCCCAGTAGACCTGAGCCCAGAGGAGCGTGCCGAGCTGGAGGACATCCGCAGGAGGAAAGGGGTTCTGCTGCAGGAGATTCAGAGGCTCAGAGAGGAGCTTCGAGAGGCCATCTTAGAAGTAGAGGGACTAGAGACCAGCACAGAGGGGAGGTACGGATAAATTAAACGTTAAAAAAAACCCAACATTCATTTGATTGTATTATTCAGTTGTATAAATAGAAAAGTTTATCTGCATTTTGGTCTTGTATGCACCTTGAAATTGTGACAAAGAACTCAAAGGTTATTAAAACAAGTTGTAAGTAGAAGTGGATAATGAATTGTAAGGATATAAAGTGATATTTTTACTCTTGGTTAATTCTATTATGTTTTGTGCAATACATCAATTTTTAGCACATTTCTGATGAATTGTCATAATATTGTCTGAATATGATCCAAAAATATACTTAGACTGATATTGACCAAAAGGTATATCTGTAATTGTAGGGGTCACTAAGGTAATATGTAAAATCATGAGTCTGTTTCCTTGAGCTCTGTTAATAGGGAGACATATTCTCTTTTCTTCTTTTTGCAGTAAAACTCTGCAAAAAGCAGACATGTGGCAATGGGAAGGAAGAAATTCAACATGGACCCTAAAAAGGTACCCACTTTTACATTTACTCCAGCTCTATGTCAACAATAAAAGATCACTTGGTAGTTTTGACCTCCGTTATTATTTATAATTGCAGGGTATTGTGTTTTTGGTTGAAAACGAGCTGCTCAGACACACACCAGAGGACATAGCTCAGTTCCTTTACAAAGGTGAAGGCCTCAACAAAACAGCGATAGGAGATTACCTCGGAGAAAGGCAAGGTTTAAAATCCTCTTGTATTTTTCCTATAGTTGTTGTGACATTTTTGTAACAATAACTGTGCTCTCTCTGTGCTGCAGGGACGATTTTAACATAAAAGTTCTTCAGGCTTTTGTTGACCTTCACGAGTTCACTGATCTTAATCTTGTTCAAGCCCTGAGGTAATTTTATTATTGATTTATGTAGTTAATTATTATGTATTAATTCATTACATTTAAAGGAGCTACTCAATAACTTTTCTGATATGGCAATGATAATTAAAAACACTCTTCCTTTAGATATCAGAATGTGATTATCAGCTTTAAATCTTAGTAACTTTTAGACCAATATAAACTGTTAAAAATGTACACACTTTAAAGACAGTAAAAATCAGGTGCTGCACCTTTTAAGTATTTTTCTTTAATTGTACTTCTACTTTATCCAATTGTCTGCAGGCAGTTTCTGTGGAGTTTCCGTTTGCCTGGTGAAGCCCAAAAGATCGACCGAATGATGGAGGCTTTTGCTCAGAGATATTGTCACTGCAACCCCGGTGTCTTCCAGAGCACAGGTAAAGGCATTTTATTGACTAAACTGGGAACTAAACCCAGACTTGAACCAGGACTGGACCAGGATTGGACCCAGACCCGACATGGACTAGACCAGGAAATGTACCAAACCAAATCTACATCAGGAGTTTAAACCAGGACCAAAGGAAAAGTGAACTGATCTCTTCTCTTCATTGAAAATAGTTCATATAAACCTGCTAAACTGCTTTATTGTTTACTTATTTTTGTGTTGGTTCTGTATTTGCAGACACATGCTATGTGCTGTCATTTGCGATCATTATGCTGAACACAAGCCTTCATAACCCAAATGTGAGAGACAAACCTGGAGTGGATCGCTTCATCTCCATGAATCGTGGCATCAATGAAGGAGGAGACCTCCCGGAAGAGCTGCTCAGAGTAAGAAAAGAAAAAAATAATGTCTCAAGGTCCACTACGTAACTTATCTGGTGGAGAGTTAGTCACCTGGCGATATTATTGCTTTGCATGTCTTCAATAGTATGGCATTAAACTGATCTGTCTTGACAACCAGTCCACGTTATGGGTCAGATCTGTGGAGAAGCATCTATGTCATTTTAGATAGAGCTAAATAGGTGGCAGAATCCTCCACCAACAATTACACTGTAGCCATAAATGTACAAATAGAAAATGCAATTGAATAACTATCACATTAAAAACATTTTCCCCTTTGTCCATTGTTTAGAATCTGTATGAAAGTATTAAAAACGAGCCCTTTAAGATCCCAGAGGATGATGGAAACGACTTGACACACACCTTTTTTAACCCGGACAGAGAAGGCTGGCTCCTCAAACTCGGTGAGAATATTTTAACAACGCCATAATATTTTGTTCTTAATTAATCACTACAAGATCTGTCAAGCCTGATGTAAAATTATACTGTCTTTAGCTAAAACAACATAAAGTTCTATGTCCTGTATAGGGTTGGATGGTACAAAGATCTAAAACTGAACTGTGAAATATTTTTGATAATTAAAGTAGCAAACCTGTAATTCTGTGCTAAATCCCTCACCATAGTCCAATGCTTTGCTCTTTGTTTGTCTACACCTGAACTGCCACTAGAGTTGTATTTTTAACTAGAGATGCATCGATCCAGCTTTTTCAGTTCTAATATTGTTATCAATACTTTGGCTTTGAGTATCTGCCAATACTCAATATCAAGTGACTTTTCTTAAAACTAGTTTAACATGTTCGCAAAATTGTTCCTAAAATGTGACGGTAATGTTGGAACAATAAGTCAACTCCCAATAATTTATTTGGATTCTGTAGGTCTGGAGCTTTATAATTGAGTACAGCTGCCCATATTTACTGAGTTAAATTATTAAACATCTGTGTGCCCAGTATGGTTGATGCAGAATAAAAGCCTTTCAGTCATGTGCACAGCTAAGCAGAACTGTTTTGAGGATTTAAACGTTGTCAGAGTAGTCCTGACTTTAGTCCTGACTCTGGGCATCAGCAGGAGTCCCTGAGGTCCTCCGAGTGTGAGATGGTTCTTATTTCTCTAACATGTCAGAGATGTACTTTAGTCGAAGGCCATGGAGAAACTTATATAAAAACAGAGCTGCTTTGAAGTCTATTCTCTGAGCTTCAGGAAGCCAGTGCGGAGACCTCAGCGCAGGAGGTGCTCTTACTTCCTGGCTCTAATATTTTTCCAGTATCTGTGCCAATATTGATACTGGTATTGGTGCATCCCTAATTTTAAAAACAAAGCATGAACTTTTCTGTGTGTTGCCAGTCTAAATGTATGTTCTTTTGCATGGCGGGGCTTGTGTTTATGTGTCATTAATCAACTGTTTTTCCCTCCTATCTGACGATTTTTGTTTTGCCTCTAAATCTCCTCCCTGCATCTTTACTACTTCTGTGATTTCAACCTTGTACTGCTGCTTCTTTTGCTCAGGAGGTATGTATGACAACATTGTAGTTTTTAGCAGTAGCAGTAGACAGTAGACAGTAGTTTTCACACCAAAAATTACCTCTTTTCATGAAAACTACTGTATTTTTCAGGGGGACGCGTAAAAACCTGGAAAAGACGATGGTTCATTCTTACAGACAACTGCCTTTACTACTTTGAATACACTACAGTAAGTCTCTCTGAAGACCTCACTTTCACTTACAAGTTCGGTTAATAAAAATAAAGGTGTAAAAGTTAGCAGCTTTGGAAAGAGTTAACTGATAAAAAGTTACAAACTATAACAGTGACTCTTTGTCCTCACTTGTAAATAGTTTATATAGTTTAATGTAAAATGTATGAAAAATTTTAAAGATTATGTGTCGTTAGAAAAGGGGGTGGGATTAAATAAATTTTCTTCTTCCCACTCCTTTTTGGCCCAATTTTTTTATTTTTATAAATTTTTTTATGTTGTTATATCTGCTTTGATTTGATTAATTTTAGTGTTCCATTGTAAAAGAATGTACATTTCTTATGTGCCCGAAATAAATACATTTAAAAAAAGTTATTAATATGTATAATATATATGAATGTACCAACAAGTAAATATTAAACTTTTCAAATTAGGATTATTTATGGTGTATTAGTTTGCTTGAGAGAAATCTGCAGAACAATAGCCCAATGTGCCCAGTATGTGATTATGGAAAGCACTTTGTCTGCACATATGAAAGGTGTTATCCAAATAAAGGATATTATTATTGTATTATACTGGCTTGAAATGACCCAATTCAAAGAAACCAACCAGAATCTTTCCATTTTAAAATGCAAAAATTATATTCTATGTCTGTCACACATGGTTTCTCTTCCATCAGTTTATTTTATTTTATTTTTTTACATTTTTGGCTATATATTAAATCTATTTTTAAGCACCAATTGTAACATTTCGTTTCATGTTTTCTTCAAGGACAAAGAACCTAGAGGAATCATTCCATTGGAAAATCTCAGCATCCGTGAAGTGGAGGATCCAAGGAAACCGGTGTGTAGTTTTGTTTGAATGCATATTAAATTCTTTGAGAAGTTTTTATTGTTTTCTTAACTTGTGTTTTCTTGTTTTTGTTAAACAGAACTGCTTCGAGCTGTACATCCCGAACAACCGCGGGCAGCTCATTAAGGCGTGTAAAACAGAGGCTGACGGGAGAGTGGTGGAAGGTAATCACATGGTTTACCGCATCTCTGCTCCCACGCCCGAAGAAAAGGACGAATGGATCCACAGCATCAAGTGAGTGTCAAATCAGAGTCAGAGAAGACCAAATTAATCAAATCTCTTAGGTTACGGGGAGCTCAAATAATTTCATAATTTGTGTTGCTTTTTGCTTATATTAAATCTATGTGATTTTGTGAGGCCAGTGTATAGTGCAGGTTTTTATTTATTTATACACCATAGTCTCCTTTGTAAATGGGAAACACACTGCACCAATTAAATGCGCACAAGGGAAATTTTAGGGATACACGATTGATTGTAATAAAATCGAAATCACTGTTGTAGTTGCGGCAATTGTCAAATAGCAAAGAGTGTAATCATTTAGATATAATGTCCTGTTTTTACAGAAAAAATCTTGGTGTATCTGTTTACATCCTGTTCTGAAACGGACAGGATATATGATAATGCTCTTGGATATTTTTACAGTGTGCACTCTTAACAGAATCCTATTTTTTCTTACATAAATTTGATCTGCATTCACAATACTTGAATAAGATGACAATTAGACAATACAATTTTTTCTTCCCACCCTAGGCTTATTGTGAGGTCAAAACAAAGAAAACATTTGTTTGAACTGTTGTTCCATCTCGCCCACCTATTTTCAACCTTCAGTCTTATCATTTATTTACACATTTTTCCGTCTCTAGATCTGCAGTCAGCGTGGATCCTTTCTATGAGATGCTCGCAGCCAGAAAGAAACGTATTTCACTGAAGAAGAAGGAAGAGCAACCGTAAAATCCTGCCTCTTTCTCTTCGTCTTCCTGTTTATCCTTCCAACGTGAGGCTTCGGTCCTCAGCTCTTGTATTAGTTTACCACCTTCTTCCCACCCTTAACACTACCCTGTCTACAAGACGTTTTAATGCTGCATTTTAGAGAGAAAGAACAATAGATTTCTCATTGGGGAGGGGGGTGAGGGCTGCAATGCGACCAAGGTATTAATTAATGACCACATAAATGTATTCTTCATTTTGTAAAATAGTTTTCTGCTTTGGTCCACATTAGTTTTTAAAGTGGTTGAAGTAACCTTTAGAATGGAGTGAGTCTTGTAATCTAGCACTCGAAAAAAGGTCTTTGCTGTCTGGAACAGCTTGTGCATGCCCTATAGATGAAGCATAGCTGTTTCTTTTTTTTTTTACATTTGAGTGTAAAGGTTAGCCTTAGCTTATCTGGACCAAAATCATTGTATACAAGATAAATTATCAGAAGAGTGTATTCGAAGCAAACTTTGAAGGCCCTGTACCTCGATTTATTTGTGTCAGAATCGTATTCTAAAGCTTTTGTATCAATCTTGAATCTGAAAGCTGCAGCAGAGTAGGCAGAATCCTCCAGTTAATGTATTCCACTCCTACAAACTTTTACATTATGTGGATTGCAGTTCCGCTGGCTGCCCACTGCCTCTGACAAGGTGCACCTACGGATGTCACAATATCAGATCTAAGTGTTAACATAACTGAAACACACACACATACACACAAAAAATCATAATACAACCATTTTTATTCACGGTTATTGCCGCCTCAACCAAACAACAGTGCAATCCATAACTTTCTTTCCTACACTTTGTCTTATACATTGCTATTTCTCTAGTATGTGACCAGATTTAGCAATGTTATTGAGCACTTTACTTTTATGTTTACATTTTTAGAGTAGAGATTTAATTTTAGTTATTTTGCTTTAGAGTGGTTTAGAATATCTTTTGTTGTTACTATTAAATTGTGACCTGAAAAATCACAATTACTGTATACATTAAGAGAATATTATTGACATCCCCAGTTGCACCATCGAAGGGCGGGTTGAAGGACACAGTCAGTCGTAACTTTACCTCAAATCATGCGTAGAAATTCACGTAGATGTGGAGCTTGGTTTGTGAATGCTAAAATTGAGTTGGGAGCTGCTTTCAATTGGTTTAAATTCAACTTTATCCCTTCAAATTGGGTACAGGGCCTTTCCATTTTTATTTTTAACTTCATACCGCTCACTTAATATGCTGATGATGCTCTACCCTAGTTAAAATGTGAATTCAACATCTAAGAACTTTGTGTATCTGATGCTGGCTGAAACAGACAATGAAGGAGAGAGGGTTGAATGCGTACGAAATGAGCCAATCCCCATCAATAGTTTGGCACTGACATTATCCTGGTAATTTAAGACTGATCACCACAACTATAATCAATTGAAATAGCACAAATAAGTGAGTATTTTTTAAAAGAAACTACTGAAAGTATTAAGGTCTCTGGAGTAAGGTTGCAGGAGAGTCTTCTCGTCTCTTACTTTATTGATAGATTGGATAAACTTGTAATGTGTTGAACAGATTATAAGCTATAAGTATTAACAAGTTAAACAATAATTAACATTTTGGACACTGCATAAAGGAATATCTATTCTACACGACTGATTTCAAGTCAAGAAAGGATTGATTTGAGTAGTTTTGACCAGTTGAGGTTGTCTTGATTGTTTTCTTTTAACTGTGTCGGCAGTAGATTAAGATATTTGGAACTCATAACCAGAGGTGGGGTCTTGCAAGTCGTGACTTGGACACGAGTCAGACTTGAGGCACTATTTTTAGGACATGAGACTTGATAAAATGGGCTAAGACTTGGGACTTGACTTGGACTTGAGGCCTGTTACTTGAGAAGACTTGAGAAGCATTTTTAAATCTGAATTCTTTCTATTCTGACTGTAATGATTCACACTAAGACCTTGTCAAGACATTTAAAAAGGAAAAATTTACATTTCTACAACTCTTATATACTCTATAAATACTCATATAAATATACTATGATTTTTTTAAGAACAATTTATTTTCAAATTCATATAAATTGCAAAAATCTAAGCTATATTTGGTACTTTGGTTTAATGACTTGAAGCTCAAAGCAGACGACTTGGACTTGACTTGGACTTATGGGCCAGTGACTCGAGACTGGACTTGGACTTGCCTGTATTTGACTTGGGACCTGACTCAGGACTTGAGATCAAAGACTTGAGACTTACGTGAGACTTACAAACAACGGCTTGATCCCACCTCTGCTCATAACGTCGTAAGTGCAAGAGAAAATGTATTGAAGGCGCTAAAATACAACAAAATCTCAACAAGAAAATACGACAAGAAAATACTGAAAGTGACGCATTTTCTGATCAATGTTATAATGTTGTTCCTTTTTAAAACAGACTTGGAGTTGTGTTTTCTTTCATACACACACGTTTAACACACAAATCTTGCATATTTAGTCTGAGTTCTTCTCTCAAACAGAACAATTGTGGTGATTCACTGTGTTTTTAAACTCCATACACCTTCACTTGAGTCATTTAGATAATTCCAGCCCTGAAATTTCAAATCACTACTGAAGAAAAGACGATAACTAACAAAAAACATAAAAATTACAAAACACAACTCCAGTTTCCAGGATGTTTTTGAAGAGGTAACAACATTCAAGATCACAAGAGTCAATTTTGTGTTACACAGGACCTTTTAAAACAAGATTACAATTCTCAATAAAGCAATTTTAAGTGTAGATATCCTTTTTGCAGTGAACCATAGTACAATTTCTAAACTAACATAGTCTCCAAACTCTGGTGTCTTTTTCCTGTTTAAAAATGGCATGATCCAGAACTCAAGATGGCAGCTCACTACACTGTATACCGTTTGTACATAGATGTTAGAATGTTTATGACAAGTTTAGAGGCGATTTAATTTATTGTTTCTTCTTTAGTTTACCTTTTTAAGAACTACTGTAGAACTGCATGTTGATGGAAAAACTGAAGCATCGACCGCGAGTGTGTGTTAAGTGTTAGTGTTCCCTGTCCAGAAACACAATGGGCTGTTTTCTAAAGGATCTAAACTGATTCTACGGTCAAATTTTATGTCAAAATCGAGAAGCTTTCACCTCGTTTATGGCTAAGCAAAGACTGGCACGAAATTTAACATCTCTGTACAAAAATATGCTTTCATTTGGAAACACAGAAAGTCGTGGCATTCAAACCATACAAGAATTATTACGGTATTTGTTTTTGGATTTCAGCATTTTCCGTTTTGGATAATTCGTAAAAGTGAAAAAGCTGACCTATTACAATGTTTGTCTGATCAATTAAGTTGAAACTCAACAATTGAGTTTTTATTTGCATTATATTTTTTGACAAAAGACCTATTAAATACTGTTTTTTGTTGTTTTTTCAGTGGATTCACAGGGAATACTAATAGAAACGCTAAAAATGTTACTTCATGTTTTTGTATGTGACGATTCGGCCACCAGTTCACTAACTATAACCGTACGTGTGTTGAGTTGTCATGACTCAACACAGGGAACAATTTACTGCACTTTATTCATTTTTTGGGAGAAAATGTAAAATGTTGGTACTAGTCCAGCTTTGTAGCGCCCTCTTTTGGTTACAGCACACACTGCAATATACTGGAACATAAACCACTTACCTGCACTGCAAAAAAGGAATAGCTCCGGGAGTTAAAATGACTGAATTGTAATCTTGCTTTCACTTGTTCAGAAATTTTCCCATACCCAAACCAAAATATGCTTTTATTAATCTGCTAATGATGCATAGTATTTATATAATTGCAATTTAGCTTGATATTATGCTTGAAAATAAAATAAAAAAAGTCACACTTCTCAGAAACCAAACAATTAAAGGACATACATAATGCATAATTAGTACTGTTCTGGTCTTTAAACTATCTTTTGCTTTGGCATTTCATGTTTTAGACCAGAAAATAATTAAATCTACCAGCAAAAGACCCAAAACCCCAAAGAACTAGCCATTTAAGCAACACGACCGGCATGACGACGACTCTGGCTATTTATGGTTCGTGGTCGTGGGAAAATTGAAACTGAGTGGTTTCTGAGGCCTAAACATGATTAATCAGACAAGCATAAATAGAGCAAAATACAATTCCAGTTATCTTTTAGAAGAAACACTGGTATATCATTGTTTTTAGATTAGAAAAAAGTTCAACATAATGTGTCTTAAATTATTCTGAACCCAATGAAGTCATTTTAGCGCACAAGATTTTCCTCTTTTGCACTGTGTTTGGTACCAGTTGTAAAGTGCTGCATGAAGCTGTGAGACCTCAGACAAAACCATTGATTTACATGGACCTAAAGATAATGCCTTTTAATGTCATTTGTAAAGTTGATTCCGCTTGCCTTTAATTTATGCACTGTAAAAAATAATATTGAGTTAATATTACTTGAATTCATAATATATCTCGCTTTTGACTCATTTTAGATTTTTTTACTTGATAAAACGTATCTATTTCACAATATTTCTGACATGAAGGCTGCATTGCTTCTCATTTTTAGCTAAATTGTCAGATTCTGGGGTGAGAAGATTGCACTTGAAAATGAGAAAACTTTCTTGAACCCAATTTGCGGAGTTTGTTTCTTAATCCAAGCCAAAATATTTGAAGAAAAGTCAGAACTGGTTAATAATTTTGATGACATAGGCTATTGAACTATTGGAAACCACTCCAATCTATGGTCAATTCTGTCACTATAACATACTAGATATTACTTTTTACAGTGTGGCTTTGTGTGATCATGTGCAGGATGCCAACAGTGTAACTCAATTTCCACCGATCACGTCTATAAACTGTGTACACATACTGAAGTTATCTATACTGGACTTTGATTTCCCATTAGTTTGACACCAGAAAATGTCTTTTATTATTTTGTATTTATTTATTTGTACTGTGAGGTGACTATGGATAGATCATCTGTAAATGTAGCAGAAAGGAAACCATGATTCATTGGTGCCAGTTATCAATTGTCTAACTAATAAAGTTAAACCAAAAGTATCTGTTGCCTGTACTTATTAATAAAAAGTGTCTTCAAGATAAGTCATTACGATCAGGGAAAATGCTCAGAGGTTTGGGTGGGTGAACTGGCCCCTTGAAGCTGGGTGCCTGTGCGCTTTAGGAGACCAGGTACATTTATCTGTGTTACCAGCCGTTGCCTCTAGGGGTCAGTAGTTAGAAACCCAGTAGCTATGTTTGTGACTCATGTATTAATGGATTAAAATTAATACTGTCCTCGATGAGACCATGCAGTTTAAATATACCTGCACGAGACTTTAACTCAGCCAAGAAAAACTAATAGCTGACAAGGTTTTATTAACATAGACAAAATACACAAAAACACATTTATATTAAAAAACAACAACAATCTTATGTACAGTTCATACATTATATACAAAAACATCGTAAGAGACATTGGATCTTAATAGACAAAAGCAAAATGATAACATTTGTAATTTGTAGAAAAAGTTTTAACATTACTGAAATCAAAATTAATATGAATGTCTACTATGAAGTAACTACTAATACAACTCAAAAGATGAATAATTTCTTTGGTTAATTAGCTGTATTTTGATGGAAACCTTTAAATTAATAAAAGTATCCAGTTTAAAATATAATACAAATTAAACATGTTAAAATTAACAACAAATAACAGGGTCTGCCAACATTACAGACTAAGTACTACCATGATATAAAATACTACTCATGTACATATATTTTTATGCAGTAATTTTACAGTTTTTATAAAGGAATGAATTACTTGATGTCTGTGGTATTTGTGTTTTTTGAAAGCCAAAAATCATACATTTACATTCTCTTGGCTTTCAAGTTCATATATATAGGCGACTTGTCTATAGTGGCTGATTATCTATGTCATTTAATTGTCCAGTTAGTTTGTGCTTAGTGCTCTAACCCTGAATAGAAGGCAATTGTTTACATTTTACATTTCAAGGTATGTTGTGCTCGGGGAATTTAAAGCAATTTTATATTTTCAGCTGCACCTGCTTTACTGTTGAGTACAGACTAGGTTTGCCATTATTTTATCATGTGTTTTGTCCTTTTTTGTGGGAGGCGTATGTTTAATGGCAGGGGTCGTAGGGGTGCCGTGTTACGCCTCCGTGCAGCTCCACCTCTGCCTCTGTCCAGGCCAAAATGTCTCCATGGAGAGCGCTGCCGCAGGTGGAGAGGCTGTGTATGTCACTGGAGCTCAGGACGTGGGACCACAAATGCACCTCAGACATCTCCCCCATGAAAGCCTGAGTGGCATCGAAGCGGCCCCCGAGAGTGTCCTGCAGGAGAGACAGGTTCATGGTACTTATTTTGTGCTGAGATAACAGATAAGAGAGCTATGAACAAGAATACTATATAATGAATGAAGGGCTGCAAAAATTTTGGCTCTGGTCACATCAGCGCCCCTCAGCCTCACTGTTAGCGTCAGTACTTCCTTTGTCCAATTTTATCAGATACTGACACATCAGGCAGAGCTGTGGATGGATGTCACTGACTAACATTTTAAATATTTTACAAATAACAATACTTCACTGGAGGGCACTTCTGTGTTTATAAAAAAAATATAATTACCAGTATATAAATTATAATTTTATGCTTTTAATAAGTTAGAATTAGCTTAGGGTGACCAGATGCCCCTATTTACCTGGTACAGTCAGTCTGGAGCTTTGTGTCTAAAACCAGTGATTTGTCACAGTTTTATACAAGGAATGTCCCAGGTATCCCTATTTTGACCAATTTGATATAAATAGTAGTAATAGAGTAAATAGTAAAGGGAGCAATATATTGTAATTTGTTAAGATAAAATACAGCAGACGTCCCTCAGATTATATAATGACCCACAAGAGAGTCAAGAATGGACAATATTATGCGCTCTTTTCACAATTGTATATTTATACCAAACAACTCATGTCTAATGATGATCATGTCTTTTGTACTGGTGTGACAGGCTGAGGGACCAAACCAAAACTCTTATACACAAACACCAATGCACCAGGTCTTCAACTCACCTGCTCCTGCCCCAGGATGAAGACGCCTCCAGGTTTAATGGGGTGCCAGGGTGAGAGGTCGACTCCAGAGCCCCTCTGTACCCCGTCCTGATAGGCCTCCCAGTGCCCGTCTCGAGTGCTCCACGTCACACACACATGGTGCCACCTCTCGTCAGTCAGTGTTAAGGGCAGCGTCACTGCCTGGAAGCACATTTTAAGACAAAATATAGTCACATCGTTTGTAATTATACTATTTATCAAACCTCACCAAAAATATGCAGATACTATAATGATAATAATGTTATTTTTGCATTCTTTAGACCTAATGTGGACAGAATTCAACTGTAAAAGAGATACTAAGCTGAAAATAAAAGCCTGTTTCCTGTACTAGACGCCTGCTCCTGACCTGACTCTTTCCCTACAGAGCTAATGATTTCTGGGTAGTGGTGATATCCTTGGATAGGGTTAATTGGTGCTGGTTTGAGGTCAAGTCTGCAGCTTTTCAGTCTAAGAAGGTAAGTCAGTAACAGGTTAGACCACCCTCTAAGCTTTATCTCACACTCAAAGTACTCCCTAACTCGAATATATTTTACTATTTTGTTTTTTTATTTTAATGCTCACCAAAAAATTACATCAGATTAAGTTAGATTAAGTAAAAGGTGCACTGTCTCCTCAGTACCTTAGAGATAGTGTTTCTTTTAAATGATCCACACAATGACATTAAACTTAAAGCCACAGTATGTAACTATTTGGTCAAAAATACACTAAAATAAAAGCCTTTTTTAGTCTAGGTAAGCTGAACGTCATTTTGTGGAACTTCCAGGTAAAGCCACATTTTCATGGAGACAAGTTAATGTCGAACTCTAAACCGCCCCTTTTATTGCCAATAGTTGATCAAGGCCACCTATACAATAAATGCAAATATTTCACCCTCACCTTATCGTCGATGAGCAGCTCAAGTGGGTTGTTGCCCCACTCGATGAGCACTATCTCGTTGGACTGTCCCGGAGCGGAGTAGGAGAAGGGGGTGCCCAGACCTGGAGCCATCCCCGGTTTGATCCACAGACAGAGGGTGAAAGCAAAGATCTCCTGGAGCAGAGTCTTCTTCATGCGTCCGTACATGTAATTTGTCCTCATTGGGAAACTGATCAGGAAATCATCGGGACTCATTCTGCCTGGACCTGAAAAGAGGGGGAAAAAGTAAGTAATTACAAAAAGTAGTTTTAGTATAATTATCCATTCTGTGATGTTTGTTTGAATTATTGGGTTTGTTGATCTTGTATTGTTTAGATTATTTGTGATTAGAAGTAAAGACAGGATATTTTGTTATTTGGAAATTGGTACTTGAAAAATTGCAGTCTATGTGATTTCGATTTGACTCCTCCACACAAGTTCATAGTTGTAATGTGCTTTTGGATGTTTTGAAAGGCGCATCTAAATCCAACAGATATGAAATTATGTCTGTTTACTAATTTAACCAATATTTATGAATCTCTACCTGTCAGATGGAGCTGGTTCAACATAGCTTCCAGTTTATTCACATGGAAACCGGCACGAGGCCCGGACCCTCTGTAGGCTGTACGAGATACGAAGCCATTGTCTGCTTCGTTGTCATAGTGATCGTCATGATTGCGGTCGTCGTGGTGATCTGAGTGTTCTTCTCCATCATCATCATCATCGTGGCTGTGGTTGTCATGGTGATCGTCGTAGTGATTGTTGGGATGATCATCGTGGTGTTCGTCGTGATGTTCGTCATGGTGTTCGTCATGATGGTTGTCATTGTGGTGATCGTCCTGGTGATCTTCATGGTGGTCGTCGTGGCGGTCGTCGTGGTGATCCTCATGGTGATCGTCCTGGTGGTCGCTGTGGTGATGGTCGGACAGTGCCGCCGTGTTGGGGTGTACCTGTTGCTCCAGAGCGCTGATCTTCCTCTGCAGCAGCTCCTTCAGAGAACTGGAGTACCCCATAGACGAGTTTCTCTTCTGAAAAATGATTAAGAACAAATCAGATTTAACTCCAGGTGAGTTTAGCTGCCACAGGTAAGTGCTGCTCTCTCACAGTGTCTCATGTTGTTGAGTGATCCTGTGACTGAAAGGTTGTCCATTTGAATCCCCCTTTAGCCTACTCACTTTGTCCTTTTTGTGTGAATGTGTAAGTACAATAATATTATTAATGTTGTAATGAACGTACAGTGTGTGAAATGAATAATAATGCATTAGTCTTATATAATGCTTTTAAAAACACTAACAGTCACAGCTACAGGTGCCCAGGCACAGGGTAGACTGACGAAAGTGAGGCAGCCCATCTGCACCATCAGAAAAACCTCTGTTGATCTCCTTAGTGTCCGGTCTGTGAACTGTTTGCGGCAAGTCTGATCTAGTCATGGTGCTAACAAGATAAGAATACACGGTTCTTCATGTACTAAGGCTAAAACGTTTGTTTCTCTTTCGCTTCCTGAATTAGATTATGACACAAACCATCTGAAACACAAACATCCATTTATGGACCTTACGCTAAAATTGGGATTAAGTAATTGATTGTTCTTTTGTCGCAAACTACCTGAGCAGCCTGATCGCTTTAAGTGATTAAGGAAAGAGGAAACCACAACAGGAAGTCAGTGCTTTCTTTTGTCAGAGAGGATTTAAAGAGGGGGTATTACACTTCTATGGGGTATTAATTACTAACATGACATAAAATTTGCATATTTAGCTTGCCATGTTTCCTTATTGTAGCCCCTTAAGAGTGTTATCACCACATCCTGCTAATGAAATGTCTGCACATTGCACCAGGTTTGTGAAGCTGTAGTGTATTGTTTTGTAGATTTATGAAAAATTGCAATTGCCAGGGCATAGGAGACGTAGGCTTGTGGGTTGAGCTTTGTACAGGCTTGTACTGCTAACCATAAGGGTCGAATAGTGCCCGAGGAGAGAGAGATTGCTCACACATTTATGGATGACACTGAAACATGCATGGACAACTTATAAAACCTCTTCAGGCATGTTTTTGATGAGAGAATGTTATAATATATCACGCTGGAAAGCTCAAAAATGTCAATTTTGCATAATATCCTCACTTTAAGTTGTAAAAGTTGTTCACTCACCTGCAGGTTTTCCAGTCTCTCTTTGAGCGCCTGCAGCATCCTCTCGCTGTGCTCAGGAGAGGAACTGTCCCCTGGAGTCATGTGTTTGTCCTTCACTGTAAAAAATGAATACCAACAGTCAGATTTTGTGCAATTGCTTGACATTGTTTTCTATAATTGTATTTGTTACTTTTAGTTTTTCTTGATTCATTTTGATTAAATTAGTTAGAGGGGTCTAGTGCTTTTGAGCGCTTGTTACAGTTTACTCATTACTTTGAAGCCATAGTATGTAACTTTTTACTCTTTGTCCTCATATTCCTCTCCAAAAAAATGTTCCTTAGGCTAAATTGGTCTTCTGATTCTTTAGATTCTTTTCTCAGGCTATTTTAAAAAGTGTCTATAAGTGTTACCTCCTCTTGTAGGATGTTGTGGTGAATCTGGTACGTAGTTTCCATGGTGCGCCTGCTGGTTGCTATGGTGCCCATTGTCAACGTATGTGTGATGACCTGGTGCACGATGAGAGTTCAGGGTGTGGTGGTGATCATTATTAGTGGCATGCCCAAATCCTTCACACAGCGCAAGTTTGGCTGTCAGTTCTCTAATAGTCTCCCGCTGGTCCAATATCGTTTCCTTTTGTTGGACTAAACTCTCTCTTAAGTGGAGTATTGTAGCTTTGGCCTCTTCACTTGTCCCCCACCAACCAGCAGGGGGCACATTTTGCGGCCCTGTTCCTAAATGTGGCCCACTTGACCCCGAACTGGCCCCTGCATTCGGAAAACAAGAGGGGTCTGCATTCACTGGCAAAGGAGTGCATATGAACCGAGGGTGTGAAGAAAAGTCATACTCCGGTGTACTGCTTGAACTGGCGGCTGAAAATGAAAGTAAAAACTGTAGTAGTGTGTACCCAAGTAAAGTTGCCAGAGGAGTAGAGCGCTTCATGATCCTCCCTCACAGACACTAAAGAGATTGGCTTCACTTCCAAATGTGTAATCCGAGTTGACGAGATGAACGTACAGACGGTCTTGTCGTTGAAAACATGGGGCTAAGATGCAGTAGGATTACATTGTATTGTTTGTTCCTGTTTGTTGTCTACTCCATAACAAAAGGCCCTGCAAAATAAAGATAGTATTAATTAACAATTGTAAGACAACATTTACATTTAATTTACTTTTCTAATTGAATCTAATCTAAAGAAAAAAATACAATTACTTCAATAATTAATGTTAAATCTTGTTTTAGTTTTGTCTAATTTAAAGGTGCACATTATAACATATTAAACTTATCTATCAGAGAGGTGACCCCAGTATGAAAGTGTTATTTATTTATTTATTTATTTTCAATTACATCACAAAGAATTGAAAAATAAAAACAAGTCTTAAATTTAATCCCACTCCAGGTAAAACAATCTGACTGACCCTGTTACAGAAAAGTTACATAGTGCACTTTTCTTTTTAGTTATTTATTGGCCAATTATTTGTATTGGAAATAGCCAAATAAATAAACAAAATACAAAGTAATAAATAGGAAGAAATCTGGAGTATGACACTATCACATTCTAGCCACATTCCCCTGTTGATCACATTGCACTTTGCCATGAAACACAAATGTTGAACCTGATCATTTCTGTTATTGACAAGAATTTTGCCTTTTAAAAGTATTCATTTTTGCTGCCCCCTCTGTATTCAAATATTTTTGCTCTGACGTCATCCCAAACGCAGCACTAGTCATATATTATTTTTACAGTGCATTGCTTGTGTTATAGAGATGAGTGAAGGCCAGTTTATATGAATTAGAAATGAGCTGATGGAGGAGGCTCTTCAGATCTCTGCAGGTGGTGTGACGGTGGATGCCCTTGGCCTTATTCACCTGATCTCTGCTCGTGCTCAGCTTTAGGAAGTGCCAAAACAACCAGGTCTTGTCCCGCAAAGGATTAACACCTGAGAGTGTGTTGGTGCTAGTTCACGCTGCGCCTGACCCTCTGTACGATCAAAAAGAGGCCACAGACGAGTCACGCTATTCACATATAGTTGTTATGATTGCATGTTGCTTAAATACTGTACATGGCATTTTATATATCCTCCTTACGGATTTCCTTTTTCTCTAGAGGGGACTGGAGGACTAAGTTTAGACACACTTTTTGGGCACCACAGCACCAGACGGTCTTCCTGTCCTCCATTACACCACCACCGATTGGTTTGACAGATCATGTTCCACATGGGAAGTTGACATTTGTTATTCATGAAATTTAACATCCACAGTTTGAAAAGAAAAGTGCAAAAATACTAGCTGGTGCAACCTAGGGCCTCTGCTCAATAAAATTTTTCTCCAGCGACTCAGGATAGTCAGGAATCAGAATACACTAGACGGTTCGTAAAAACCCCGAAAGTGCGAGTTCGGGCATCAGCCAATCAGCAAAGAGCCATATATTCTGATTCCTGAGATCAGAGGGGAGAGAGAGGATTTAAAGCCAGAACAAAGAGAATGTTTGGTGAATTTTATCAAGGGGAAAGACGTTATTACCCTTCTTCGTACGGGATTTGGGAAAAGCTTAATATATCAGTTAGCCTTGTTAGCGGTACATCACGACTAAATAGCAGCGATTAGATAAATAAAAAAATGTTTCTGCCTATTGTCGAGCAAACGAATCCTAATGCTGCGAGATCAGACAGTTTCCACGAAGTAAAACTGGCTGATGAATCAGGCTACAAAAATACAGGAAGTAACAGTAAGTTCTAAAATTATCTTTTTTAAAGCCTTGAATGGACTGGCCACACACTACGTCTCGAATTTCATCCAGATTTACTCCCCTGCGCGCTGTGACGTCTGAGGGCCAGCTCCAGCTCGTGAGGCCTAAGATGAGACTTAAAACCAGAAAGGACCGGGCCTTCTCTGTGACCGGCCCCAGACTCTGGAACGCTCTGCCCCCACACGTCCGAACAACCCCCACAGTGGAATGTTTTCAGTATCGTCTTAAGACAATTTTTATTCTCTGGCTTTTAACACCGTGTGAGTTATGTGCTCCTCTGTGTCTTTCATTTTATTTTTTTCTTAATTTAGTTTACTTATTTACTGCTATTTTATGATTTCTATGATCTTGCTTTTATTTAATTTTACTGGTTTTATTGTTTTGGACTGGTATGACAAAATTTTTGCAATTGATCTTTTTTGTTGTGTTCGTTTTATGATCTCGTTTTATGATTTTGGAAACTGCTTTGTTTGTAAAATGTGCTATAGAAATAAAGTGGATTTGGATTTGAATTAGGAAATATCTCTACCTATGTGATTAATACAGAAAATTCCATCCAAAATGCAGTGATAATTTATGGACAAGGAATCAATTTTCAATGTATTTTCATTCGTCTAATCATAACTTTTGTGTAATTAAAGTTTTGGCCCTTGTTAAGATTATGGTTGGTAGGTAACGGAATCACCTCTACGTCACATCTGCGACTCATGTCCAACCAGGAAGCGAAACTAAAAATTGTAATTATTCTGCAGTGTTCAAATCCTTGTGGCTTGTTCGGTGAGGCTTAGCGGGAAACAGATGGTGGAGAGACAGCACCAAGTCACGCCCAATCTCCAGTCTTCGCGCTTAAGTTTATTAAGGTCTACAGGCCACTCTATTAACCTAATTACAGAGCGGTGTTGTGCACTCAGCTGCAGATAAATGGGCTTCTGGGCTTCACGCGATTCCGTAGTGTGAAGTGAAGCTAATCCACACACACACATGCACTGCACAAAAATAAATAAAGAAATCTATCCTGTGAGTTGAATTATTAATATCTATCTTGGTTATATTTTATTATTCTAGCACTAGGGCTGCAATGATTAATCTGCTAAAATAGAGTCATAATCGTCTTTTGATAATCATAATTGTTTTCTGGACTATACAGACTTTAAAGAAAAACCTTTTCAGAACAAAGACAGCGAGATTATTAAATCAAAATGTCACAGAAGTGTAATCAACTTCCTATTTATATCAAGAATTCACTTCATTTATAAATATTCTCAGTCTGGTCACTGGTCAAAAATCAACTTTTATTCAGTTGATAGTAGGGTTGTGCAAAAATATCAAAATATTGATATATCGTATCATTGAATGTGATAATACAGTATCGATATCGTGGGCTGCTGTATCGATATATCACCAAGAGTATTTTTTTTTGGTATGTTTTACTAAATTTTTTGTTACAGAGCTACCATTTTGTTGTTTGTTTAGGGAAGGAAACTCTTTTTTATTAAAATGGGTGTGTTTGCACAAGTGGCTTTTTAATAAAGACTTTTAGTATCACAGCCACGATTTAGCTTTTATTTTTTACTGATTTGTATTGAATTGATTTGAAATATAACGTACTAAATCGTATCAAATTAAAAGCTCACTGTATTGAGGCCATGTGTCGAGGTATGTATCATAACGGCAACTTCTTAAAGATGCCCAACCTTAGTTGATAGTGTTTTTAAAAAAAGTCTCAGTATGCCATTGGTACTTTGCAGCTGATCGTATCAACATTCCCTGGGAGTGTGATGCTAACTGGAGGCACTGCTCTGACCAGAAAGTTGTTGAAAGATGAGTCAACTAATCAAAAAAATTAATCGCTGACTAGTCGACTAATAAAATTATTGTTAGTTAGTTGTAGCTCACTTTCAAAACATTTTTTGCATTTTGCTAGGCCATAATGCAACAACATTTAGTTCTTCGTTTGTTTTAAATGTGCATCTTGAATGACAAAAGTAACTATCTACCTGTCGACGTGGCTTTGATTAGTCATGATTTGGTAAGTCAGGTCTTTATAATGTGATGAAAACTAAAATGTGCCTCATTTCAATAAAAAAAAAAGTAAATTAAGTTTGAACTAGTTTCGTCACAAATTTCAAGCTTCGGTGTATATGAATGTAAATAATAAGAAAGAGGCTTTATTCTCAGTGTTAATTTTGATTCTACAAAGGTAATAAAATTGCTTTTTTCAAACACCAATATTTAGTTCAATAATAGCCATTTTGTTAATATTACCATGTGGGCCTACAGTAGTTATGTTAGAGCAAGACCATTTCATAACCATTCAGGAAAGATCCAATTTTGTCCATTTGATGCCATTTATTTCAGTATTGATTCTTTTTCAAGTGAAACCTAGTGCTGATGCATTTTTGAAATAAAATAAAATACAACAAGTGAAAAAATGTAGACTTGCTGAGAGAAATAATTTGAAATCAAGTTCTTAAGATTTGAGTTTTTGTAGTGTGCGTGTACGGCCGCGTGTGTGCACCGTCCCAGCACCATATGGCCAACACTAGGTAAGTAGGCTGATTAGTGCTGAATTAAAAGCTGTCAACTAAACACAAAGAAAAACACAAAAGAAATAATGTAACTGAAATGTGGTGTAATAATGTCACAGCTTTGTAAGATCATTTGCTCCCAAAAAAGATGATTCACAACTTAAAAATGGACCAAATGAATCAGACTTTTGAAGAAAGATAGATCATAATATATTGTTAAAATGTCTGATTGCTGCATTTTCATAAAAGACTACGTTTATTAAGTGCTCATGCTACGTGTATTACTGTAAATTAAGTTATTACGCTATTCCAGTCAAAGCAATAATATCCTCATGAAGGTGGCAGACCTTCCACCAAAAAATGTTACACAGTTCTCATTGAAAATTAAATCACAAAGGAAATGTTGTGGAATGCAAACCTAGTTCATTTCATTTGACTACACTACACAAAATAATCCAGTTTGCTCTTGTAATAAGCAAAATTAATCGGCTGTAGATTTAAAAATAATGAAATAATTCAATTTTTTTTTTTTAAGATAAGCGAAAGTTGAGTTATTTTGCCTTAACTCACTGTAGACACTTTGCACATGATAAAGCGTTACAAAGGGCCTTACCTGGCAGTGGAGCGGTGGTATTGTCCTGATGGGGCTGTACAGAGTGACTGGA